GGAGAACATACTAGTGTATTCTTCTAGTGCTTTTCTAGCCACTGCTTTTATATACAGATACGTGTATAGTCCTGGCGGGCTTGGCTCAGTGGTTAGAGCTTTAGCCGGTGGACTGAAGGGTCGTGGTTCGATTCCTGGTCAAGGGAACGTACCTGGGTCGCAGGTTCAATTCCCGGCCTCAGTGTGGGCCATGCAGGAGGCAACCAATTGATGTGTCTCTCTCGCATCAATGTTTCTCTCTCTTAAAAAAAAAATCAATGGAAAAATAGCCTCAGGTGAGGATTAACAAAACAAAATGAAAAAAGATATGTATATATCCACCACAGAAACTACAGAGTTGCATATTGTATTGTGTGTCTCATGCAAGTGAAATCATACTGCAAGAATAATTCTGCGTCGTTTTTGTTATATTATTTGGTTAGGAGCTTTATCCGTATTTTTACATATACATCTAGCTCCTCCTTTTTAACTGTAGGCGAGCTGCCCAGTGTTATATAATATGAAAACAGAACTATTCCTTTACCCCAGAATTTCTCTAGGGTAGATTTAGAGTAGTGAAATCATTGGTTCTTAGGGTATACACTGTTGTTGTTATAACCAAGACTACCAAATTGCTCTATAGTGACTACACCAGGTTCTTGAACGCACCAATCAAGCATTTTCTCAAAGGTCAACACATTTGCCTACTGACTTGCTGTGACCTTGATTGAGCAAGGTATGTTTTCTCTCTGGACCCCCAGTGACTCCATCTGTGGGAGGCGGAAACCGAGTGGCCCTCCAGTGGGCCAGGAATGGCTGCCCTGGGGAAGACAGAGAGGAGGAGGACACGGTGACAGCTAAGCTGCAGGCAGACAATTTAGATGCACTTGGCCCTTATCTCAAATCTCCCATTAGTGCCATGAGAATTTACGTGCAGCTCTCACCCAAAAGCCCCCTCTGGAATGCCCACATACCCTTTTCTGGGAGAACTCACTTCCTAGGATCTCCCAGAGGGAGAAATGCCAAGCAAGGTTAGCGAAATGGGTGTGGGGTCATATTGCCATGGAATAAACAAACAAGCACAGAGCAACATAATTGCACTGGTCAAAGATAATTACAGGATTTAGAGACAACATTAATTCCTAATGTATTACAGATGGTGTGGTCCAGGAATGGAACACACATTTAGAGCCACATGAAGAGTGTTTCCCTTTTCTGTCCCTGTCAGTGCGATGCTGACTGACGTGCAAGCACCTGTGGAGAAGTCTAAATCAGAGCAGCTTTCTGAACGTGAGATGGACCAGATGCCCTGCCACCTTCCCCCCTACTCAGGCTCAACCACGGAGGCAGGGAGGAGAGCGTTTATTTAAATGTTTCTCAATCCCATGCCTGTTGACCACCCACATTTGGGGCAAATCTGGGTGCATTTTATGGTTTCCCATCATTGTACGCATTTGGGCTTATTTCAGCAGGGGGGAAAAAAGGAGAGAAGCAGAGTTCTTCCTCCTTTGGGCTGAGAAAAGGGATGAAGTCATGATACAGGTAAACTCTGGACCACTGTGGATGTGGATTCTGAGCCATAACAGGTGGGTTCTGGGGCAGTGGCGAGAAGTGGATTCTGGGAAGGGTAGAGGTGGCTTCAGGGTCCTGGTAAAAGTGAGTTCTGCCATGGGGTGAGGTGCATTTCGGGACTTGGTAGAGGGGGGTTCTTAGATCAGGAGCCAGGTGGACTCTGGGACGCCGGGAAGAGGTGGATTCTGGCCACGGTAGTGGTGGGTTCTGGGGCCGGGACGGTGGATTCTGGGAAAGCAACAAGTGGATCGTGGGACAGGAACAGAGGGGCTGTGGGCCCGCTGTCCCACTCGTGCTCCCCGAACATGCCCATACGTAGTTCCGTTGGACCCTAGGCGCCCCACGGCCACTGTCAGCCGTGTTCCTCCCACAGGCCTCAGCTCCAACATCACTTCCTCAGAGAGGCCTCCCCGGGGCCTCCACGCCGGTGAGGCCCCATACACGCTCCACCTGCGGGCGCTTTCTCTTCCGACCCCTCTGCGCGGCAGGTGCCTGCAGCCTGGGCCTGTGATTACCTGGGCATCAGGTCCTCCGGACTGGACTGGGGCGCTGCCCGCAGAGGCCTGTCTGGCTGCTCAGCACCGAGCACAGGGCTAGGCACACAGGCCGCCGGGTCATTGCTGGTATTGAATGACCAGCTTTCCGCGAGGTTAGGTCTGTTTGTCGGATTCATTCCCAGGGCCCCAGAGGCCTTATCAGCGCAGGCTGACCAATCAGTGAAGGAGGGACGGCAGGGTGGGAGGAGGTAGGGGGGAAGAAGAGGGAGGGAAAGTGAAAGAGAACGAAAGGAGGACATGGAGGAGGGGAACCCGGAGCCAGAGAGGGGGCCAGAGGGGAGAGCGAGGGAAAGAGGGACCGAAGGGCAGAGAGGCCGGAGGGAGAGCCGGGGAACGAATGAATGAAGACTCGCCGGACGGAAGGATCTCTGACTTCGGGCTGGGCGGGCACAGAATCGCCGCACAGGGTCACGGCCGCCGGCAAAGCCACCTGTGCGGGCGGCGCGCGTCCGCCCTCGGGTCATCCTGCGCACGGCCGCGAATACCGCGCGGGGGTCGGGGTCCCGCGGGCGGCGCCCCGGCCCCGCCCCTCCGGCCTGGCCCCGCCCCTCCGGTCCGGCCCCGCCGCGCGCGGCATTGTGGGAGTTGTGGTCCGCGCGGCCCCGCGGAGCGCAGCGCCGCGTCGGCACCGGCGGGGCATCAGCGCGGCTCCCGCTCGGGCTTCCGCGGCGTGGGCCGGGCAGCGGCCGGGCGGTGGCTCCGCGGCGCGGGCGGGGGGCGTCCTCGCGTCCGCGCCCTCGGGCGGCGGAGTCGCCCCGGCCCCAGCGGTGGCTCCTGCCGCCCGCGTGCCGGGGCGCAGGTAAGCGGCACCTCTGGGGGCTGCGGGGCGGGAGGGCGGCGCGGCCCGGCCGACCCCGCTGCGGGAGGAGGAGGCGGGGGCCCGGCGGCTGCAGGCCCGCGGTCCCCAGCCCGGCGGCGCGGCCGCTGAGGATGCTCCAAGACGCCGGCGCCCGCCTGCGCCCCGCATCCCGGCCCGGCGAGGGGCCCAGCCGCCCGGCGCTCGCTACGTGCTGAGCGCCGCCGACTCGTCTGTGTTGGCGGCCCGGGTCGGGCATCGCTGTCCTCCTATCCCCTGCCCCATCGCGGTCCCCTACTTCGCGTTAATGCCCCCCCACATCACCCTCCTTCCCAGTGTCCCTCCTTGATCCCAGTCCTTGCTTGCTATTCCCCACCCCGCAGCCCTGAGCATCATCCACTTCCCATATTTCCCATGGTAACCCTCCTCCCTTGTGCCATGAGTTCTAAGCATAAGCCCCATTCCCTACCCTTTAGCTGATCGCCTACTTTTCCTGTCAATAGTCACCTTTCTCTTTCCCATCCCCCTCCTCCCTGACCTCCTGGTGGTCACCGTCTATATTAACCCATCCTCTGCCCTCCCCTTTCCCCCCACTCTCCAGAGTGTGTGGATGTAGAAAAAGCTGGCCAGGAAAGTGAGGGGGAAAGGTCCCCAGGTTCCCACGGGAGGGCTGGCCCCAGAGCAGCTCCTGGCTCACCTTGCCGGGGCTACCTGCTACTGGGGCCTTCTGGGGTGACCTGGCCTCACCCTGAGAATGACCAGAAGCCTTTTAGCACCGGACAGCCCCTTGGACTGGTAGTGTGAACTGGATTAACCAGGTTAGAGCTATCTAAGGCTGTCCTCCAGGTAGATGTTCACTGTATCAGAAGTTATATTTGATTGGACTTGCTCACCAGTTGGCCACGAATTTGAACTTGATTCTCCCAAGGCGGCTGACCTTTACGATCTGGGGTTGCATATTATTAAAGTGCAGAACTGCAATGAGATGTGCTCAGCCCTAACGAGGACAGAAGTGAAACATGAAAATGAACAGATGTATGAAAGAAACTGGAAGTTAGCTGTGAGGTGGGGGTGGCGGAATCCATGCCCTCCCCATTAGGGAGATGGGGGGTTGTCACTGGGCGCACTGGGATCAGATGTTTGAACCAGTATTTAATAAACTGCCAATCACCCTACAAATGCATGGGTTACTTTTAGTGTCATATTTCAGCTGGGAGCTTGTTACTCCACCTCTGGGCTGGGGCCTGCCTGCATATTGTGGCTAAAAGTAACTGACAGGTCTGAAAAGTCTGAACTTCAGCTCTCAGGGCTTTATGACCTGGAGCTCAGGGAATCGGGATCTTTGGTTGCCTGTGCTGAGAGCAGGGTCTGGGGAGCACTCATGGCCGTCATTGTGCAGGATGATGCTTTCCCAAGGGGGGGTGAGCTGCAGGGGTGTGCAGTGGAGCGATTCCTTCATCCTCTCCTCTGTCCTCCACGGCTTCATGTTGATTGACTTACCCTGTAGTGCTTAGCAGGGCGGATGGGAACTAACACTTTACAGGTGTTTGTCAAATTATCACCATCTCACTCCTAGAGCATTTAAGGAAATCTCTCCTCCTGAGAGAGGGAGTTGAAAAGTTCCAGTTGGGAGTTCAGCTCAGTGGGGGGTGGAATCCTTTTGGTAACGGTGCTTGTTATTATGCAGGGGGTAGTTTCCCACTGAAGTTCAGGAACCCTGGGGTTCCGCTTGGGAGCCAGCTTGCAAGCAGAATCATTCAGATTTTCTTTCCCTGCTCAAGAGGAAACAGTTGCCAGTTAAGAGAGAACCAGGGGTCCAGAGGGAGGTCTGTTTCCATCCAGTGGGACCCTCTTCTCCCAAATCTGGAGAAATTGAGAACACGTGAGAAAAAAAAATCAGCGTCTAACCTCCCCATTCTTGTATTTCTCCTAGAAACATAAAAAACACGCATGCATATTTACATGTGTGATTTGGACTCACTGAACACAGCAGTCCAGTGGCTCCTTATTCAGCCTGAGCCAGGAGGATGCAGAGAGGCAGTTCATGATCACCTAAGGCTTCCCTTTCATGTTTGGCTTTGCAGGTCTGAGGACTCTAAAAACATCACTTGAGATGTGTGGCAACAACAGTGTTGGAATTTTCGCTCCTGCGCTGTCTTTCTCTGACGTCCCACCTGTGGTTTGCTGGCTAATCAAGATGGGATGTGACATGTCATAGCAGTTACCAGAGCATATTGCACGCTTACCATGACATCGTGACTGTAAGTGCTTGACGTCTGTCGCTCATCTCCAGTGCAGAGGAGGAAACTGAGTCGTAGAGAGGGCAAGTGACCTGTCCAGGGTTGGGAGTAGTACTCAGTGTAGCCATCTCCAGCTTGGGTTCTTAATCTCTCTGCTCCATTGCAAGAATTTTCAGGCCACATTTAATCCTGAAAGGGGAGGATACAGCTTTGCCACTGTTTTAGTTGCCTTCTCGTATTCCTGAGAGAGGAAAGAGAGGGCAGAGTAGAAAATGGATTGTCTGAATTATTTTGCTCCTGAAGATGAGGGGATGTGTTAGGATCAGATTAGAAAAAGGATGGACAGAGGGTTTCAGCTGGGAACATGGCAAGGGCTTTATAGACAAGGACAACGTGACAGCTGGGCTCTGATCGTACTTCTAGGTTATTAGGATAATCAGGATGCCAGACAGTGGCCCTAACCATCAGTGAAATACGTAGCGAAGCACCTTCGTCTGATTTGGAGAATGACACCTGAAAGGCCTTTTATTTCTATTCTGTGTCATCATGTCCCTTTCATAACTTCATGAGTGAGGCCAGGAAGTAGTATCCCAAGTGGGTAGGTGAAAATGCCCAGTGTCTGCCATGGCTGTGACCACGGAGAGCCCACTTCCTTTTCCAGTTTGATTTAAGCCCAGCCCATGTCGGAAGGGCAGGAGAGATGAAATAAGAACGATGGAGTGCTATGAAAACAAAGGGAAATGGAGAACATGCAGTTTAAAGTTCCGTTGCCATTTTTTTTTTTATCCTCACCCAAGGACATTTTTGCATTTATCTTCAGATAGAGCAGGAGAGAGAGAGAGGGAGGAAGAGAGAGAGAGAAACATTGATGTGAGAGACACATCAACTGGTTGCCACCCACATGACCCCAACCGGGGCCAGGGACAAACTACAACTGAGGTATGTGCCCTTAGCGGGAACCGAACCTGGCGCTCTCTGGTCCACGGGCCGACGCTCTAACCGCTGAGCCAAACTGGCCAGGGCTCCTTTGCCATTTTAAAAATGCTTTTAAACCCACATTTCTTTAAAGGTACAGAGATTGAAGGAGAATAAGCGTTCATTAAATATCTTGTATGAAAGAGTATAGCAAAATGGAGAGATACCACTTTGAAGTCAGATGGGATTTGTGTCCCTGCCATGGCTGCATGAACTTGCAGCAGTTATAGCACCTCTCTGAGCCTCAGTTTCCTCATCTGTGAAATGGGAACTCAAGCACCTCCGAAGGATGACATGAAATGCACGGGGCTACAGATTACCAAGCAGGACTTGATGCAGACGAAACGCTGCTGGTCTTTGGGAAATGGGGGGGGGGGGGTAAAGTGGAGAGAGAAGGCACACGATGGAGAAGCATGTCCCCTGCCAACAAGGACCTTACAAAATGACCTGGGACTTCACATTTCAGTTGACTTTTCCAGGTGTAAAAATTTATGCTGGTTTTTTTTTTTTTTTTTCCATCTCAGGTTTGGACTTCCTAAGAAAGTTATTTCACAGTGACCGACACCTCTTGCTAATGTGACATAAAGCAGCTCCTTCCACTCTATTTACAGGGACGTTTGCCTGGAGTGGACTTGGTGGGCACAGGCGGCCTCGGTGTTTGTCGATGTCACCCTTGGCAGGAACCGAGGAGCAGGGGCAGCCATGGCCCCCCAGGGCCCCAGCTGCCCCACGCTAACCTGCAAGGTGTGGGTGCCCTTGGGACCCCAGAGGACTGACTGACCTTGCTTCGCACCCACAGCAACAACTCCCCCACGATGTTGCCCGAGTGGCTGGTGGCCTGGAGCTGGTCGCTGGATGGCCTGCGGGACTGCATCGCCACGGGCATCCAGTCCGTGCGGGACTGTGACACCACCGCCATCGTCACCGTGGCCTGCCTGCTGGTCCTGTTCGTGTGGTACTGTTACCACGTGGGCCGGGAGCAGCCCCGGCCCTACGTCTCCGTCAACTCCCTCATGCAGGGCGCAGATGCCAGCGGGCTGCAGAACGGCTACGTGTACTGCCAGTCGCCCGAGTGCGTGCGCTGCACCCACAACGAGGGGCTCAACCAGAAGCTCTACCACAACCTGCAGGAGTACGCCAAGCGCTACTCCTGGGCGGGCATGGGCCGCATCCACAAGGGCATCCGCGAGCAGGGCCGCTACCTCAGCAGCCGGCCCTCCATCCAGAAGCCCGAGGTCTTCTTCCTGCCCGACCTGCCCACCACGCCCTACTTCTCCCGGGACGCCCAGAAGCACGACGTGGAGCTGCTGGAGCGGAGCTTCCAGACCGTCCTGTGCGAGTTCGAGGCCCTCTACAAAGCCTTCTCGAACTGCAGCCTCCCGCAGGGCTGGAAGATGAACAGCACCCCCAGCGGGGAGTGGGTCACCTTTTACCTGGTCAATCAGGGGGTGTGCGTTCCCAGGAACTGCAGGAAGTGCCCACGGACGTACCGCTTGCTCGGAAGCCTCCGGACCTGCATTGGGAACAATGTTTTTGGGAACGCGTGCATCTCCGTGCTGAGCCCTGGGACTGTGATAACGGAGCACTATGGACCCACCAACATCCGCATCCGATGCCACTTAGGTATGTCGTAGGGCGGGGCTCCGGCTCGCACCCTCCTCCCTAGAGTCGAACCCAGACTTGAAAGCTCAGTAGCCAGAATCGTGCTTTCTTCACAGTCTTCACTGTGCTTCTATCACAGGTTGATGCATCACCCGTAAACCGTTTTTGACGGCAGAGATTGGGGTCAGAAAAGAAACATGTGATCAGTCCGAATCTACCACTGACGCGCTCTGTCCAGGGGAGTTGTCTGCGCTGATAGAAATGTCCCCAGTGCGCTGTGTAGCACGGTGGCCACTAGCCCCGCGTGACTGCCGAGAGTTTGAGGTGTGATTGGTGCAACTGAGGCGCTCAGTTTTTAACTTCATCTAAATTAGAATTGAAACAGCAGCGTATGGCCAGTGGCTACTGCACTGGACCGTGGAGCCCAGAGCCGAGACTGTCACAATGATCACTGAGGTCGGGAGGCTGGGAATGACCCTCAGTGCCTTCTGAATAGTCGGAGATGAGATGAGCTTGGTGGTGGCTTTACTCAGATCCTGGGGAAAGGTAGGGCATGTATTGTGTGGATCTGTGGCTCCGGGACAGGGCTGGAGTCAGATTGCCTGTGTGTGCGTCCTGGCCCTGCGCTGGCTGTGTTGCCTTGGGCGAGTCACTTCACCTCTTGGGGCCTCCACTTCCTCCGAGGACAGGGCTGGAGTCAGGTTGCCTGTGTGTGCGTCCTGGCCCTGCGCTGGCTGTGTTGCCTTGGGCGAGTCACTTCACCTCTTGGGGCCTCCACTTCCTCCGAGGACAGGGCTGGAGTCAGGTTGCCTGTGTGTGCGTCCTGGCCCTGCGCTGGCTGTGTTGCCTTGGGCGAGTCATTTCACCTCTCGGGGCCTCCACTTCCTTGTGTGGAAGATCATCTTGTACTGAGTTGTTCTCAGGATCTGCTAAGAGAACGTGTATTGCGAAGCATTTGTTCACAGAGCTTGATAGAGAGGGAGTACTTAATAAAAGTAGGCTTGAAAACGGCTCGGTAAATAGGGATATCAGTTCCCCAGAGTGCCCGGTTCGTCCCTGGTGAGTCATGATAATGGCTTGGTTACCTGGGCGATGGCCCCGCGAGTTAGCATCCCGGACTGGAGGAGTGTGACGGAGCCTCGGGGAGGGGAGTGCAGCCTGCCTGGACTGGAGGAGTGTGACGGAGCCTTTGGGGGGGGGCAGCCTGCCTGGACTGGAGGAGTGTGACGGAGCCTCGGGGAGGGGGGTGCAGCCTGCCTGGACTGGAGGAGTGTGACGGAGCCTCGGGGAGGGGGGTGCAGCCTGCCTGGACTGGAGGAGTGTGACGGAGCCTCGGGGAGGGGAGTGCAGCCTGCCTGGACTGGAGGAGTGTGACGGAGCCTCGGGGAGGGGAGTGCAGCCTGCCTGGACTGGAGGAGTGTGACGGAGCCTTTGGGGGGGGGCAGCCTGCCTGGACTGGAGGAGTGTGACGGAGCCTTTGGGGGGGGGGCAGCCTGCCTGGACTGGAGGAGTGTGACGGAGCCTTTGGGGGGGGGCAGCCTGCCTGGACTGGAGGAGTGTGACGGAGCCTCGGGGAGGGGGGTGCAGCCTGCCTGGACTGGAGGAGTGTGACGGAGCCTCGGGGAGGGGGGTGCAGCCTGCCTGGACTGGAGGAGTGTGACGGAGCCGAGGCCCTGCTGGGGGTGGGGAGCCTGCCTGGGCGTCAGGCTGGAGGAGGGAAGTCATGCGGAGCCTGGAGCGGGCCTGAGCGGGATGCCCCGTGCCCACCACACCCCTTCACTCGCCCCGAGCCCTCTGCTTCTCCTGCTCCCTCTCTGGGATTGTGATGAAGTGCGGCTTTGACGGTGGGCTTCACTGCTCTACAAACACGGAACCAGATTTGGGCAGCTGCCACGGCATCCTGGTCAGCTCTGGGCAAGTACCCGAGTCTCCCTGTGCCTCCATTTCCTCATCTGTACAATGGGGAGGTAGTAGTTATCTCACTGGGTCATTGGAGGATTAAAGGAAGTAGTATCTCCGTGGCTCCTGGACACAGTGCCCAGCACGTGGCAGTGTTCAGTGAACAGTTGCTGGTAGCTTTGAGGCTCAGACACTGTTGGACAGTGTCACAGAGAATCCATGAGACACGGTCTCTGCCCTCAGGAACAGTGGGAAATGGCAGAGGCGGAAGCAAACACAGCTGGACTCAGACGTTAGCCCCGTTTGCTGAGTGACCTGGGGCAGGGCTAAGTCTCTGAGCCCCGGTTCCTCCTGTCTCCAGTGGAGGCGATGACACCCTCCTGGGGGCCGGTTGGGGGTTAGCAGTGCTGTGTGTAAAGTACTTGCAGGCAGAGAGCGGTCCAGTGCGGGGCCACTCATTAACCTGAGAGGTGAGGCGTCGTCCAGGTGACGGGTCCTCAGTAGAAGCGCTGTGCGAGGCACCAGGGTACTCTCCACGGACAGAGGACCACAGGGCTGCAGGCGGGCTGCTCCGGGAGGTGGTCGGACCTTGAAGGGTGGAGTCGGGAAGAAGGCTTCCCCTCAGGGGTTGGGGAGCCGTGTCTGGGCTCAGTGGGGCGTCCAGTGGTGGAGGCTGAGGTTGGAGAGGTCAGGTGGGAGCGAACCACAGAGAGCCCCCATCAGGCAATGGGGGAAAAGGCTGGGCTTTTTTTAAAGGGTTTTCTTTTATGTTTTCTAAAAACTGCAAAGCGAGGCAGGGAAGGGCCTTCGAGGATGGGTGTGGTAGAACTCCAGGTGTGCCGAGTAGGAAGGGCTGGTGGTGAGAAAATCACAGCTGTGTGCCTGTGCACTAATGCCTGTGTGCATCTGTGCAATTCACGTGTGTGTGCATGTGCGTGCATGTGTGTAAATCTCCCACACAGGCCCTCTTTATGACCTGTCGCTCCCTTCTCGGCCCAGCTCGTCACTGGCCAGCAGAAAAGGTGGACCACGTCACGTTCCCTGGCCGGCAGGGAACCTTGGAAGACGTCCAGTCGGAGTGGGGCTCGTCCCCGAGGCCAGGGCGAGCTCGTGGTTGGCTTTGCTCACCGTTTCCTTCTTCCCAATGCCATGCCCACGTTCGCATCTGCCCAGAAAGGAAATAAGGGTGTGTTTGGGTCATGTGACCTTGAGTGTTGCCAGAGAGGGAGTCCAGAGAATGAGGTCAGAAGCAGGGCTAGCCTGATGCGTGCCCGGTGGTCCCGCCTCTGCCAGTTACCTGGCCGAAGGTGCGGAGGTACCTGTGATTCTTGAAATGCCAGCCCTTGTCCTTTGCTGCTTTCTGTCTGAGTTGTGGCTGGTGGAACTGTCCCCCCAGCAGCTGCCCCCCCAGCCACGGCTCTTCCTGTGCCCAGTCCATTTGCTGAGCCCTGTCCTGAGCTACCTCTAGAGGTGGCGTCACTCCCGTGCAGAACCTCGGGACAGCTCCAGTCCAGCCACCACCCCGCATTGTGTACGGGGCTGGCCCGTCCCAACCGCACTGCCACCAACCTCCAGAAAGCAACTTCTGACTATTACCAGGCAGGCGCCACCGGGGAGGCAGATTCCTGTCCAAATGGCCGACTCTCGAGAAGGGTAGATGGAAAGGCGTGAGCGCATTCAGCCGATTCTCACTAAATGAGCAGACTCGGCCCTCATTCTCCCTTCGTGCACATGCCGTTGGGTGTCTGGGCTGCTGAGCCACGTGGTAGCAGCGGAGCGGCTCCTGTTTGCCGCGCCCGCCCTGAGTGCCAGCTGCTGGCCTTCCGAGTGGGGCCTGGTGGGCGGAGCCTTTTCTCCGCCTCCTGCCTCCTCCGGGGTTGGTGGGGACGAAGCAGCAAACCCTAAGCCAGAGAGGAGCCTGGGCGTGTGGGGGTGGCCGAGGCCATGTGCGGGGCCTGACTCTGTCCCCAGGAGCCACCCACATTCTCGTTTGGGGGAGTATTGATTACTTCTGCCAACTAAACTGGTTTGTGGGAAGGGGCAGAACGGTGGGCCCCTGGGAGGCCGGAGCAGAGTGTGGGGGTGGCGGGCAGAGGAAGCAGGGGACTGGCAAGCCCGCAAGCCAGGCCATTTTTCTACTGTACCGTGGTGCGCGGCCATCAGTCCTTCGGTGTCACAGAGAAGGGGAGCGTCTCGTAGACTGTCCCTGCCAAGAAGCACCTGTCCTGAGGCCTTCACCTGAACTGGCCGGTGAGGCATGACAAGAGGCTGTGGCCGGTGGGGCTCTCTTCATCTGAGCCAGCGAGCGGCGGCTGAGCCCTTGACAGTCCGAACCCCACGGCAGTTGTTACCAGTAGCGGGAGGTCGTGGTTGCAGAGTCAGAATGGACAGTCTCGGCCGATGCGTGACCTGTGCTATTGATGGCTGAAATATATTAACGGCAGGAAAATCAACGATCGCTTTTCTACCACTGCTACTAGTGCAATAACTGGCATTTATGTCACGCTGTCCAGTGTTTTATCATGCTGCCCATGCTGTTCTTTGGAGCCAGACAGACTGGATTCAAATCTGAGATGCTCGAGGACTAAATGGTGACTCCCAGCAGGCCCCTTAACTCCTCTGCATGCCAGTTGCTCCCTCTGGGAAGGAGGCGAAGTGGTGTCTGTAAAGTGTGTATTTAACACAAGCCTGCTCACAGTACGTCTCCAGTTATTAGTAGCAAGGACAGTGGTCGCAGTAAGTATGTAATGTCCCCTCCTTACAGACAAGGAGGCTGCGGCTCAGAGAGGTTGAACACTTGCCCAGTGTCACACAGCAGATAAGACTGCTGGTCATCTGATGCCAGGTCCTCGGTCCTTCCACTACTCCGACTGGCCTGTTAGAATTCTCTTTCTCTCTTTTTTTTTTAATCTTCACCTGAGGACATTCCTCCATCTGTCTTTAGGTAGAGTGGGAGGGAGAGAGAGAGAGACATCAACGTGGGAGAGACACACCGACCGGCTACCTTCCTCACAACCCCAACCAGGACCGGGGATCGAACCTGTAACTGAAGTACATGCCCATGGCAGCAATGGAATCGAACCCGCGACTCTCTGGTCCGCGGGCTGACGCGCTCACTGCTGAGCCATACCGGCCAGGGTGCCTGTTAGAATTCTTACTGTGTTCATGCTTCCTGGAGCCATCAGTTTCTGGCTCGAGGGCGCATTAAAACACCTTGCGTGTGACAGAAAGAGCTGCCTCATGCTTGTCAGGAGGGATACTGCTGACTGGCTCGGGGTCCTGGTTGGCACAGGGAGTCACTGCGGACAGATGAGAACACCACAGGCCCAGCCCCGCGCCCAGGGCCCGCCCCCCGGCAGCCCTGCGGGAGAGCTGTCAGGCTGCCCAGCCTCTTCTGCGTCCGCAGACCGTGGGAGGGGAGACGGGGCTGAGGGCGCCGGTGGCAGCACCCCACCGCACCCCTCTCCGGGGTGAGGCACGCGCGGGACTCACCACCAGGCCTTACATATGGCTCCTTACAAAGGCGTCATTCCACATTCTCTTGACGCTCGGGGTTTTCGGAGGGTGTCCCCCAGGTTCCCACGTGAGGCCAGGGAAACCTGGATAAAGGACATGCCGTCCCGGGCCTCAGACGGATTCAAGGGTTAAGACCCAGAGGAAAGGGCGCCGTGTGAGCCTTTGCATCCTTCATCTCTCCTGAAACAGCCCTGGAGACGGGACTGCAGGAAACAGGTCATCGAGAGGCAGGCAGGGTTCCAGCCCGGCCGATGTGGCTCAGTGGTTGAGCGTCGACCCACGCACCAAGAGGTCGCTGGTTCGATTCCCCATCAGGGCACATGCCCAGGTTGTGGGCCCGATCCCCAGTGGGGGGCATGCAGGAGGCGGCCAATTGATGTTCTCTCCCATTGACGTTTCTATCTCTCTCTCCCTCTTCCTTCCTCTCTCTCTCAAAATCAATAAAGAAAAAAATTAATAAAAAAAAAAAGGCAGGGTTCTAAATCTGGCACCCTCCATTTCTGGGGGGTCCCATGGTTGGGCTCCAGGAGTCTTAAAAGTGCAGGGCAAGCCTTGGTTCCGGGGGTCCGTGATCCAGAACAGATTAAGCCAGTGGAGGAATGAGTTTTCCAAGGAGTGTGGTGAGGGTCCAGGGGCTTAGCCTGTATTTGCCCTGTTAAACTACCCCGCATCCCAAACAGGGCTCCCCGGGGTGGGGGTCAGGACTGGAAGTGAGAGCTGTCCCCAGAGCAGCCCCCCCTGCCTTCCAGCCGGGCCACCTGCCTTCACGCTCCTGTCCTTTCCCCCAGGTCTGAGGACTCCGAGCGGCTGCGAGCTGGTGGTGGGCGGGGAGCCCCAGTGCTGGGCGGAAGGCCGCTGCCTTCTCTTCGACGACTCCTTCCTGCACACCGCGTTTCACGGAGGTGAGCGCGTCTTCTCCGCTGCTTTCAACATGCACTTCGCTTTTAGAGCAGTGTGAGGTTTCCAGAAAAATTGAGCAGAAAGTACATGCCACCCCCCGACAGTTCCCCCTTTTATTAACATCTTGCATGAGTGTGGTACATCTGTTACGGTTGACGAGATAGTATTTACCGCTGTTGTTAGCTACAGTCGATGGTTTACATTAGGGTACGTTGTGCGGGTTTTGACAGATGTATACCGACATGTGTCGACCACGGCAGGAGCACATGGAACGGCTTCGGTGCCGTAAATATCCTGAGCTCCTACCACGCATCCCCCCTGCCTGTCCTGGTTTGCACTCTGCCCGGAGCTCAGGGAGCTGGATCACACTCCTGATCGGAGGTCTTCCGAGCTGTGCCTGAGAGAACCGTGTGGGCTCCAGCTCTGCGTGGGCCCCGGCTCCGAGGCTGTTCAAACCTCTCCTCTGTCGCCCCCATCCCAGGTTCAGCGGAGGACGGCCCGCGGGTGGTTTTCATGGTGGATCTGTGGCACCCGAACGTTGCTGCGGCTGAACGGCAGGCCCTGGATTTCATCTTCGCTCCCGGCCGGTGAGAACAGCCGGTGCTGGGGTCGGCAGGAGCAGCCTGGGGACAGCCTGGACACACTGGTGCAGCCCAGCGCCCACCGGGTCACGGTTCCGTGCTTCGAAACCTGACTCAGCAGAAAGCTCTTATTTGGGGTGTTTACACCACGTGGGGTCCCTCTTTCCTTTCATCGTCATTAGTGGGAAATGGGGGCTTGTATTTCCTTAGGTGGTTTTCCTTCTGCTCACCTGCCCCTGCGATTCGTTTCCGCCTCCTGGTGTGTCCCTTTGCTGTGACCAGAGGCGCGGTGCCCGCTGTCTGTCATGTTCCTGGGTTTTTCCGTCCTCTGAAACAGTGATCAGATGGTTCTTTGTCTGAATGCAACAACATAACTTCTTGTGGTCACCTTAAGAGAAAAAACAGAACAAAGCAAACAAAACACTGCAAACCAGAGCGCTGGAGAAGTTGGCCTGCGCCGCTGTCAGCCACACAGGGCACCCCTCAGCACCCCGGGCCGGGGACAGTGCAGCCCCACACCTGGCCGGCTGCGTGGGCAGCGTAGGCACGGTCAGGGGCAGTGCACAGGGTCATGGCCGGGGGAAATGTCACCTTCCACTCGCCCCGCCGTGCACCCTTCAGGTCTCTGGTGGCAGCTTGTTCGGCAGCTGGGACTGGACACTGACAGGCTGTCCCGGGACGCTGCCTTCCTTCAGGAGGCTGCTGTCCTCATCGGAGCTCCCACGATCAGCCACAGAACGTGGAGCTCACTCACCTCACTGCCTACAGAAACCCCACTGCCAAACCGGGCCTGGACAACCCCCGTTTCAGCTGTTTCGATGGTGAACCTGAGATCACCTGGTTGGCCGGTTGGAGCTGTGGTGGGGTGATGAGACTTCACCCCTCCAGCGACATCCGGGAAGCCTTCTGTGGCACAACCGGAATCAAGATGTGACCAAGTGTCCGTTCCGTCTGGAGTTCTGTTCCCGTGATTTCCCATTGATCTGTCTGTACATAAACGTCCCAGGGCTGGACTCGGAGACAGTGGAAGAGCCAGCCCGTGTCCCCATCATTGCACGCGGTGTGTGCTGAGCAATGGCGGCCTAAGCGATGTGTGAGCGAGGACACTGGGAAGCCTGACAGACCCCAAGGACCCGGAGTCCCAGAGCTGGACTTGCAGTCTCCTGCGAAGCAGTGGCCAGGAGGCACCCAGTCTAGAAACAGCCTCCTGCTAGCTAGCGTGAGGAGGGCAGCCTGCAGCCATGCTGGAGATGCCGAGTGGCAGCAGTGGCAGCTCGATGCGGCCGTGCCGCAGTACGGATGACACAGTCTGTCCCCTGTGCAGGTCCAGCGACGCCAGCAGCTTCTGTGAGGAGCAGCGTCAGAAGTAAACGCGTCTCGAAGTGCACCAGGCAGTTACTAGCAAGTGTGCAAAGGAGCCGTGTCTACGGTTGAGCAAAACTTCTGCAAGATGTTGTTCAGTGATTAGAATGCAGGAAAGGGCAGACATTTCAAAACACCTGGCGTCTTTCTACTCATTAAGTATTTGTTCAAGAACCACTGAGGTGCATGATTTCTGTACATACCGATGCTCTACGTTTACAAAGCCCACAGCCCGCACAGGTACCTGGCTGCCTGCGCTCATGGGACCTGGTTGGGGAACAGGAGGTGAATAAAGGATTTGCTGAAAACCAGAGTGAACTGGTAAAGCTGTCTGTTGGGAAGAAGACGGGACTTGGGCGGAAGCCCCGAGCGGGGCACACGTGAGTTGGAGGCTCTTGGTTTTTGGATCGAGTCACAGCGACAGGCGGGACCCTGGAAGTGGTCCCGTGCGGTGCCTGCAGCAGAATGTTCTGCGATGGGGGGCGGGAGGCGCGAGAGCAGAGCGAGGGGCTGTTCAGGGATGCCGCTGCCACACTGGCAAAGAGAAGGACCCTGGCTTGAGGAAAGCGGAGTGCCCGGCGCTCGTCCCCATGCGACCTCAGTGTGCTCCGCTGCAGCAGTGGCACCCGGCACGTGGGTCCCCTTCCCGCCACGCAGTGCTCAGCTGTTACAGACGCAGGGGAGGAGGGGTGGGCGCACACATCTGATCGGGGTCCTGGGGCCAGGAGAGCCCCTGGCTCCTCTCCGTGACCTGTGGCTGCTACCGGGGGAGGAGCAGGTTGCTCAGTAGCTGCATTTTGCATTTTTTCCCTTTGTCTTAGAAGAGGGACAGGTGATGCTGGTGGCCTGGCCCCGAGGGGCAGCCTGGCTGCGGTGTTCTCCCCGTGCCAGCCGCTAGCAGCCGAAGCCCTGGCTGGGCTGCCGCAGCAGACAGGAAGAGCACCACTCACTGGGGACCGAGGTGTCTCGCTCCCTCGAAGTGCGTCGCCAGCGAGGCAACTGCTACAGTAATGTGTCAGCTAGGGATGCCCCAGGTGACGGGGGCCAGCGCGCCGGCCGGCTCAAGGGGCCCTGCCTCTACCCAGAAGCAGCCCGCAGCCGCTTCCAGACCAGGGTCACAGCCCAGGGCTCCCAGCCACCTGCTCTTCCTCCCCAACCTCCAGATTATCTGGGTTCTGAGCCCCTTGGTGACAGTGACCACCCCTGTCATAGTGAGTACCCCATAGTTTATAGTGGGGGGGAGGGTACTCCTAATCCACTCGGTCTTGACTTTGGCTGCACAGTACAATCATCGGGGGTTTTTGAGAAATACAGATGCCCGTACCCCACCCCCACAGCATCACATTTCTAGGTTCAGGCGGTAGGGTCCAGGTCCCGGTATTTGTTTTAACATTTTCCTGCCCAGATTCTAATGTGTAGCTGGAACTGAGGGTCGCTGTACTGAAGAAGAAGAAAAATAGAAAAGCCTTTGAAACCAGCTGGTTGAGATTAGAGCCTGGGCAGTGCCACCTCACCTTGGTCTCTAGGGGGCATGTTTTAAACACACTTCTCCAACAGTACCTGGTGAGCCAGCCCCTTATAAGGCCATAACAACCCTATTCTCAGGCCTTAGGTCTCCCGGGCATGACCCAGCCCCAGTTGCAGGGCTCTGTTTGAGACCCAGGACTGACCAATCGGAGCTTTCCAAACTTTTAGCTACTCGGGACATGACCCTCACTGCACCAATCAGCCTTTTAAACTCCTGGGCAGTCAGACTGGGTCAGGGCTGGGCACATGATCCAAATTCTTTGGCTGGAACCCTTGAGAAAGGCAACTTTCAGGGGTGGAGGTGGGGATCCAGTGTAAAGAAAATCCTGGAGTGAAACCCACAGAGAAAGGTCCCACCCTGTGGGGGCCACCTGAGTCCTACCTATGACAGCTGTCCCGGAACAGCTGTCCCCCTGGACTTTCAGTCACATGAAGCAGCGAGCTCCCCTTTTATTCTCAAGCCAAGTTTGAGCTGTGGTTTCTGTCCCTTGTCACCAAGAGTCCTAATCCATTCCTAGCTTCATCTATAAAATGGGCCCAATGCCTACTTTCAGGCTTAAAGTGAGGTTTGAATAAGATGGCGAATTCTGGGTGAACTGGGTGTGCTCCATACGTACTTTACAATGTAAACATGCAAAGCAAAGGCTGAGTAGAAAACGCTGTTTTAAGGACCACCCTCCCTGCCTCCGGCTCCCCCCCCCCCCCAGAGCGGTTACCCCCCAGCCCAGCCGATCTCGCTCAGCAGATGTAAACGCAGGGAGCGGAACGAGTAAGGCCATGTATTTCCGAGCTCTGACAGATGGCAGTGGAAATACCCAGGCAGACTGCAGCACCGGGTGACAGGAGGCAGCGCGCACGGATCGATCCACTTTCTGCCTCCTTCCCAGGCACACACGTACATTGGTCCTGCTTTCTGGTCCCCGTGTTCCCACTCTGATGCCTTAGCCCCCCCGGATTCAAGGTGAGGGCGAGGATTCTTCCACACACGGTACTATCACTGTGAGGAACGCCACATGGGGCGGGGGCAGGGGTGCTGGTTGAACACGAGGAGGCAGGCGCAGAGCGGCACCGATGGGAACAAAGGCGTGGCTGGCGGGAGGATGGCCGCAGTTAGACGTCGGTAGCCAAGACCCAGCAGCAGTCTTCTGAACCCTACACATGCATTCAGGCCTCGCTCTCCGCAGCCTGCAGAGCGACCCCCTGCCCAGGACCCCTGGGCGCCACCTGACTTCTCAGGACGCTCAACAGCACGCCAGGCCTTTAAATACATGCCGTTTTCCTCTCCGTTGTAAAGAAGACACAGGTCCAGAGATGAAGTACCTTGGATCCGTTTCCACTGCGGTAAGTCACAGAGCTGCGATCAGAACCCAGGTCTCTGACACCAAAGCCATGAGCTCCTGTCGCCACAGGAGCCATGGTGCGTTCAGACTGAAGTGCCGTGACCAGCACACACTGGAGCCTGCTGTCACCCTACCCTGCCTGTGGGCCTTGTTGGGTCCCAAGGGCAGGGCCCAGCGATGAGGGAGGGGGCAGGAGAGAAGGGCTGGCACTCGGCTTGGACACTGGTAATCAAGAAGTGGCCTCTTGCCCTGGCCGGTTTGGTTAGTGTTGCCTGCGGACCAGTGAGTCGCAGGTTCAATTCAGGTCAAGGGCATGTACCTCGGTGTGGTTTGTCTCCGGCCCTGGTCAGGGTACTGTGGGAGGCAGCCAGTCGGTGTGTCTCTCTCACACTGATGTTTCTCCCTCTCTCCCTCCCTCCCACTCTATCTGAAGATAAATAGAAAAATATCCTCGGGTGAGTATTAAAAAAAAGAAAGAAAGAAAGAAATGGCCTCTTCTTGGCTCTCGACAGGATTGGAAAGGCCCTCTGGGTTTTACTCCCAGAAGTACAGCCGGTCTCAGGCTAGGACATTTAAAATAAACAGAGAGCAGGTGTCCTTTTCTAACCTTGAAGTCTTCAGACCTTCACCAGAAGGCTCCCATATCCAACCAGCATGTCGACAAAAGGTCCAGAGCATCCTTCTTCCCCCTAAGCTAGGATGGCTTCCACTCTGCCTTCCCGCGGTCCTCACAGAGGGTCCCCTCCTGCTGCTCCCTTCCGGGGACAAGCCGACAGCTAAGGGTGGGGCTGGGTGTGTGGGGCTGGAGGCCGTGAGCCAGGCCCGTACCGCGCACGGTTCCAGAGCAGAGATCACAGGTGTGCTGCAGGCCTTTGACAACATGCAACACCTGACGATTTCGTCGGGGGCTCTGACCTCTTTCCCTTCGGTTGTCAAATAAAAAGATGACAACAGCCAACACGAGGACAGCCGTCACTGCGCCCCCTGCCGCCTTCTTCACACCCGTCTTCTCTGTGTGGCGAACGGCCCTCTGCTTATGAGCACACTGGGGACGGCGTTCCGGGCCCACGTGGACACTCCAGGGTACTCTCTGCATCTCAAGAGCCGTGACTCAGTCACACCTGCACCACCGTCAGCACCTGAGGTAACAGGTTCCAGGGATCTGGACCTGGTGCCGTTGGAGGCCACCGTCCGCCCAGCCGCAGTGGCTCACAGTGGAGGGCGTGCAGCTGGCACTGCAGGGCGGGCTGAGGGACAGTGACTGGAGGCTTGAAGGGCACTCAGCCACATGGAAAAGGGACCCCCGAGGAGGTTCAACACTCAGGGTACACCATGGAGGGTGACTTCCACCAAGACCCAGTCTTCACTTGGTACAGCTGTCCAGGTGACAAGAGCGAGGAGCCCAGGTGCTTCCCTGCAGGGGAGGCGGTGTGATGTGGCTCCACTGTCCCTCTAGGGAACAGAGACCTTTTCCCAGCGGGAATCTCTTGGCCACTACTAATCACTCCACAGGGAACGCAGTCCTTACGCTCGCAGGTGGCAGCACTGAGCTTTATGACGCTGTCTTCTGTGGTCGGCTACGGGGGACAAGGGGAAGCCAGCCGGAGGGCAACGGGCTGCAGCGGCCACAGCCGAGCCTGGATGACTGCACCGGGGTCGCGGTGCGAGGTCCCAGGGGCTGCTGAACAGTGGAAATGCACTGTCAGCCACTCTCTGGGCTGACCCCAGCTATTTGGCATGGAAATAGGGGAGGGGACTGACCCTTTCCCACTCCAACGGCCTCCCAGGGCCCCAGCCTACGCATCCTGGGTCCAAGAAATGATCCTCACCCAGGAGCCTCCCAGCTTTCCCCACCGTGCTGCCCGTCCAGTGCCCACCTGCCGCGTGTCCTCAAACTCAGGGGGATGGCACTGTTGTCCCTGGGCTTCCACCACACCCCTCCCAGAGATGTTGGGTGGGGCCAGGACGGCTGGGACGTCCACTCGCACAGGGTGCCCTGCTCGGAGGCCCCTGAAACGCTGGCATGTGCAGGGGACAGGGCCGGGCCCAGAGGAAGCAGGGACCCAGCTGGCCATTAACGCCAGGCTCTGGACTTGTAGGGAGAGGTGAGGGCTACTCACCTCATCTACCCCGAGTTGTCCAGCACAGTTCGCCAAGGCGGGAAAGGAGGGAGCTGGCACCAGACTGATGCTTGGTCTAGTATTTGGCTCGAGTCCCTGTGCCAAAGTTGTCAGGACCCTAGTTTGAGGACGAGATATGGGCAAGCAAGTGCATTACCTATTGCCGTGTGAAAAACTACCCCCAAAGAATGGCTTCGAATATAGCTCTCTCACACACGGGGCTGGGGATTCAGAAGTGGGTTCTGGTTGAGGTTCTCACAAAGGTGTCGTCAGGATGTCACCTGAAGGTTTGACTGGAGCTGCAGGACCTGCTTCCAAGGTCCACTCACATGGCTGTCGGCAGGGGACCTCACGAGGGCCCCCCTGGAGCTGCTGGGATGTCCGCTTCACCCCACAGCAGGCGACCAGGAGGTGGGAGCCGCATGTTTCATAACCTGCCCTCACGAGTCACATGCCACCCCCCACATGCTGCTCACTGGAAACGAGCCACTAAGTACGACCCACACGCAGGGGAGAGGCGTTAGGTCCCCAATTTGCAGCAAGGAGCTTGTGGATGTATTTGAAAGTGACGACCGCGTGTGGGTCTCTGTTCTGCTGTGCTGACCACATGCTCTTCATCTGATCATTAGACTCAATCTGTCTGGCTGGTGTGGCTCACTGGTTGAACATCAATCCATGAACTAAGGGGTCGCCGGTTCAATTCCCAGTCAGGACACATGCTCGGGATGTGGGCCCGATCCCCAGTGGGGGCGTGCAGGAGACGGCCAATCGATGTTCTCTCTCATCGATGTTTCTCTCTCTCTCTCCCTTCCTTTCTAAAATCTATACAGGAAATAAAAATGTTTAAAAAAAAACTCAACTCAAAGGGAAGCACCCGGCTGCCTGGAGCACTGATTCCCAGAAACCAGAGCATTTCGTATGAAAAGCATGTTTAACTCAACAGCAGCCCTGGGAAATTAGATGGAAAGAGGTTTCTGAGTGCAAAACAAGTAAGATTAAGATCTGCGGACAGTCCGACATCCAGGACAGGGCCCGTGACAGCCAGCACGCTTGTGAAAGACCATGTGTGAAGAGTCCCTGAACCAGTTAGTCGAGCTCCTGGTGGGTGGATGGAAATGGGTCCAGGCTCCAAACTGTCCCTGTTTCAGCACAACAGCCTGTGATCCCACCCAGCTGGGGGGGGGGGGGGGTCCAGTTCGGGAGCACCAGGGAGCACCAGGAAAAGCTGGGCTGCTGAAACTACTCGGCAAAACAGGAAACGGAATGTGTCACGTGAGTCTGAAGGACCCTGAGTGGCTGGCGTGCAGACTGGCAGTGGGTTTCTTCTTGGAGAGCGTAGCGGAGAAGCGGGAGGTACATATTTATCCCAGCTTGAGCTCCAGGGCCCTCCGTGGGGAGGACCGCCCCCTGGGCCATCCAGTGGCAGGAGGGTGGAAGGGGCGGGCCAGCCTTGCCCAGGCGGGTGCTCCTGGAGCCGCAGGCTGTGACCCCGCCCTCGCAGAGACGCTCTGAAGTGCCCCCTTCCTCGCCCCGCCAACGGGCTCAGGCACGGGAAGGACAAACCTGTCCCCGCAAGTATACGCATACATGTACACGCACAAAATACCTTAACTTGGCACTAGAAGTGTTCCTCTTTAATTACTCAGAACTCAACAGCACTTTTGGTGGTTTTATTTTAGCCCTTGGAGACGTGTTTTAAGGAAAAGACAGCCTGTCATAACGTCAGATGTCTGTTCACTGACGTAGTTTTTTAGGTCGCAGTTTTCGGATGGAACCTTCCGGCGAACGTTCCCTGAGACTGTGGTCGATAGCGTCACACTGCACTGGCCCCGCGTCCGCCCACAAGGCAGCCGACGTGGCTCCGCGGCCCAGAGCACGAGTGGTTCCCGCACTCGGCACTGCTGAAAAGCAGTTCTGCTTTCGCCCTAAAACATTTTGGAAACTCCCACCTGGGGACACTGTGAAGAGGAAGTGGGCACAGAGATCTAACCGAGACGCAGGCCCGGCCTGTCATCTCCCAATTCTCCAGTCTTGCCACCCAGGGCTGTTGGTGCCACCAACCCAGCCTCACTTTCACGTGATCAGCACGGGCCCCGCGGTGGGCACTGCCCAGGACAGGCTCCTCGTTCTGAGCAGTCCAGTTCCAGAATCCAGACATGGTGGCTCCACCCGGACCGTGCCAGCCCTCCCAGGGGACCGCTCAGACAGTCTAGCTGGGAAACATGTTCTGGTCCGCCTGCTAACAAGCCCACCCCCTCTGTGTGCTTGCACCTCACACCGCCCCCTGCAAGCAGGGCTCGGACACACTAGGGACAACCAGGTTCTAGAAAACCACCCCCTGAATTCCGTGGTGCGTAAGGCTGGGACGGAACGGCAGCAGGTGGCAGGGGCCTCAGTGACAGGGACCTAACCTCCCTGTGCCTCTTTTATACAAGGAGCCAAAGCGCCTGTCTTGGCCCCAGGACGGCCCACGTATAAAGGTCTGATCACGAGCTCCCAGTCCGTGGACCTGAAGAGCTACCTGGTCCCTCTCCAATCTGCAAAAGGAGGATTAAACACTCCAACACCGTCACTTCCTAAAAAAGGGACTATTTCCAGGAAAGTAAAAGTTTTTCTGTTTAAAAAGGCAGAGCTTTTGTCGGTACTGGATTTGAGAGTCAGCTCCGGGCGAGGGCCGCAGTTCAAAGTAAGTTCACCCCGTGCTTCAGCAGCTTCTGCTTGGCTTTGCCTGGGAGGCTGAAGGCGCTGTCCTGGGGGTTCGGGAAGCCGGAGGTCCGCGAGGCCGACGCCAGCTGCTGGAAGTAGGTCTCCTGGATGGGGTTGCAGCAGGCGTACACAGCTGTGGAGGCATTTCTGCGGGGGGGAGAGGGTAACAGTCCAACGCTGCCTGAGCAGATCTCAGACCACAGAGGCCACACGAGGGGCTCAAGTGTGGCCCAGCACACCAGAGGCTGTGGGGACAGCTGCCACGGCTCTGGGTTCTACTTATTCACTGACTTTCAGGTTCTGTGCCAATGACCCCCTTCCGATCCTTTCAGCTCACTGGATGCTGGAACTGTCCGTGGTGGCCACAGACACAGGCCCGAAGCCATACTAACTGAATGTGTGAACCGACGGGTGCAGCGCTTTCTGCACAGCCCGGCTCACCCTCACTGGCTTCCTGCAGGGCTGGTGCCACCCCACCTGACAGGTGAGGGCCCAGAGGCTCGGGGGGGTGATCTGTCCGGCCTCCATGACAAGCGCGACAGCGTCTGAGGCGGGGGTCCGATCCTCTACACACGGGCAGTTGGATGGGGAGCGAGGGGGCAGAGTGGGATGTGAAATAGTGACAGGAAACCTGAGGACACAGAAGTAGAGGGAAGGAGGAGGGTTTGGGCAAAGGAGGACCCACTTGAGAGGAACCGACTCGGGCCAGGCGACCAGCTGGATCCTGGATCCCATCATGAACTCCTTCCCCACTGGGCCCGTTTCCCCAAATCTACTAAAAGTGTGGAGTAAGGAACCACTAAGGCTCCCCTCACCAGGTCTCCTTCTGTGTAAGGAGGGAAGAGGGTCCCACCCTCCTCCTCCACCTCTTCCCTCTGGGACCTCAAGGGGCTGGAAGGGCCCACTGGTATTCACGTCTTGTGCTGTCACTGGACCCGCAGGACAAGCCATGGATGAGCCATTACAGCCATGAAGGGGCCCCATGGCCTGGTGGCTATGAGCATTCCAGCCCAGCTGTGTGCCCTTGGCTAAGTCATTTGCCCTTTCTGAGTCCCACCTTTCTCATGGGTAAAATGGATCTGACAGCAGTACGTCCCGTCACTGATTATATATGTATATATACATACATATATATATATTTTTTAAAACCTCACCTGAGGATATTTTTCTATTTTTCTATTTATCTTCAGATAGGGGGTGAGAGAGAAACATCGATATGAGAGGGACACATCAACTGGTCTCCCACGCAACCAGGGCTGGGGATGAACTGCAACCGAGGTATGTGCCCTTGACCAGAAATGAACCCAATGACTCATTGGTCTGCAGGCCGACATTCCAACTGCTGAGCCACACCGGCCAGGGCTCAGTGATATTTTTAAAGAGATTCAATGAGCAGGAATATATATAAAATAAATATAAATTGCTTATTACATGTGAGTTTTTAAGAAATGGTAGCTGTTGTTTCTATTACTACTCTTAAAACAGGCTTCATATCCCAAAGCCGGAACCCTCTCAGCATCAAGAAAGGTGAGACACTGTAGGGCCTCAACCTGGCTGATGGATCAGCGGCTGAGATTTTACTTCCACTGCCCCACTGAACAGATACCCGCCCCCCCAACAAAACCAGCTCCCAAACCAGTGACTGTACATGCAGACCCGCCTAGGCTGCCGGCCTGGGGCAGCTCTGACCTACAGCCAGGAACGACCCACGTCCCGTGGAAAGACTGCTGGAGACGGTGCTGGCATCGGAAGTGCCAGCGCCCGTGGGCATGAGGGCTCACCGCCCCGGCACCAGGCTCCCAGGCATGTCCGTGTGAGTGCAGGGCCCGCACCCTCCCACCCAGCCACACTGCTCCCGAAACTGGAAACGTGTGTGGAAAGAACATGTGCTCTCGAGTCAGAGAGACTGGGGTTCAAGCCCACTCTGCCTCCGAAGGAGAACGTGCCCCGGGGCGGGTCACCCGTGTCCTCCGTGCGGAGAGGGGCCGCGCGAGCCCAAATCTGCGAGGACTGAGCGAACGGCACGCGCACAGCAGGCGCTCCCCGGACCCTCTAACTTGCCTTACGTCCTGCTACTGGTTTCACAGAGAAGCATGTGGGGAGAGAAACAGAATTCGGTTGGTTAAATGCTACAAAGTACAGTAATGCTGACGAGATCTCTGTGCTGGCGTGGAGGCGTTTAGGGTTCGCCACGGAGTGGGAAAGGGACTCAAACAGCACATTAGTGGGGCCCGTTTTCTAGAAAAGGCTATTTAAATAATTAAAATTAAAATACTAATAATGAAAACTAAAAACAACACAACGCGGAGTAATATACACCAAACTGTCAACTAAGGGTATCATTCGGGTGTGGTGGGTGAGGGAAGGAAATGTTCTACTTGACAGGTTTGGGAGAAGACTGGACGACTTAGAATGAGCACATACGACTTGTCAGCATCATTTACAACAAGGAGCGGAGGCCCTCCTTCCCCGGGGCTGAATGACAGCACTGAGATGGTGAGGACCCCAGGTGTCCTCACTACTGTACCCCGGTGTCTAAAGCAGGTCTGAGCCCCAGGATGGGACCCAGAAAATACACGACACAGAAAAGCATGAGACTAGATCATGGCAGCCACCAGGGGAATAAAAGAAAGCCTTAAAGACAGTAACTGGGATGTTCTTCGTTTAGTTATGATTAGGTTGTGCCTGGGACCCCGGGAAGGTGGCTCCTGGCGCAGGACAGTGGGTGACTCAGGGGAGCTCACCTGAGGGTCATCTCGTACAGCGAGGGCAGCTGGGCGAAGTCGGAATGCATCAGGCTGGCAGCCTGCAGGAAGCGGCGGTCCTGGGGTGTGGCCACCCGTGGCAGGTTGGCTTCCAGAAGAGACACAGAAGCTGTGAGGAGCAGACTCCTTCCCCACAGCTCCCAACCTAGTATGGTCAACTGGGACAGCACAGCTCGTGTGCAGGTGCCGAGGGGAGAGACGAAGGCTGGCCCAGGATGCAGGGCCTGACAGCTGCCGCCACAACGGGGTCCGCACTGTCCCCAATCATAAGCAACGCCGGTCTGTGCGTGAGTACCTCAATTCTGAGCAGAACCGTGTCACAGATACTTGAACACAGTGCCTCTCTCAAACACTGGAGGAACAGCCATTAAAAGACAAGTGAGCAAGGAAGTGCTTGCCCAGCGAATTCCGAACGCAGTGGGGGCTGGGCTGCAGGTGAGGAGGCAGCACCCCGCCTAACTGCACATCAGACAGCTTTGGACAGAACACCAACACCCACCGGGTGCTGGGCCCCAGTTCTAACCCCCACCCCCTCTGGGCCCACCCAGGCAAGCCCGGCCACACACAGAGCCGGCTCCTTACCCATCAGCACGTTCTGACTGCGGTCGTAATGCATGAAGTTGTACGTTCTGGTGGAGGAGGTGGCCTCGTCTTTGGGCAGCGTCTCCTTCAGGTGGACCTCCAGCCCATTCAGGGACGCCAGGCTACTGTGGTACTGCAAAGGAGCCCAACAGGGTCACGGCTGCAGAACTAACCTCAGCAGGCCCCACACTTAGCAAATAATCATCCAAAGAGTATCTTATGTGTGGCTATTTGATTTAGCAAAATGGACTCTGACCAGTATTTTTACCCATTTTGAGAGAAGTACTAACTTCCACCCTTATGTTTTAATGCTTTTTTAAATTGCAGAAAGGGGAGATGAGCAGAAAAATAAAAAGGAGGAAAAAAGCAAAGAGAAACAGCCCATAATCTCACCATCCAGAAACAGCCCGTTATTAGCCCCTCTCCTTCTAGCTATGGCTTTCGCATGGGGCTGCAGGCTTTCGGCACAGCCGGCGAGCCCTCCTCCCCGCCCAGGGCTTCTCAGTCCCCCAATGTCTGCAAGTTCACCTCTCTCGGTGCGTCTAGAACGGTACCAGCCACACACTGTGCTTGGAAGGACGGAGGCGTGTTGGTCGAATGGTTTTCCGTGCTCTGGTTCAGAGGAGGAAGCTGGCTGAGAAGGCTGTTTGGGGGGTGAGGCCGAAGCCCCATATTTTAAAACCCACCCAGGGAGTCACGTGCAAGTACAGCTGAGAACACTGCACTACATCATTCTGTGTGACGCTTTCTTTATGAAATAAAAATGGGACCAAACCACAAATAATGATTGTAACCTAAAGATGTAAACATGAATTGCTCTTTTCTTCCTTAAAATATTCTACTACAATGGCACACTGTAATGGCATGTGGTCTCCTTTCGCTCCACCTTAGATGTGACCAAGTGCATCGGTCACGACCTGATGGACTCAGTCTGAAACAGGGCCTCCTGGAGCTGCTTCAGCCACAAGAAGGCCACTGTCCCCAGCAGATGGCTCCCAGGTGAAGGACATCCTGGCTCAGCCTCTTCCAAGCCAGATGACCAGGGGTAAATTACTGAATTTTCTGCGCCTCCCCCCTTTTTTTTATCTGCAAAATGGGAATACTACAGGGCTGCTGAGTGGATAAAGTGGAATAACATATATAAAATGCTTTGTAAAGCCTGAGCGAAGGCATTTTTATAGAGTCACAAAAATGAAAAGTACCGTTAAAGAAGTGATATCTCGTTAATAAGCACATACGTCTTGTCTGTGGATGAATGATTTCTCCAGACCTGTGTGGAAAATTAGTGTGCATAAAAAGTACAGAGGCGTGCCCTGGCCGGTTTGGCTCAGCGGTTAGAGCGTCAGCCTGCGGTCTGGAGAGACCCGGGTTCGGTTCCCGCTAAGGGCACGTACCTCGGTTGCAGTTTGTCCCCGGCCCTGGTTGGTCGTGCGGGTGGCAGCCATTCGATGTGTTCCTTTCACATCGATGTTTCTCTCTCTCTCTGTTCCTCTCTCTCCCTCCCACTCTACCTGAACAAAAAATGGAAAAATGTCCTCGGGTGAGGATAAAAAAAAAAAAAAAAAAAAAAAAAGTACAGAGGCGAGCAGAGTGCCTGAGGTGCGTCTCAGGTTCAGAGTTGTTTCTGGCAGTGTCCTAGCGGAACGTCTTAGAAATCCTAACGGCAACAGGTGAGGCACACAGGTTTTATTATGCATCATCTGTGCACCGCCAGTGCCTAGCAGAGTGCTGGGCTCCTAGTTGGTGCTCAGTAAAGATTTAACTAAGTGAATGAAGAGATGATCACATCACATGGCAAGACAGTCAACTTCTGAGCTCTTTGGTTTAAATTGAGGTGTACAGTTGAGTCAAAGGACACGTGCTCAGGAAAGATAAGCAAAATCTGTCCTGTTTGGATCACCAGTGTGGCCTGGCCAACAGAGCTGAACAGATACGTGTGCGCACACCCACGAGCATTCACTGTGAAGTCGAGCCCCAGCCTCGCTGGAAGCCTCTGGACCTGGGAACCTGGGAACAGGCACCCCTCCCATCCTGAGCCGGTGCCCAAAGGAAGAGACAGCGGGAACAGAGCATGAGACATGCCAAGACCGGAGTTTTCCCTGTAGGCACTGAGCTCTGCTTCTGGAATCTTCTGCCTGACTAGTACTCAAGATAAACCACTTAGCCACAAATGCACCATCACAAGGTACTATATTAGATGACATGGACAATAAGTAGTAACCAACTGCTTTCATGTATACAGGGGTCTATAAACCATGGCCTGGGCCAAACCCAGCCCATTATCTGTTTTTGTATAGCCTGAGAGCTACAAATAATTTTTCTATTTTTACATGGTTAGAGGGGGGAAATCAAAGGAATAATATTGTGATACGTGAAAATTATTGAAGTTCCAGTTTCCATGTCCATAAATAAAGTATTATTGGAACTCAGCCACACCATTATTTATACGCTGTCTAAAGTTTTCTAGTGTAACAGCAGAGTTGGGTAGTTGTGCAAAGGGGAAAACATCTGCTGTGTGTTCCTCAGCATTAAGTCTGCCAACCCCTGATATATACCACCAGATACGCAGCCCTTAAAACAGCCCTGGAGACACGGAGCTAGGGCCGAGTCCTGGATCCTGCTTCTAGTTCACAACAAACCAAGTGCATCGAATGTCAAGTTGCCATAAGGTGCAGAGGAAACGATGCCACAACATACGTTCCCTCAGAAGCACCAGTTTCATGGGGGAGGGGTGTTCCTTCATATTTCAGGATAAAACTCTTGTACTAACCTCAAGCCTCACCCACTGTACAGGGACAGCTCAATGTCCCTTCGTAGCCGTGACTAACCGATATGATCACTGTATTTGAAGGTCAGTGAGAGTACTTCGGGTTCTGAGCAGGGAATAATCAGCGGCTCTATGCTGCCCCCTAGTGTGACTCTAGTTTGTTCCTCTGAACCAGTGTGATCTCTCCTGGCTGGCTCATCCCCTTCCACCCACCTCCCAGCCACCCTCCCTGAGCAAACATAAAGAGATAGCCATTGAGCCAATGAAAGACAAGATGGCAAAATGACACCAGGGTGCCTTGGCAGTGTGTGATGTAACCAAGGAGCCCTTTCAAGGGGGGTGTGCTCACTGTGACATCTGAGCTGCAGTTTACCATTCTGCAGGGGACTTGTTTCTCTAGATGGCAGCAGACAGAAATCAGGTCTGGAACAAGAAGGCAGTAAGGATCTCTCCCCAAACTGTAAGACAGATAGCCTTCCTGTCTGCCGGTCCAACCTACTCTCAGACCCGCAGGCTGATCACAGTTACTGACGTCTTGCTCCCTTTAGAAAAGACGTGTTTTCTTCTTCCATAAGCTGCCTTCTCCGTCCTGGGCCTGCCCACCACTACACCCTGCCTCACACGAAAGCCATGGAGGCAGCTGTCCTAACAACATGGGTGGGCTGGGAGAGACCAGCTGACATGCCATATATAAGAGCCACGGAAGGCAGGGCATTTCCCCTTTCCTTGACCTTTCTACTGATCATTCCAAGGTCAGATCCCTAGGGGACAGAGCGGCTGGGGTGGGGAAGAGAAACAGGCAAGAATTCTGGACCAGCTGCTTGCCTTCGGTCTTTACCTCAACGAGGCCGTTTTCTTGCTGGTAAAACGGGAGTTTTAATGCCTACCCCAGAAATGTTCTGCAGCCCTGGCTAAAAGAACAGTGTAGTGAGGATAGACTGAATGTACAGCATGCATCTTTTTTTTTTATCTTCACACAAGGATATGCTATTGATTTGAGAGAGAGAGAGAGAGGGAAACACTAGTCGGTTGTTCCTGTACTCACCCTAACCAGGGATATAACCTGCAACCTAGGTGTGTGGCACGACTGGGAATAGAACCCACAACCTTTTGGTGTATGGAACGACATTCCAACCAGGGCCAGAATACATTTTAATTTACTTCCTTCTTCAAATGCAGCCTGAACTATTTTTTCTTTTTCTTTTTGGGAGGAAGGTGAAAAAAATGTATTTTTGTTTAATATTATGCTTGATTAACCAAGTCTACTTCTCTTTATTTTATTGATTTTTTAAGAGAGAGAGAGAAGGGAGAGGGAGAGAGAAAGATCAATGTGAGAGCAAAACATTGATCGGCACCTCCTGCACGCCCCCTACTGGGGGCTGAGCCTGCGACTCGAGCATGTGCACTGACGGGGAATTGAACACCGGCAACCTTTCCATGCACAGGACTCGCTCCTATCTACTTTATTGCATCCAAACTCTGGACCTTCAACATAACATGTCTGCAGCTTGAGGCTAAGCAGAAAAGACCATGAAAACCAAGGCCTCTGGCAGGGAGATAAGCTGTATAAAACTGCAGTCCTTGGTCCCTGTGCTGTTATACAAGGAGGCGGTGATGTCACCCAGAGCTCTGGTGAAGGAGGGTATGGAACAAGCCACCACTTGGTGTCACGTGTCTGTGGAAAGGGGAGAGATAAGCAGGGCAGGTCTGGAGAGGAGCAGTCTCTTGCCTGGGTGCTGAGCGAAGGGAGCTGCCATCCCTCTTCCTCTAAGCTCCAAGGTGACTTGCTCCTTTATGGAGGGTCACAAGCCCTGCATGCTAATGAGACTGGCTTAGAATAATATAGATTTAAGAAAAAAAAACGAGGCAAGCCCCAGGATACCATTCGCCCTGCAGCAATTCCAGCCTCCTATTCCTATTGCTACCACTTCCCTGCCAACTACAGCAAGCCTGTTACTATAGCAACTGCACCTCCAGGGCAGGCCCCAGAGAAGGCACTGCTGGAAGCGGTACAGGCTGGAATGGGTTAGTTAGGAGCCTTCTGGAGCCAGTCCGGATTTCAGGTGTCCCAGGCCCTCTAGGAAGGAGCTTCAATCACTGCGGTACAGTGGAGGGGCTATGCAGGGACACAGGGGCCTCTGGAGAAGTCCCACACTGCCTGACCTGTGGGGAAGGCACTCCAGATGACTCAGATCCTAGAGCAGCCCCGGCTCAGAAGTGAGGCCCACAGTGGTGGCGATGGTACAACAATGCCTGCGTGATCATACTGTGTCTGGAAGGGCAGGACCTGTTGCCACCCCCACACTGCCGACAAAGAACCAGAGGCTTGGGGGGCAAAGGCCTGTGTGCTGGGTCACACAGCCAGAACCAAGACTCCAAATCGGTCTTCCCCCATCCAAGAGGCTAGAAGAAGCAGGAACGTGCAAAACAAGCTATGCACTGGACTTGCGCTCACCCCTACAAACCCAGGGAGGGAGGTATGCCCCCACCCCCACATCAACAAGGACTTTCGCACAAGGTCACACAGCAAGGCAGAGCCCTTGTCCCCTCCTGCTCTGCACCCTCCCTGCCTGCCCACCTTCCCAGGGGCTGAGGCCAGCCCCAGCACACTCACCACCTCCTCGATGGCTGCCCTGTCTCCCAGCAGTGGCTCCTCGGCCAGCAGGGACAGCACCAGCCCTTTGACACTGTGCGTGTAGAGGTTCATGCGCACGAGTTCTCCCCAGGATGCTGGGGTCACCCTGGAGTCAGCGCTGTCTGCAGAGGGGCCATCGTCTGAAGGGTCTGCAGAGCCCGGGTGGCATTCCGGGCTGGGGGCTGAGCAGCTCTCATGAACCCCATCCACACGTGGCTCTGTGCCTTCTTCCCCCACAGAAAGCTTAGTTCCTCTCTGCCTGGAATCTAGGTGAGGCAATGACATTGTCCTGCTCTTCCTTCTGGGGAGGAGACCTTCCCCGGGAACGGGGGCTTGGCTGCTGTCCCCAGGAAGGTCTTCATGCTGCTCTAGGGCTCCATTCTGGGTGAGCACGGCAGGAGCGGAGGCAGAGAGGAGGTCTCCGACGGCTGTGCCCACAGGCAGGGCCTCAGGTGGCTTGGGTTCCAGGTGGCCAGAGTTGCTGACAGATTCCCTGTGACTAGGACCACTGCCATCTGGGACATACACATTCGAGAGGGCAAAAGAACCTGAGGATGTTCCTGTTTCCGGAGCTTCTGGAATGTGGATTTCAGACAAGTCCAGGTCCTTGTTCCCCCTGGGCAGACCAGGTTCCTTCACCAGGGAGCAGCAGAGCTCAGGACCCTGGTCCCTGGCAGTGTCATGCAATTCTGCAGGCTGGATGCTCTCCAGATCACGATCAGAGACATGTCCATTCTCTCCACTGCCGCTTGGCCAAGCTGCGTCAGGAGACCTGGACTCGGGGGTGGTTGCCCACGTCCAGGCCTCGGCTTCCTCACGTCTACTGGTGTCTTCTTTCAGGGCAGATGGGCTCCAACCCTTTGGAGGAGGTGGGGCAGAGCGCTCCTGGAGTCTGGCTGGAGATGCAGGCGAGCTGGCAGACAAGGAAGATATGAGGACACAGCCACTGAGCACAGGGCAAGTGCTCTTCCCTAGCGACACTAAAGCACCGCCATCGGTGATAACTGGGTGCTGAGGCCAGAGCCGAAGAGGCCAAACCACAGGTGTAAAACTAAGGTGATGCCTAGCTCTCGGGCTTCAAGCGGCAATGCCAGGATCGCCTAGTGGAAACACAGGCCCCACTGGACGAGTCACCCACATCTGGAGTCTGCTACAAGTCAGCCCTATACTGGGTGCTGCACAGACACTATTCCAACTTTACCACAAGCCCATGAAGCAGATGCTATTGGGTCCACTTTATCAAAATTAAAACTGAGGTAGTGAATAAACTTGCCCAAGGTCACAAAGCAGATAAACAACAGACCTGAGTTTCTGAAACCCTAGTCATGTCACTAGACCAGCTGCCCTATCTCTCTGCTAAAGTTCCAGAAGCCCCTTCCAGGGCAGAACCCGGAGGGGGTGGAGTTAGGGAAGGCTGGGCCGTCCCGGAGCTTGCATGGATGAACCCACACCAGGGACTCCCGGAAGCATGAACTCCTGTGCTCCCTCACCTTGCCATGTGCTCCCGTGGGAACTCACGGAGACTGATGGCTTCCTCTTCCGTCACGAAAACAGGCATGATGTGGACATTTGGGGGGAGGACCGCTCCTGGAATCACAAAGCAACATGGACAGGGCCCTCCCCTGGACCAGAGGAGGAGGGGCAGTAACTGCTCATGGGGTGATGCATGCACCCCACTCGCCGCTCAGACAGCAGAGTTGTGGAGCACTCCTCAGCCCAGAACAGAAGCACAAAAATGCAGCCACGATTTCTGTGGTCAGCAAGGAAGAGCCCATGTGGGCACCTTTACTCCCAGCTGTAGAGAAGGGTGACATTTAGTGGCACTTAAACAAAAAAGATGCACACTGGGGAAGCAGTTCCAACTGACAGAAGGGATGTGCCCCAACACAACAAAATGACCCTCCTGGGGACACGTCCACATCCTGCACAGGGCTTTGTGGCACCTGCCATTTGTCTTACGCCCTGAACCTGTTCGAGCTGCCCCATTACAGAGAGTTAGGGAGGACCTGAAAACTGGATTTAGAACGTGTGCCTACACAATGCAATGTACAGAAACTCTATTATAAAACTAACGTATTAACCGATGGTTAACGTGATTAACCAATGTCACCCCAAAAGTGTAATTTTTAAAAAAAGGTGTGCCTAAACTCATGTGCTTCATTTACAATTAGGGTTTTGATGGCTAACTCTGTACTTCACGCTCTACTCCACCTATCTCCCAAATTTCCCAAACACGAATAGCCACACGGCCGATTTCTCAGGACGACTTCACGCATAACACGGCGTTCTCAAGATGCAACGGTGCTCCTCACTACTTACCACGTTCCTGCCGGGCATCTCCTCCTGCAGGTCTTCTCTGAAAATAAACACACACAGAAGTTGGCGCTGGGTACCACGTTCTCCTCCTGACAGTGACTGCACCGGGCCATCTGCTCATAAAACACATTTGTCCCAGAACGCTGGTCCCCACCACATGCCAACAGCCAAGCAGATGGGAGCGAGGCTCCCCCAGGCTCCCGCTCACCGCCATGGGGGAGGGGAGGACAGAACCTGGCCGCCACAGGCCACAGGGCAGCAACTCCACCCGAACTCACATTGGGCTTTAGTTCTGATTTCCGTTTCTCCCCTCCGGGAATAAAAGTGAGGACTTGGCCCTGGCCGGTATGGCTCAGCGGCTGGAGCGTCGGCCTGCGGTCCAGAGAGACCCGGGTTTGGTTCCCGCTAAGGGCACGTACCTCGGTTGCAGTTTGTCCCCGGCCCTGGTTGGGCTGTGCGGGTGGCAGCCACTTGATGTGTCCCTTTCGCATCGATGTTTCTCTCTCTCTCCCTCCCACTCTATCTGAACAAAAAATGGAAAAATGTCCTCAGGTGAGGATAAAAAAAAAAGTGAGGACTCATGTTTTCCTTTTGACTGTAAGAGCACTCGTCTTCGAGAACACAGCCTCATGTGCCGTAGCCCTGCAGAGAGCTCACACAAATCCCACGATAGCAGGAAGGGGAAGGACTGGACCTGAGCAAACGCTACTCCACCTCTGGCTTGTTGACTCTCATGACCAAGGTGGGAGACCTGGGACTTCTCTCCAAACAGCTGTCCAGCCTCCCAACCTACAGGTTCCAAAAGGACCCACCAAAACAAAACAAAACTGCTCTTCCAGCCAAAATGACTTTGGCTTGCTTTCTTTACACAGGCTTACTCCAGACAAAAATTCTTTTTTAAAAAAATCACATAATTCCTTTACCCACAAGCTAAAACTATAATTATTAAGCATATTTCCTTTAAGTCTATCCATTTTTTTTTTCTTGGTTAGTCCTCCCCCAAGGATATTTTTTCCACTGTATTTTAGAGGGGGGGGGGGCAAGAGGAGGTGGGGAGAGGGAGAGAGAGAAGGGTAAAAGACATACATTAATTGGTTGCCTCCCTTATGTGACCTAAATCAGGGCTGGGGATCAAACCTGCAACCCAAGTACAAGCTCTTAACCGGGAATCAAAACCAAGACCCTTCAGTGCACAGACCGACGCTCTAACCATATCAGCCAGGGCTAAATATATTTACTTAAAAAAAATTTTTTTTTTTCTTTAGAGAGAGAGAGAGAGAGATAGAAACATCGATGAGAGAGAACACTGACTGGCTGCCTCCTGCATGCCCTCGACTGGGGATTAGGCCCACAACCGGGGCATGTGCCCTGACTGGGAATTGAACTGGCAACCTCTTGGTGCATGAATCACAGAGCCACACTGGCCGGGCTCTATCCACTTTTGAATACTTTGAGACCAGACTATATAAAATTGCATTTTTGTGCTTCAACGGTAACATAAAAGTCTTGCCGTTAAAATACTTTTGGTCATTTTATTTTTTAATCCTCATCTGAGGACATGCTTAGAGAGAGGAAGGAAGAGAGAGAGAGAGAAACATTGATTGGTGGCCTTCCATATGGTCCCTGACCGGGAACTGAACTAGAAACCTTTCGGTGAACGGGACAATGCTCAACCAGCTGAGTCCCTCGGGCCAGGCTCCTTTGGCCACTTGGCAGTGGCTAAGATGTTATGAACTTTGTCTGCAGGGAGAGACAGGGAACATTTTCACCTTTGTGGGCCAGTCTCCACCGCAGCCACTCGACTTGCTGTCGTAGCCGAAAGCAGTCCAATAAAACTTGCTCTGCAGGCAACTGTGCTACTCCTACCTCAGACATTTCAGTTATATCTGATTTTTTTATTCTCATAAATCCTATTGTGATAGTTGTGATTATAAATCTTTTTCAGCAGGATTTCCTTAGGGCCAAATCCTAGAAGCTGAATTAGTGTGAGAAAGGAAAAGGCCATTCTTAATCCACTCATCAAACAGTTTACCAGAAAGACTGCTCTAACGACACGTCCACCTGCAGTGGGAAAGGAGCCCGACGAGGGCCGCCATCCGTCTGAATATCCACTGATTTACAGGTGCAAGGAGCTTGCCTTACATACGTGTAAACCTGTGAGCTCAGATGCCAGAGTCAGCAAGTAGAACAAAGAGCAAAGGACTGGAGGAGGCAGCCAGACGCTGGCCGTGATCATCTCTGCACAGTGAACTGTGGGCAGTTTTACTCTCAATGAGCATGAATTTTTTTTTTCATTATAAGAACAATTAAATAAATATACAATGGAAGTATTTTTAAAGCGTTTCTGATTTCCTAAGTCATTCTTTAGCATCTCTAAAAATCCAAGACCCATCCTTGAGGAAAGTTAAATTCCCCTAGTTCCACTTGGATGGAAGAAAACCAACTACACAAGTGTCCCGAGCGCACAGAAACGTTTTCTTGCAGCCCTCTGGAGGAAAGCCAGGGCTGCCTGGGGCAGAAGCGTCCCAGCAGGGGGTGGCCTTGACCTTACCTGGTGCCGACGGGCAGCTCCGTGCAGCAGGACCTTGGCCGTGAGGGAGGGCGGGAGCTGGGTGCTGACAATCCTAGGTCAGACACAGGAACATGCGCGGTGTGAGAAGAAATACATTGCAGGCCCCGAAACTGCAAAGATTCCTAACATCCTACATTGGCCAGGATCTTGAGGACACAGCTGGTGAAAGTGTCAACTGGTAAAGCCCTTATGGAGGGCATGCTGGCGATTCCTATCAACACTTGAATGTCCAAACCCTTTGACCTGGCTTGTACTGAGAAGTATTCAGAAGAATATTTATTATAGAGAAAAAAGGTGAAATCATTTTTAAAAATGGATAAACAATTTAAACTTCCATCAAAAAGAGAATAGTCAGATTAACCAATAAATGTGCAGCTACTATGAGATGGACCAATATGGACTGAGAAAGAAATCTCCACTCTATACATTAGGTTGAGGAACCATATGATCCCATTAAATAGAGAGCAAAAATAACAACACATACGTGTATGTGCAGATTTGTGAAAACACACAGAGAGCAAAGGGAGGAAGCTCACCAAAGGCTAACTGGAAATGGGCAGACAGTGAGGGAGAGTGGATGGGAACTTTTAAATTATGCTGTGTGCTTCTTTCTGGGTTCATTTTTTTTTTTTTTTTCCAGATAGAGTGGGAGGGGGGGCGAGAGAGAGAGAGAGAGAACCATCGACGTGAAACGGACACATCGAGTGGTTGCCACCCATGCAACCCAACCAAGGCCAGGGACAAACTGCAACCAAGGTATGTGCCCTTAGCAGGAACCGAACCCGGGTCTCTTTGGACCGCAGGCCAACGCTCTAACCGCTGACCCAAAGCAGCCAGAGCTGGGTGCATTTTTTAACAATGAGAATATGTTCATGCATCCAGTGTATAATTTAAAAGTACAAAAAATAAAAAATATGAAAAGAAAAAAAATACCACCTTTGACGGCCATGTCACTCATAAGGCTGGAGGCACCACAGGCTCATTGAGAACCATCAGAATGAAAAGAAGGGAAAAGGGATGAGGGGTCTAATTGTGGAGGGCCACTGGGAACCAGGGTCTATGCTTGGTCCTTCTATGTCTGCCACCTGATTTCATTCTCTACAAAGGGTCTCTTCTCTATTACCCAGAAGAGAAAACAGATCAAGCCACTGGCCCGAGGTCACACAGCTGGGAGAGCAAAGCCAGGACTGGAACCCAGCCCACAAGACCCCTGGGTCCCCCAAGAGCCCGGAGAGGTACTCCAGCGGCACATTCCTCTGGCTGCCGCAGAAAGCTCTGGGCACAACGCACCAGCCGTGCCTGGCCCCGGGCGGTACTCGTGAACGCTCCACGAGAGAGGCCTTGGAAGATGCGTGGAGGGCCTCTTAGCACTCAGGCTCATGACGAGGCTTCCCAGTGTGTGAAGAGGTCTAGACAGATCTCAAGGTGAGCCGAGAGACGATCCCGCCAAGAGGCTGGCAGGCCCCGGGCAGAAGCACTTGGCAGAGCAGAGCCTCAGAAGGAAGGACACCGCAGGCTTCCATACCCCTTCCTCAGCAGGCCAGCTGCTGGTGACCATGGGCTTTGCATGTGCATTACACAGACTGACAACGATAAAGGCATGCCCCTTCCTAAGAATTACATGGATCTCTTTAAAACTGCCCTTCCTCAAGGACACATGGAACAGACTGACAGCTGTCAGGGGGCGGGGGGGGGGGGACTAGATGAAAGGTGAAGGGGACTAGCCCCAAAACATATATACATAACACAGACACACACGGCAGTGCGGTGACAGCCGGAGGGAAAGGGAGGTGGGGCAAAGTCGGGGGGAACGGGGATGGAAAGAAACTGCCTGGGGCAGCGAGTGGAGGGTGCCACGCGCAGGTGATGCTTCGCCGAGTTGTCCACGGAAACCTGTGTGGTTTTCTGAACCAATGTCATCCCAGTCAGTTCAATAAAGAAATAAACTCCTGGTGTTTCTATTCCTAACTCTTTTCTGAACACAATGGTTTCCAGTTTTCCAGCTTTGCTCAAAGGCAGGTACATACCCCAAATCAATTCTACACTGATATTGGCCAAACCAGCCCACCTGGAACTGGCCCGAGGGGAGGCGCCCACCTGTGACTGGCGGCGGCCGTGATGTGGGTGGCAGGGCGCCAGCGGGGCAGGGAGGACGGGGTGTGGGGTTACTCACAGGCCTTTGTAGAGGATGCAGCCGGCCAGAACGTGAGCGGCGCGCTGGCAGGTCTGCAGGATGAGGGCCGCCTTCAGCAAGAGCAGGGGCTCCACCTGGGGGGCAAGAAGCACGCCCACAAATTAACATGCTCACAGTCAGCAGGGAAGGAAGGGGGGGGGACTGCAGAACGGGCGGACAGGTCATAACCCAAAGCCTGGAAAAAGCAGACCATGTCACATGGTAAAATCCATGTCCTCTCTATACGCAGAACTCCTGACACCCCCAAATGCCAAATTCTTGCAACAAGGCCTCTCCGGAAGCTGGAAGACCCAGTGAGCAGGGAAAATGGCTGTTACAGGGAACAAGCAGAGGGACCAGGAGACCGTGACGATCAATGCTGAGCCCAGCAGGCAGCAGGAGAGGGGCACCTACAGGTGTCCAATGCAGGTCACGGCGCCAGGCGAAACCCACCCTCCCTCTGCAGCACAGGCCTCACGGCGACACAGCTGACTTGATGTCTCACTGGGGCCCATAACTCTGTTCCATGATCTAAAGTGAAAATATCAGCCCTGGTCAGTTTAGCTCCGGCTGGACCAAAGAGTCGCAGGTTAGATTCCGGTCAAGGGCATGTACCTCGGCTGTGATTCGGTCCCTGGCCCTGGGGTTGCGCGGCAGGCAACCAATCAATGTTTGTTTCTCTCTCTCTCCCCCTCCCTCCCAGTCTATCTGAATTCAATGGAAGAATATCCTCGAATGAGGATTAAAAAAGAAGAGTGAGGTTCTAAGAGGTGACCTGCTGCGTCCAAGCTCACACAGCTACGAAGCAGCAAGCAGCCTGAGTGCAGGCCTTAACCACCTTGACTGAGAAATGACAACTCCAGTCACCTCTCTTGATACACAGTTCGTTAAAGAGGAAGAGAGAAGTGTCCAGGAGCTCTATTCCTGTACATGGTACGAGAAAGGGAGAGTAGAATGTTACTTTAGTTCGGTCCAAGTTCCAGAGGGACGTGAAGATCTTATGCAGATCACTGGTGTTTTTCAGAATTTGTTCAATGAAGGTGTCCCACTCGGCGCTCAGGTCTTCCTGAGAACAGTTCTAGAACAGAAGCAGCCTGAAGTCAGATCAGAGATGCTGACACACACTCTCCGACAGGATTCCAACGATGTACCACAAGAAGTACTCCTCGCACAGGACACGGGCCGGAAGGGGGGCCTGTTTTGTACTTCCTGCAAACACGTGGGCCCCCAACCTCCTACCCTGATCACCTACCCACCACATACTCAGGGCACCGGCTGGGGGAGTGGCAAGTAGGCACTGTTCTTTCTGCCTGTCCCAGGGAGGAGGAGACGGAGATGAGCACTGGGAATGAATGTGACCTATGCCACTGCGAGGGGCTCCAGGAGTCCTGGACTTGCCACTGGACATGCGTGTTTAACAGGCCCTAGAGGAAGTGCTGTGTTCCAACAACATCGATGTTGCTCAAGAGGCCCCACATTAAGACTCCTCAATGCCATCCTCGTACCTTGTAAGCCAGAGAAACAGGTCCATTATAAAAATTAAAAAATCCCATGAGCTGATCCAGAAACTGCTGGCATCTGATATCAGAGAGCTCCAGGGCACAGCCCAGCACCTGTGAAGAGGGAAACCAGGAACTTGGGCATTTTCCTGTATTCTGAGTCCAAGCGCCGAGTCCTGGCATCCAGGGCTCGCTACAGCCAGACTTCATAGCCCACTGAAATTGATCTACTGCCCAGCCCGACCCCCGCACTCCAGCCAAGCCGGTCTCCACAGAAAGCAATGTACTCGTGTCCCCCAGCCTGAAATGCCCTCCTCCTTCCGGTTCATTTGTCCAGGGCCCTCCCATCCCTTCAGTGCCCCCACAGATGCTAGCACCCCCGGGAGGCTTGTTTTCACCACTCTAGCCAACGCTGACCCCTTTTCGGACCCCTCGCGGCGTCAGGCTGTTATCTGGACACTGAACATGGGTTTCACTGCAAGCACTGGCTAAACTGTTTCAGGAACAGCCACATCACCTCCGAGCTGGACAAACAGCATGAGGACGGAAACTGACTGGTGACCAGGCAGTCCTGGAACTCCAGAATGCCGAGGGCGGCGTTTGGTTCCCCCAAGATAAACACTGGCTCAGAGAAGGTAATCTGGCCATATGTTCAAAGAGCCTGAAAGAAGTTCCTATTCTTTGACTCAGAAATTCTACTTCTAGGAATCTTTCCTAAGGGAATCATCACACACTTAAACCAACAACAAACCCTGACAGAAAAGAAAATGTACAAACTCCCTCTGAACGTACGCTTCCCTGAGGCAAGGATTTTTCTTTTCTTTCTTTTCTTTCTTTTCTTTACTGATGTAACCCAAGAGTTGACAACACTCTGGCACAAAGTGCTTGCTTCTTCCCCAAGTGATGTACAAACTGGATGCGATTCTAATCACAATCCCACTGGCTTTTCTCTAGAAATGACAAACTGATTCCACAATAGAAACACAAAGGACTTAAAATGTCCAAAGCTATCTCAGAAAAGAACAAGGTAGGAAGACTTACACTGACTTTACCTGACTTTAGGACAAAGCAGTATTCCTGGAAGATCTTCAAACAGATCAATGGAAAGGACAGACGGCCCCAAAACACACCCGCACTTAAGTGGTCGGTCACCTGCTCTCTGACCAAGGAGCCCAACGGAGAAGAACCCAGTAGGAAGGGGAAGATCTGCAACAGCGGAGCTGGAACTGACTATCTGTATGGAACAGATACTAATCCAAGATAGTCACAGACTTAAATTTAAAAGCTAACACTATAAAACTTACAAATATATGGGAACATCTTCTCCAATGAACTGGGCAAGGGTTTTAGATGGGATACAAAAAGCAATAACCATATTTAGACTTCATTAAGGTGAAAAATGTCTGCTCATCAAAAGACATCTTTAAGAAAATTAACAGGAGTACTACAAACTGGGAGAAAATATCTTAAAAATATATATCTGACAAAGAACTTGTATCCAGAATATATATAAAAAACTTCCTATAACTCAATTTTTAAAAAACCCAATTTACAAAATGGACAAAAGCTTTGGGAAGACACTTGTCAAAGGAAGACATACAAACAGCCTTAAGCACATGAAAAAGCCTTAATATCATTAGTCATTAGGGAAATGCAAATTAAAACCACATTGAGCTACCCCTGCACACCCAGCAGAATGGCAACATCACTGTTGATGAGGACAGTGGAATTCCAGAGTAACTGGAATTCTCACACATTGCTGAAGGGAATGTAAAATGGTATAATCAATTTGGAGAAAGGGCTAGTGGTTTCTTATAAAATCTACATAACACCTACCCATGACCCAGCAATTCTACATTGAGACGTTTACCCACAAGAAATAAAAATATACATCCATGAAAAAGACACATATAGGAATGTTCCTATGGAATCTTAGTCTTAACTGCCCCAAACTGGACACAGCTCACATGTCTATAAAAAGGAGAGTAAATAAGCAGACTGTGATGTATTCAGTCCATGGAATGCGGTTCAACAATGAAAGGCATGCACTGCCCATACATGCAGCATGGATGAATCTCACAGATGTTAAGCAGCATGACAGAAGGCTGCAGAGAGGAATGTTATATGTATTATTTCACACATATGATGCCCTAGACCAGGCAAAACTAATCTGTGGTAGAAAAAAATTCACAGTACCAGTTGCCTGGGATGGGGTAGGGGTTAGAATTCACTGGGGAAGGACATAAGAGAGCTTTCTGGAGTGATGCGAATATTCTGTATCTTGACAGGCATTTCTGTTGCCAGGAACATCATCTGTCCAAATGCATCACATGGCACACTCAGGATTTGTGTATTTCATCATATGTAAATTTCACCTCAAAAGAAAAAAGAACCACAAACAAATATTGAACTCTAGTTAACATTACGAATGGGGAAGTATTTGGGGCCAGGGGGAAGAGTATACTAATGTGTGCAACTTTGAAAAGCATTCAGATAAAACTGGATTCGTAAGAAGGGATGAATAGATATGTGATAAAGCAAATATAATACAAAGTTCATTACAGAATCTTGTAGATACAGCTGATTCTTGAACAACATGGAGGTTAGGGGCACCGATTCCCCACGCTGTTCAAAACCTGCATGTAACTTTTGACTCCCCCAAACTTAATTACTAATAGCCTACTGTTGACAGGAAGCTTTACCAATAACATAAACAGTTGATTAACACATACTTTGTATATTGTGTGTATTATATATTATATTCTTACAATAAAGTAACCAGAGAAAGCAAAATGTTAAGAAAATCATAAGAAAGAGAAAATACATTTACCGCATTTACTAAAAAATCCACACGTAAATGGGCCCACACAGTTCAAGGCCCATGTTGTTCAAGCATCAACTCTATGAGTATTTACTATAAAATTATTTTGACTGTTATGTTAGAAAAAATTCATAATAAAATTATGAAAATAATACCAACAGAGCTGAATGTACTGCCCTACACTTAAACACCCTTCGGCTCAGGATGACTTTGAAACAAGTGCAGGCGTGGGAACAGCACTTCAGAGTGTATGGTGCCGCTAGCTGTAGAGAAATGGTTTTACTTTTTAATGGTCCTTTGAAAGCTGACATACATGCATCAATGTTTTAGGGTTTCTGGGTCACTCACCCAGTAGGTGTGGACGTATAAAGAGTATAAAGAGCCTGGCTGGTGTGGCTCAGTGGCTGAGCATCGACCCATGCCCCAAGAGGTTGCTGGTTCGATTCCCAGTCAGGGCACATGCCCAGGTTGTGGGCCCAATCCCCAGTGAGGGGCATGCAGGAGGCGGCCAATCCATGTTCTCTTTCATTGATGGTTCTATCTCTCTCTCCCTCTCCCTTCCTCTCTCTCTAAAAACCAATAAAGAAAATAAAATTTTTTTAAAGAGTATAAAGAAGAAAAGATGGGAATTAAAAACTCAATTTGCATCACAGAAGAAAGAGAATTTCTGTAGGGTGGCTTAAGTCTTTCAAAGGAGAGGAGAAACCGGCCACATGCAATGCAGGACATGTCAGGAATGTTCTGGAGAGCACTCAGCTCTCATGGGCACCTGCAGGAGTAACACGGAACTGTGGACGACCCCGGACACAGCACATGGAGGGAGGGAGGAGATTCTAGGCTCGAGAACCACAGAAAGCATTACTTTCTAAACCTTATCATCACAATCCTTATCACTAAGACAAATGACCCACGGTGGAGGCACTGGTTCTGCCTGCGTAACTTACCCAAAGGTAATCTCCGTCAACCTTTATGGCGAACTTAAGTTTCTGCAGACGCATGAGAGTGGGTGGGGAGCCAGAGATGTCAGAAATACAGTGGACCACTCCAGCAATCTGTCCGCAAAGCAACTCCTGTCGGTCAAGCAGGGTCTATGGGAAAGCAGCAGATTCCAGACAGGAAGTTGAAATTGCTGGGCTCATCTGTCATTCCCTAGAGCAGCTACAGCCTGCAGGCCAGACCCAGTCGGCTGCCTGGTTTTATATAGACCTTAGAACTAAGAATGCTGTTTTGACAACCCTTAAAAAAACCAAAGAAGAATATGTGATGAAGACCTTATATGGCTTACAGAGCCTAAAATACTTATCTGGCTGTTTTTAGACAAAGTTTGTAGACCCTGCCTGAACACCCACAGTGAACATGTGATTCCACAGAACTAGGATTATAGCCTATAATTTAACCCACGTGTATGGGTAGCAGCATGAGCCTTTCATCTCTATTCAAATCCCCAGCAGAGTGGCCAGGGCAGCCTAGATTAATCCCAATTATCCAAGTCAGAGAGTAATCACATGAGTGAATTTACAGACCTAACCGATCTTAGCATTAACTCAACTGTGGGGCAGCCAGACATTATGTGATGAACAGAAAATGTACACACCGCCTATGAAGAATTCTTGCCTAAAAGAAATGAACTTGAACCTAACCAAGGCTCTAGATCTTACCACTAGTTTAAAGGAAACACAGTGGATAGAAGACATTAAATGACACCACCATGAGGAAGTCATCAGCTGATCCAGAGTGTGGGACATGCAAAAATGACCTGGTTTCTGCAGTAACTCAGTAGCAAAGAGGGAAAAAAAGATGGGTGGGTGAGGACTGTTACACAGTAAAAGGGACTTAACACACAAAATAACCAAATGGAATAGTGAACCCTGTTTGGATCCTGATTAGGAAAGAGAGAGAGAAAGGGGGAAGGAAGGGAAGAAGAAAGGAAGATAGGTCTAAGTAACATCTAAAATAAGGCAAAATTTGAGTGTAGACACTATCCATTGACATTAAAGAAGTATTGTTCCTAATTATTGTAACTTCTGTTAGGTGTGATATTAAAAAAAAAAAAAAAAAAAGTCCTGCCCGGCTGGTGTGACTCAGTGCTTTAACACTGACCCACGCACCAAGAGGTCGCAGGTTCAATTCCCAGTCAGGGTGCATGCCTGGGTTGTGGACTCAATTCCCAGTAGGGGGTGTGCAGGAGGCAGCCTACTGATGTTTCTGTCTCTCTCTCCCTTCCTCTCTAAAAAAAAAAAAATCAATAAAAACATTTTAAATAAAATTGGCAAAGTGTTGATAACTGTCAAAGCTGGTGACAGGCCTATGAGAGTTCATGATAACACTCTCCTCTCTACTTGTGTATATGCTTGAATAAAAGGTTTTTTGTTTTTTTTTTTAATGAGCTGAATAAAAGGTTTTTTGTTTTTTTTTTTAATGGGGGCAGAGAGAAAATCATGATGGTAACAGAGAGCCAGAGACGATGGAAGTACTGAGCTGCCTGGGTATTTTAAGACCAGAACCACCAGAAATAGTACAGATAAGTATAAGAGAGTAGAAATGTCAATTGCCTGGATTATCCAAAGAAAACCGTCTCAATGTAAACCCTATACTTCTGAGAGTTCGTCTGGAGGTTCTAGCAGGGGAGCGCAGCTACTCGTGTACCCTTGACTGAAGACTGGTCCTCTCCCTTCAGGAGGGACGCACGTGGATCGGTGAGGGAGGAGGGGGACACAAGCCTAGCCAGCCAGATCAGCCGAATCAACCCTGGAAATCAATGTGGTGACAGATGTCGCAGCCAGATCGCCCTCACATTTTAAATCCTATACTTTTGAAAAGTCACCACTTGGAGGCATGAATTCTGTTCTGTAGATCCCCACAAAACAATAACATGCTGTGTGGCTTACCTGAGAAGGATAAAAGTAACAAATGCCAGCTCTTGTTGGATCGCCTTCTTCCTTTACCTTTGAACCATCATAAAGGAAAAAATACTTCCACCTGGCAAGAGAACAGAATGGAGCCGTGTTTCCTTTCATCCAGGGATCAGGGCGTTTGAAGGCACAGCTTCCTATTTCCCAGCCCGAGGAGACCTCATTACTCAGTGTTTGCAAAGCCTGCTGGTGGCCCCAGAGGAAGAAGAACCCAGTGGCTACAAATAGATAAAAACCATTTCATAAGTGCAGTTGAGTCTAACTAAAAATATGCCTCTATCCAGCCGTCAAACCATCTGTGAAAAAGACAGAGTGAAGGAAAGATACAGTGCCCACAATGACGTCTCTTACTTGAGACACTAAACCTTAACTACATAAAGATGTGGTTTGGTAAACTGTCTTTTAAGGCCCTGACATCAAAGTAAGTTAGGAATGTCTCAGATGCACTCCTCACACCTGCTGGGCACTATGATCTCCCGAAATATTCCTTCTACCAGGAGTTTATGGATTCATTTAACAAACATTTCTGAGGGCCTATGTGTGAGCTGGGCCCCAGTGATAAATGGGAGAGTAAACTGCATGTTTCAATGCAGGAAAAACGGGGGCCTTTTAGAGTTCACAGAGAAGCACCGAACCCGTCTGACTCTCAAAACCTTACGAGGATAACTTAAAACACGATCCCTCATCAACCTGCTGATCCTGAACTCTCTCTTCTCAATTTCCATAACCCTCTGTTCTTCCCCGAAGTCTTATAGTCTGCTCTGAGATATAATTACAACCTCTTTAAGACCACAAGGCAAACTCCACAGAGGCTGGGCCTGAGTTTTACTTCTAAACCACTGAGAGCACCCCTATCAGGTTAGAACCTAAGAAGGAAGAGCTGTGATGACTGTGTGACCTGTGCTCTTCCCCTTGGACTCCCTACCACGCTCTTTGGCTCCAACTCACCTTCCTGATGACAAGCACTCAGCTCCTAGTCCAGCCACTTTCCTGAGTTCCAGATGTGCAGCTGGCTTCAGGGCAGGTTCAGATCGAAAAGCCCCCCAAATGTTTCAGACTCAGATCAGAAACCCCACTGCTGGGCCCCATTCTACCCTTTTCTATATTCTTGGGGGTCAAAGCACCCCCACTCTTCCAAGCACACACAAGAAAACCTGAGTGTCACTTTGAACGGCTCCACCTGTTCGACTTCCACACATGTATTACCAGGCACTAAGCCTGCTCGGTCTATCTAAACCAGGCCTTTCACTTTCATCTCCTCCACGAATGTCTGCTGAGCCAAATTATGAGACGCTTAATCCATGTGGGGTTGAGAAGGGAATGGAGCTGCAGGCCGACATTGTGTAATACCCTTCAAGAGCCAAACTGAAGATTGGCCACACCTATTCTCATGGTGTAATTCTGCAGTGCAACCATTTCTTGTCTTTCAAAAGTGGAGCCTCCAACACCCACATTGTTATCAAAGCCAGATGCATGATTGGCCGTGATTATCTTCTCTGCAATCTACCAGCAATGTTGAACTCATTCAAACACTGCACGAAGCTTGCAAGGTTACAACACCAGCTTTGGTGAGAAAAGCTCACGTTTGCTAATCAGCTGCTCTGAAGAAAATGGCAGTGTCCCCTATCCCTTAATAAAATCAAGACAATCTGGCTGGGGATTTTTTTTATATATACAAATTAGTTTATTTCTGTTACAGATATTTCTCCTTTTTCTAGCTGGGGATTTTCAGTTAACCCAAAACATCAGTCCAGCAGCCTGGGAACTAAACCATAGCAGGCCTCGATACTCACCAGGAGGCTGACTTTGTCTCTGTTGAGGTGGAGGCAGCCATTTACTTTCCAGTCGCTCTCATTCTTTCTATTTGGATGTTCTTTTCCAGTTATGGCTTCTTTCTCCCCAGCAGAGCCTGTTTCTTTGCGTCCCCAATCCAGTGAATTCAGATGTGGGAGGTTTTAGTGTTTTTAGTCACAACTGTCACTTGCTTGGTTTTCATTCAACATGAAAGTGCTACTTCCCTCCTGGCAAGCCCTTCAGTTCCATGAATACCTTCATGCCCCTGAGAACCCTGGGAGAAAATATAATAAAGCAAGACAATTCTATCAGGAAAGTCGGGTCCAGTAATCTGGTTCTGTGAGCATCAGGTCTCTGGCTCTCTGCAGAATGATCTCTTTAAAAAGCTCACCGGGAAAGCCCAACAGGGGAGATGCATGCTGAAGGTGCTGTTCTGGGGCAATTTCTAGCTTGTGTGGTTCAAAGCCATTCTGAAGATTCTTTTTAAAGTTTTGCAGCTTCCTGTTCCAACGTCAGTGCCTTAGCCCTAAAATAAACACAAGGACTAGATTATTTCAGAAACCCACATGACAGCATGTGACCCAGCATGGTTAAGCAAGTAGCATACTTCAAAAAAGCTTTCTAGAAAGTCGAAAATAGTTTCAAACTAAAAAAGAGGGTAGCAGGACTTCAAATCCTTTAGTTTCTTGAACACTGATGTCTCACAGAAGAAAAAGTTAAATAGCTAGGGTGAAAAAGCTCTGGGAGTCAAGGACAGCTATACACATAAGGCAGTTGCTGTAATCATAATGGAACTCAAGTTAAGGAACTGTCACCTTGACAGCTCAAAAGTAATCTGAACATGCAGAAGTCTGGAGCTAGGCAAATTTCCCAAAGACACAGTGACAATTTAACAGGTGGTTTTCAACCTCCCACAAGAGAAGACAACTCAGACTATGAGGATTTTAGAGTCGGAACAGACAGACCCCAGTGTCATTTACTCTAATCCTTCTCTCGTCTTCTTCAAAAATTACCTGGACTGGCCCTGGCCGAACAGATCATTTGGTTACAGCGTCATTCTGATAAACCAAGGTTTCTGGGTGGATCCCCAGTCAAGGCACATACAAGAGGCAACCAGTGGATACATAAATGGGTGAAGCAACTGGTCAATGTTTCTCTCTCTCTCCCTTCCTTCTTTCTCTAAAATCAACCAAAAAATTACCTGGACTGTCTTTGGCTTACTCCCTCCAGAGACAGGCAGTTCATAGTGTTAAACTTATCCTTCCACCAAGCTAAAACTGGCCTCCCAGTAAACTCTACACACTGGTCTGCATAACATCCTCCAAAAACATTAAACAAGGTCTCATCCTTCCACAAGACAACTCTTTGGTCCCTTCAAAACTGTATGCCTATTGATACTTTCTCCAAGATTACTGTCCCCAGGGACATGGTTTCAAATGCTTGCTCACCATCTGTCATCCACCTGGAGGCACAACAGTTTTTTAGAGTTCCTTTGGTAGAGAGAAGTCCCTAGAGAGGACCCCACTGAATCTATAACTGGCCTGTACGGTATCTTTCCTCAACTCTCGATATCTTGGGGTGGGCTTCCACTGGGTCACACTCATGGTATTCTTTGAAGCATATTTAAGTGCCAGTGGAGAGGCACCTAAGCTCTTGGAGCCAAGGACAGCACCTGAAACGCCCTATCCCCTGTTCCCAGCCCTCCACTGCCAAGGTCCACTTTCTCATCTCGGAAAGGTCCAGACGAGGCCAGTAAGGGCTCTGAGGCAGGCCAGGAGTTGGAGTGTGAGCACAGAAGGCACTGGCAGCCCGGGAAGTGGCAGTAACGACCCAGGAAGTCCAGAGTGGCCAGCTCTGCCCGGAGCGTGGTGGTGCAGGGAGCGGCCTCAGTGGGTCAGCGGGGCAGGAAAAAAGCACTAACGATTGCGAAGGGCCAGGAAGCGGCCGGTTACCGCCCAGGGCACTGGGACGTGTCCGGCCTCGGCGCCAGGGGGCTGGGAACTGGTTGGCAAAGGCGCAGGGGTCTAGGGCCGGGTCGCCGCGCAGAGAGGCTGCGATGAGGCGCTCTTGGACGCGGTGCTCCCCTGCGTCCCCACGCTGCCCACCCGCCAGAGCAGCCAGGCAGCCCGCGGATCCGGGTTCGGGAGCCGAAGTGTGGGCGGCAGCGGGGCGCCAGCGACCCCCCGTCCCGGTACCTACGCGCGCGGCACAGAGGCCTCAGGGTCACGCGCGTCCAGCGCCTCCAGGCCCCTAAAGGTTCCGCGAAGCTGGCGCGCGGGGATGACGTAGCCCGCAGAGCGCCGCGCTCCCGTGACGTCAGAGGGCAATGGCGGCGGCGGCGCTGGAACCCTGGCAGACGGCGGCTCCGCGGAGCAGGCGCTCTGCGGCTCGGCGTCCGCGGCCGAGGGAGGAGACGGCGGCCCCGATCCCGCAGGCGGAGCCCGAGGTGGACGCCGGAGTCGTGCTTCGTCGCATCCGGGAGGCCGGGTGAGTGCCCGCTCGGCCCGCAGCCCGAGTCTTCACGCCTGTGGGCATCCTCCGAGCCTCGGTCTCGCCACCTGTCAAGTGGGATACGTGCAAACGCGAAGGGGTTATCGTGAGGGTTTAGCGCAGGCGAAAGCTCATTGCAGACTGGAGTCGGCGCTCTGGAAAGGTTGACATTCCTCTTATTGCAGCTACCGCGGCGTCCCCCTGGCAAGTTGTGGCGTGTCGTGCCTCGGTTTGCTCACCTGTGGCGTGGGCACAAAGAGAGCCCATATAGGCCTGTTGGAGGAGGCAGCCAGTTAGTCGATGCAAACCATTTCGAACAGCGCCTTCGCACTGCGCGTGGGGAATGCAGTACCCGGGCCTGGTATCAATATGACGGGGACGTTGGTTCTTACCGGTGTTGCTAACACCTGGAAAGCAACACGAACAAGTGATTTTCATTTTCATGCTTATGATCATTAGTTAATTGAGCAGCTCTGTGCCTGGCGCTGGCTTATGCCTTCTCCACCCTTGATACATTTGAACATCTCAGCCACACTAGGATCCTGGTGGCTTGGAGTGTCAGAGACCTGTGCGTGGGAACAAATTTCAAACCCATGTCTTTGTGACTCCAAAACCCATGCTTCAAAGCGCCCCATTCTGACTTATCCCATTCCCCTCCCTCCATGCCTTGCTCTGTACCTTACATGGCACTTAGAATAGTGCCTGACAGAGGAAACACTCATAGATGTTACCTACTTTTATTATTTTGTGTTAATGCCTTTTTGTTTGTTTGTGGTCCTTTAAGGACTCAGTAAACAACAGCCATTATTGGCACCTCTTCAGGTAACAGCTGCAGGATCATCACAACTGAACGAAATTAGACTAATTTGATGTGCTCCCCTCCCCCAGAACAGGGTCCCGTCAGAGGTGACTCAGGTTACCACTAAATAGTAAGAAGTGGGCTGACCAGCTTTGAGCCTGAGAAAAAAAACAGCGTTGCCCCAGCTGGGTGGTTCAGTTGGTTGGAGGGTCGTCTGGTCTACCAAAAAAGTTGTGGGTTGGCCCTGGCCGGTTTGGCTCATTGGTTAGAGTGTCAGCCCTTGGACCAAAGGGTCTCAGGTTCAATTCCCTGTCAAAGGCTTGTACTTGGGTTGCAGGTTGGTCCTTGGCCCTCTTCCGGGTCATGCTGGGGGCAACCAATCGATATGTGTCTCTCTCACAGATGTCTCTCCCCTTCCCTCCCCACCCCACCCCTCTCAACCTTTCCCTACCCCTCTTTCCCTCCCTTACACTCTATCTTAAAAAAATCAATGGAATTAACAACAACAAAAAAGTTGCTGGTTGGATTCCCAGTCAGGGCACATAACTAGGTTGTGGGTTCAGTTAGGATTTGGGTTTGGTCCCAGGTCAGGGCACTTACAGGAGGCAACTGATGATGTTTCTTTCTCACATCTATCACGTGGTATCTCTCTCCTACTCTCCCTCCTCCCTCCTCCCTCTCACTTAAAAAAAATCAATAAAAAGCATGTACTCAGATAAGGATTTTTAAAAAGCTACAGTGCCCAGGCCGGCTTGGCTCAGCAGTACAGCATCAGCCCTTGGACCAATGAGTCTTGGGTTCGATTCTGGTCAAGGGTTTGGGCCCTGGCCCTGGTTCGAGTTGTGGGGGAGGCTACCAGTCGATGTTTCTCTCTCTCTCTCTCCCTCTGTCTCCCTCCCACTCTATCTGAAGATAAATAGAAAAGTGTCCTCAGGTGAGGATTAAAAAATAATAATAAAATAAATTAATAAAAAAGCAGCAGTTACTGTTTCTAGGATCTGAAGATGCCAGTGACAATGGGGGTGCCTGGGGCTTTGGAGAACTCCTAAGGCACTTTGCAGATACCTTGGCGTTGTAACTCCTCAATTTTTTCAGTCTCCCCGGGAGCTTGTACCTGCACCCCCAAGTGCAGCGCATCCCCTGCTGTCCTGATAGAGAGTAGCCCAGCACTTGGCATGCCCTTCTCTTGTGCATACGCTCATCGGTTTACAAAGCACTCCCCACACATCCGAGCTCGCCTTTGCCCTTGTGAGGAACCTGAGGGCAGTCTCTGGACAGATATTTTTTCAATTCTGTCTGTTCTCTGAGCCCCCTGAAGAGTGGCTTATGGCTTCTCAGTTCAAATCCAGTTCATTTTTTTAAACACTTTCTTGTCCTGAGAACTTTTTTTTATCCTCACCCGAGGACATTTTTTTGCATTTATCTTCAGACAGAGCCGGAGGGAGAGAGGGGACGAGAGAGAGAGTAACATTGATGTGAGAGAGACACATCGACTAGTTGCCACCCACACGACACCAACCAGGGCCGGGGACAAACTGCAACCAAGGTACGTGCGTGCCCTTGGTGGGAACCGAACCTGGGTCTCTCTGGTCCGCGGGCCGACGCTCTAACCGCTGAGCCAAACTGGCCAGGGCTGTAACGAGAACTTTTAAGATCTCTCTTACTAACTTTAAAATTTGCGATACAGTATTATTAACTATAGTTACCATGCTGTACTTACAGTCTCCATGACATTTATAAGTGAAAGTTTGTACCTTTTAACCCCCTTCACCCATTTCACCACATTCCCTGTCCACCCCACCACCTCTGGCAGCCACCAGTCTGTCCTCTGTATCTATGAGCTCTGTTTGTTGTTGTTTTTTGGTATTTGTTTTTTAGATTCCACATACAAGTGAAATCATACAGTACATCTTTCTCTGTATGACTGAATTTATTTAGCATAATACTGTCAAAGACCATCCATATTATCACAAAGTGGCAAGATTTTATTTTGTTTTATTTTTTATGGCTGAATAATATATATATATAATGCACATGCCACATCTTCTTAACCCATTTTTCCATCAAGGGACACGTAGGTTGTTTTCATATCTTAGCTATTGTAAGTAATGCTGCAGTGAACATGGGGGTATGGATATCTTTTTGAAGGAGTGTTTTGCTTGCTTTGGCTAAATATCCAGAGGTGGGATTGCTAGATCATGTGGTAGTTTTAGTTTTAGTTTTTTGAGAAACCTCAATACCATTGTATATTGTCACTGCACCAATTTACGTTCCCACCATCAGTACGCATGGGTTCCCTTTTCTCCACATCCTTGCTAACTAACACTGGTTATTTCTTGTCTTTTTGATAATAGCCATTTTGACAGGTGTGAGGTGATCTTATTGTGGTTTTGATTTGCATTTGACTAATGATGTTGAGCATCTTTTCATGTACCTGTTGGCCATTTGTATATCTTTGAAAAAATGTCTCTTCGGATCCTCAACCCATTTTTATTTTTTATCCTCACTCGAGGACATTTTTCCATTTTTTTGTTCAGATAGAGCGGGAGGGAGAGAGAGGAAGAGAGAGAGAGAGAAACATCAATGTGAAGGACACATTGAGTGGCTGCCACCCGCACGACCAACCAGGGCCGGGGACAAACTGCAACCGAGGTATGTGCCCCTAGTGGGAACCGAACCCGGGTCTCTCTGTACCGCAGGCCGACGCTCCAACTGCTCAGCCAAACCAGCCAGGGCTCAACCCATTTTTTAATGAGATTATTTGTTTTTTGCTATTGAGTTGTGAGTTCTTTATATGGTTAGTTATTAATTCCTTATATATATGATTTGCAAATATATTTTCCCGTTTCATAGGTTGCCTTTTCATTTTGTTGATGATTTCCTTTGCTGCCCAGAAGCTTTTAGTTCCATGTAGTTCCACTTGCTATTGCTTTTGTTTCCTTTGCTTTTGGAGTCAAATCCAAAAAAAAAAAATTGCCAAGACCTATGTCAAGCAGCCTTTTTTCCCTATGTTTTCTCCTAGAAGTTTTATGTTTTCAGGTTGTATTTTTAAGCCTTTAATCCATTTCAAGGTAATATTTGTGTATGGTGAAAGGTAGTGATCCAATTTCATTATATTGCATGTGGCTGTCCAGTTTTCCCCACACCATTTGTTGAAGACCTTGTCCTTCCCACATTGTATATTCTTGGCTTCTTTGTCATAAATTCATTGCCCATATGTGTGTGGGTTTATTTCTGGGCTCTCAATTCTGTTCCATTGATCCATGTTTCTGTTTTTCTGCCAATACCATACTGTTTTGATTACTGTAGCCTTGTAGTATAGTGTCAAATCAGGGAGTGTGATACCTTCAGCTTTATACCTTTTTCTCAGGATTGCTTTGTCTTTTTGTTGTCATTTGTGGTTCCATACAAATCTGAGAATTATTCGTTCTATTTCTATGAAAAATGCCATTGGGATTTTGATAGGGTTACACTGAATCTGTAGAATGCTTTAGGTAGTATGGACATTTTAACACTTAATTCTTTCAGTCTGTGAACACACAATATCTTCCACAACTTTTTTCAACAGTGTCATAGTTTTCAGTGTAGAGATCCTTTACCTCCTTTGTTAAGTTTATTTCTAGGTACTTTATTCTTTTTGTTGTGATAAGTGGAATTGTTTGTTTTTTTATTAATGTTTTTATTGTGTTTTTTTTGTTGTTCTTTTTTTAGAGAAAGAGGAAAGGAGAGGGAGAGAGAGAAACATCTATCGCTGCGTCCTGCACAAACCCCACTGGGGATCAAGCCCAAAACCTGAGCATGTGCCCTGACTGGGAATCAGACCAGCAACCTTTTGGTGCAGCGGATGATGCCCAACTGAGTCACACCAGCCAGGACTAGAATTGTTTTCTTCATTTCTCTTTCTGATATTTCATTGTTAGTATATAGAAATGCTAAAAATTTTCGCATACTGGTTTTGTATCCTGCAACTTTACTGAATGTGTTTATTCTAGTGGTTTTTTGGTGGCATCTTTAGAGGTTTATATATATATATATATATAAATATATAAATAAAATATCAAGTATGCAAATAGTGATAGTTTTAGTTCTTCCTTTCCAACTTGGATGTCTTTTATTTCTTTTTCTTGCCTAATTGCTCCAACTAAGACTCCCAGTACCATGTTGAATAACAGTGGGCATCCTTGTCTTGTTCCTTATATAGCGGAAAAGCTTTGAGTTTTTCATTATTGAGTATGATGCCAGGTGGGGATTTGTCATATAGCCTTATTATGTTAAGATGCTTTCCTTCTACAGCCATTTTATTGAGAGTTGTTCATCATAAATGCATGTTGTATCTTGTCAGATGTTTTTTCTGTACCTGCTGAAATCATCATATGATTTATTTTCTATCTTGTTAATGTGGTATATCAGGTTGATTGATTTGCGGATGTTGAGTCATCCTTGCATTCCTGGAATGAATTCCACTTGATTATGGTGTGTGATCCTTTTAATGTATTATTGTACTTGGTTTGCTAGTATTTATTTTTTTTCCTTTATTGATTTTAGAGAGAGAAGAAGTGAGAGAGATAGAAACATCAATGAGAGAGAATATCAATTGGCTGCCTCCTGCATGCCCCCCGCTGGGGATTTGGCTCACAACCTTGGCATATGTTCTGACCAGGAATCGAACTGGTGACCTCTTGGTGCATGGGTTGATGCTCAGCTGCTGAGCCACACTGGCTGGACTGATTTGCTAGCATTTTGTTTAGGACTTTTGCATATATGTTCTTTAATGATGCTGGCCTGTAATTGTACGTTGGGGGGGGGGGGGCGCCTTGCTTGATTCTTGTATCAGGGTAATGCTGGTCTTATAAAATAAGTTAGGAAGCATTCCCTTCTCTTCAATTTTTCTGGAAAAGTTTGAGAAGGATGGGTATTAAATCTTCAAGTATTTGCTAGAATTCATCAGTGAAGCTGTCTGGTCCTAGAATTTTGTTTGTTGCAAGGTGTTTGATTTCTCTTTCAAGTTCCTTACTAGTGATCAGTTTGTTCAGGTTTTCCAATTCTTCATGATTCAGTCTAGGAAGGTTGTATGGTCTTAAGAATTTGTCCACATTTTATAGTTGATTCAATATGTTGGCATATAATTGTTGTTAGTGGTCTCTTTTGATCCTTTGTATTTCTGTGGTATGTCATAATATCTCTGTGTGTATCTCATTTATTTCCTTCCTTCTACTAATTTTGGACTTAGCTTTTTCTTCCATTTCTAGTTTCTATTTCTAGATTGCTTATTTGAGACTTCCCGTTTCTTCAGGTAGGCATTTATCGCTATGTACTTCCTTCTTAGAACTGCTTTTACTGCATCCCATAATTTTTGGTATCTCTTTGTTTTAAAGTCTGTTTTGTCTGGTATAAGTATAGCTATATCAGCTTTCTTTTGGTTTTCATTTGCATGGAACATTTTTTCCATCCTTCCATTTTCAGTCTGTGTATGTCCTTCCTTACATCTGAAGTGAGTCTCTCAGAATATAGATGGGTCTTGTTTTTTTATCCATTCAGCTACTCTGTGTCTTTTGATTGGAGAGTTCATTCAGTTCATTTTAATTCACTGTTGACTATGTTTTGCTCTGGGTTTGTGGAAACCAGTTGTCTGGAATAAGGAGGAAAGCCCAGAACGTTGGTTTGACTCTTACTTTCACTTTCACCTTGGAATTATTTATAATAACAAAGGACATTTATCGAGTACCTGCTCTGTTTGCAGCACTGTGCCCAGGGTAAACCTGCTTAATCCCTCTTGCAAGCCTCTGTGATAGGTGTGATTCTAGTCCCCATTGTAGGGATGAGGAAACTGAAGCACAGATTAAATCTGCATTTCACAACTGTTTATGGAGCTGCACCTCTCTGCCAAACTCTGTGGTGGACCAAGCATGCAGGGCAGACCCAGATCTCCCTAGGAAGCGGGACCTCCTCCAGAAGCCCTCTCTGCTGCCTTCTCTGAGCCTCAGCAGTACATGCTCTGGCTCTGCACATGTTTACCATGTATCCTCCTCCTGTCACTCAAGGGTGGGCTCTGCATCTGAGGGCACCCCATCATCCTCCCCGCATCCAGATTACGGACAGGAGGAGCGTCACTGTTGGGGCAGCCCTGAGCAGAATGGCAGATGACCATGCCCTTTTTTTTTCAACAGGGAAGACCTGCTTATTTCTGATTTCTGGCGGTCAGCACTAGGTGAGTACCACGTTGCCAAGGCTGAAGGTGGTAGGGATGGGAGGATGGGCAAAGAAGGGAATCCCACCCTCATTTGATGACATCTTGCTTCACAGAGCCCTGTACACGCTGGATTCTACTGCTGACTCCTACAGCTGTGTGCTTTCGGCTCTTAACTAACTCTGACCCTCAGTTTGTCTGTGAAATAGAGATGATAATACATATCCCAAATTGTAATTTTGAGTATTAAATGAGGTTGTTTAGTTAAGTGCTTAGAGCAGAGTTTGTCTGTTGCACAGGAGGAAATGAAGGTTGACCATCATTATCTCATTGTTGAAACAGGCATTGGTCCTGCTCTGTTTCCTAGAGATGACAGTGCACTTTTCCCTCTGCAGCTACACTCTCCTCTTAAACATGCTGTGTGGGAACATAAATATTTGTACATGGAAGGGACTTACAGTAGCTAGGATTTTTATTGAGGAACATTTTGTTTCCTTTGTTTTTTAGTTATTGTAAGTTTGTGATGAGCACCTTTATACATAAAGCTTTTACCAAGTTTAGGTTGATCTTGGGATATATTCCCAGAAATGAAGTTATTCAGTGAAAGGTTGTCTAGTCGTTTTCCAAAAAGCTTTTACCAATTCTTTTACTAACAAGGACTAAAAGAGCCAGTTTTTCATGCAACCTTTCCTGGCCAGGGTCTTATTTAAAGATATCTTTGCTGGTAAGTTAAAATCGGTATCTTCTTGTAGGAACATACAGCTTGTTGCTTTTTGTTTTGTTTTGCATACTGATTTGTGCAACTGAATTCAGTACCAGTATAATTAACAGCTCTGCTCCTCTATTCTTTGTTATAATTTTAAAAAGTTGGAGTTTCAGGGCATAACCTGCATTTACCAGGGACCTTCTATTAAAGTAGAATGAGTTTACATTAGATTGTTAGATGGAAACTGCCCGTTAAGTGAAAGCTGTTTCTTCTTGAACCTTCTCTGAGGTGGTAGGCAGCCTGTCGGTTTTCGGTGGACATGGCTGCATGTTGGGAGTGGAGCCGGCAGCCCCCCTCTCAGGAGTCGAAACTGTTCCCGCCCCGCTCCCCTCTCCCTGCATCTGTGGGCTGCTTTGGTGGGTGAGCTGGCTCAGAGTCAGAGCATACCCTCTGACTGTATTTAGGGACCTGCTCTTTCAGAAACCATCAACAGATGTCTTACGCAACATCTGGAACAACTGAGTGCCCCTGTGGGCACCCTTCCGGAAGCCATTGGAAATCTGCCCCTCGACTCCTCACCAGATGAGTCCGATGCGGCCCCCCGCTCCATCCCGGGAGAGACCCTGGTCTCGGGGACCTGCGATCGGAAGTGTGTGTGCTACGGCATTGGAAACTTTGCCACCTGCGTCATAGCTAGAAATCAGCTAACGTTTTTGCTCCTCTTCCTGGAAGAGTGCCAGGTACATTTGGACTCTTCTTTGTAGCCCCTCCCTTGGTCTTGCACATGGTGTACACACAGGCATTTGCGTTGAAATAACTCCTCCTTCCCTCCTGCAGATTCCCAGAAGTCACTGCTGCTTATATGACCCTCTGTTGAGCCAGCTTGAAATTGCTGTTCTTAACACCCTGGGGGTGATTGTCCTCAGTGAGAACGAGGTGAGTGGTTTCGGAAAGGGGAGGGGGGAGGGTTGTGACACTGCTGACCAACTGACCCCAGGCTCTGTCCCGGGAGTGCCAGTCCTCCGGGCAACAGCAGCTCTGCCTTTCCACTGCTTGCTTCCTGCCCAGTCAGTGACCCACATTTTGGACTCTTGTGCCCATCAGAGAAAGTAAATTACACAAACAGCATGAACCAGAACATGTTAGGTTTATAAAATTTTCATGAGGAGTCAGAAATTATGCTAAGTTGGTATTTACTGTTGGTATTAAAATATTAAAATGCACACAATCTCAGTGCCTCAAATGAGGGCTTTCTGGTTGGACTTGACCCTGTTCCAAGGAGGCAATAAAAAGGGACAGAACACCACCCCTCTTTGGAGCTGTAGTCGGTCACACCCACGGCACTGGCTGTGAGCTGGGGATGAAGCTTGTCTATCCCTGCGTCCCCTAAATAGTAGGGATTCGAAATTTCTTGAGACCTGGACAAAAGAAAATTTCACAAGCAGAGGACTGAAGCCAATATAGGCAGATACTTCTGAATTTAGTTTTGTGTTGTCATGGGGATTATAAAGTGTTTGATTCCTCTCATCTCTGAAAATCTGCCATCTCCGTGCTTATTATGAACAGGAAAATTAGGCCCAGCTGAGACAAGGGATTCGTCTGCCGATGCTGGCGAGCTTCTAAAGCACCGCCATTTCATTCAGGTCAGCTCTTCGGAGCGCCTGCTCTGTGCCGGGCAAGGAGCTTCGGGGAGGTCGGCATAAACGGGAGCCAGGCCGTCCTCAGGGAGTCCGTGGTCACATCAAGGCATGTGGCTGTCAACAAGCAAGCGATGAATCAGCGAGGCAGAGCCACGTACTGGGAACTGAGATGGGAAGGAAACCCATTCTGTTAGGGGGATGGAAGGTGTTCTGGGTCTGAGCTGGGATTTGAAGGCCGACCAGGAGTTTGCTAGAGGGACAGGGCAGGGCTGCAGGAGCCTGCGCAGAGGGATGTTCAGGAACCACTCCGTTAGATCTGAACAGCAGGGGAGCTGCAAGGACAAGCCTGGAGAGAGCAGTCCCCGAGGTAGCAGGGCCAGACGGCAAACCGACGGCCTTCTGCTCCCTGCCTCAGCTTGGCTGTGGAGCAATAGTTCTCAAGACGGGGCATTTGGAAAGGGCTCAGTTGTGATAGGGCTCTGCAGAAAGGGACCCAGGAAACATGGAGGACCAGACAGTACATGGGGGACAGTAACCACTGCTGCCCTCCCTGCCTGTGCTGTCACGGACCCACGAGGCCCTTCCGCTGACACAGCTGTGTTTGTGGGACACACATTTGTTAAGTAAACATGAGTTCTTGCCAGACATCATGATCTCCTGACTTTTTGCCCCATATCATTTTATAGATTTCATACACATTACCAATGTAATGACTTCACAATGGATGTCGTTTTTTTCCATTTCATACTTCAGTTACTTTCCTCAGCTTGTTTTTTTCCTGAGCTGTGTTGATACAGCTGACATAGAGCATTTTATAAGTTTAAGGTGTACAGTGGGATACACATATATTATAAAATGACACAATAGGTTAACACATCCATCATTTCACGTAATTACATTTTTGTTTTGTGTGTGGTGAGAATCCTCAACTTACTATTAGTCTGTCCTTACCTCTCCCTCACCTCATTGTGAGAAGTGTTTACAACTATATATTTACCCCCAGGAAGGAAAACGGAGCATCTGTGGTGAGCCCACCATCTTTTACATGCTGCATTGTGGGACAGCCCTGTACAACAACCTTCTATGGAGCAACTGGTCAGTAGATGCCCTTTCCAAGATGGTCATCATTGGGAACAGTTTCAAAGGCCTGGAGGAAAGGTAAGCCTGAGAACACAGATCCCGTCAGGCCCTGAGCTGTAGCCTGGTCCTCGGAGTGACCCACAAGCAGAACGGTTTCCATGACTGGGCCTTGGAAATGCGTTTGCACAGGAAACCGGACAGAGGGCTGAAGAAAGATGTCAACCCTGAGTCAAGCTGGGAAGCAAGTTAAGGAGTCCTTTTGCCAGTAGTTCCTCCCTTCCCTTACGACGGACAGTATTTCCTTTGAGGGGAAACTGCTGGGTTTCTGCGTGCCCTCCTATTCTGCAATGCCCAGGTGCAGCCCCCGTCTTTAGTTCTTGCTGCATTTAAATCACTTTGCCTTTCTGTGTGTCTAAGTTGGATAAAACTAATTTCATACATCCTAATCATGCTTTTAAAATTGTTCTATTTCTAGGCTGTTGACAAGGATTCTGCAGAGAAATTATGCCTACGTTGCAAAGGTATCTACCTGAATGAAGGGGCTGGGATGGAAGCGGGTGCAGAACCTCCTGTTTCTCATGTGATAGCTGGAGGCTCAGAGGGGCTGGCTGGCGGAGGCAGAGTGGGGTTGACTGTGACTATCAAGTTTATGCTCTTTTATTTTGAATTTCTCTGCTCAGATTTTAAAAGGACTGGAGGAGCATGAGTTTCCTCAGACTCCACGGTACACAGACATATTTAATGACACCTCTGTCCACTGGTTCCCTGTCCACAAGCTAAAGCAACTCTCCACAGACACTTGGGCGTTCCGGGAAGAACCAGATTATCAGGGCTGTGAGGACCTTGAGATCATCAGGAACAAGACGGCTCCTTCAGCGGTGGACTCGGACCTGCTGTGACGTGTCAGGCGTTGGCTGAGGCGGAGGCAGCGCGGCCAGCAACCGAAAGGGAGGTGGCCCTGGAGGGCGTGCAGAGAACTCCTTCCTTCGCAGCGGGCGATTTGGGAAAGGACGGGAAATCCCTAACCTGGCTGTCGTGTGCAGAGCTGGACACTGCAGAGCTCGGTGCAGTTCTGTGCACTTCTCAAGGAGCATCATGTTGCACAGCCTTCCTTGGTGGTCGTGGTGGGTGGGAGGCATCTACTGAATAGAAAAGTGGCTCGCTCAAAGATGGTTTAAAATATCATTTAGTCAGAAATGTGCCCCTCTGGGGCAGGTGCCCGCCGCCCTGGGCCTGCCGCAGCCTACTTGGCCATGTCAATCAGGCTCTGCAGGGAGGTGGGCACCCAGGTCTTCTCACCCTGGACAAACACCACCCCCCTGTCAATGTAGATGACAATGCGGCCGAAGGTGTACAGCTGCTTCCCTTCGTGTCGCTTCCCAATGACAGGCATGAAGACGATGTTGTGCTCCTCAGCCTTGGTCTCAATGAGGTCCTTAAAGTTCATGGGCACGGAGCTGGCGGCCACGCCAATGCCCCTCTGGGCCATGTTCTCAGCCTCCCGGCGCTCCTGCATGGCCTCGTACTGGAAGTCCTTCCTCCGCTCCGTGTGGGTGAGGTAGGCGATGTTCTCTCGTGCTCCAGGCTGCATGTAGGCACCTAGGAGACAGGGCAGGGGTGAGGGGAGGTTCCTACACACAGAATCCAGGCTGCTTTGGGGCTGAAGTCTGGAGATACCACAGCTGGAGATGTCTATAAAACCTACTTGTCCCTCACCGCAGGGCTGTGCCTCAGACACAAAGCACTGAAACAGATGACCAAGCACCTAGACAGCTGGCTGGAGGTTTCTGGCTAATATGTGGTGGCCAGAGGCTCGGGTCCCATCGTGCTTGGTAGTTTTCACTCTCCACTACCAGAAATGCAGCCTGTAGAACCTTGAAGACCCATGGCCTGTACGAGTTACACGAACTCACCACACAGCTGTCTGCCCTGAAAAAACTTCAATGTGTGTGGAGCTGGAACAGGTGCTGGAGGGTAGATAATACTAGGCCACAGGCACCCAGTGCTAACTGAGGGTACATCAGTGCTAGGAGCTTCGGACCAGGAGGCTGAAGGACTTGTCTAGAGAGTACGAAAAGGGAGATGGCCCACTGATGTCCCTAGAGGGACCTGGATAAGTAGAGAGCGAAGTACATTTGCCTCGTTAAGCCTAGTCTATATTATATAATCTATGAATTCTAATTCTGTTTTCATATAATAGGCTTAGAAAAATTAAAGGCTCAGTAGATAGAAATTCCAATCACAGCTGCCACTCCTAAGCTGTGTGACCTTGAACGAGCTGTGGGCCTTATCTGTGAACCAAGGTTAGAGTGGATGCTTTGAGAGGGGAGCACACTGGAACACAAGACTGCTGGGGCTCCCAGAACCGCTCTAGGCAGGGACTCACCTAGAACTGAGCAGTATGGGGAACAGGTATTAGAACAGTCAGCCGCCCCCTTCTGACACAACAAACACCCACAGAGCACTCTAGATGCCATCCCAGTAATGCAACCCTTCTAGGTTTTTAAATAAACCCCAGAAGGTAAGTACTGTTACTGTTTCAAGGTAAAGAAAAGGGTGTAAGAGGTTAAACAACTAAGAGTGAGACTGTGCCCTGACTACACCGAGCTGTTAACACACGAGCAGCACACCCAACGCTGGCTAAGCAGATGCACGAATGAATCCTAAAGAGCCACCCAGCACAGTGGACACAAAGGCGGGCCCTGAAGGAAGACCCACAGTGTGAACCCTGCTTAACTACGGCTCCACCCCAGGACAGGCGCCCTCCTGGTCCCAGGAGAGCTGGCAGTGGGAGCTTGCTAACTACTAACTACGCGCCCCCCCACCCCGTCCCGGGACAGGCATCCTCCCCAGTCCCAGGAGAGCTGGCAGTGGGTGCTTGCAAACCACTCACTCGGTCCGGGGCAGTCAGTCAGTGTCAGAGCCGAGGATAAGTTACGCTTTCGTCAGCCCACCAGTCCATCAAAACTGTGTTATTCACGTGTTCAAAAACATGGAGTTCAGGGCCAGGATATCCCAAACAGAACCCCCACTCACCAACGTTGGAGGACACTGCCCTGTTCATGATATCAAGGGCTTCATTGAACTTGTCCTTGATGGATGGGTGTGCCAGCACTTGGTCTGAGAACATGGACTTCCAGCCCAGGTACCACTTGGTGATCTCCTCATAATTTGGGCTGTTACTGAGCCAGGAGCATAGCACCTGCCAAAAAGGAACTAATAAACTTGCATCCACAGTGGCAGCAACGGGAGCAAAACTTCTGAAGGGCCATTTTGTTTTGTTTTAATCCTGGTCCCTATCGCAAATCAAGTACTTAGAACATCTGGCACACAGCAGATGGTCAGTAAATGGCAGTCACTTGTCACTGCTCAACTCGTTCCTAACCCACACACAATTCATTTTTGTCTCGTGGTTCTAACACTATCATCTGACAGTTATCCAAGAATAAGTGACCCCATCCCACCCCCAACAAAGCCAACAAAACGTACCTGAAGCCATTTAGGGAAGAAGTGCTTTTCAAGAAGCCCCACCAGGCTGGAGACGGAGATCATCCCTTCCCAGTCGATGACCCAATAAAAAGCATCCATGTGCTGCTGGTGGGGGTTAATGACTAACTCTCCGAGACACATCCCTGGAAGAGAAAGCCAGTCTAAGGCAAAGCCACAGAGGCGCAAAGAGCAAAATGTTCACCAGACAGGTAGTCTTTGGTCTGCTTTTAAAGGTCAACTTTAAGTTCTTGACAGGGCAATTCTTAAAGGTCATTTTCTTTTCTAACCCAGAAAAAACTTTTATTAGAACCAAATACCACAAAAATTTCAGAAGAGCGATGATTATCCTGTTATCAGAAGCCCAGCCAGACCAGTCAGGCACCAGGAGGATGCCGAGTCTGACCTGGTCACCACCCTTAAGTTGCTGCCTTTGGGACCCTGGTTTCATTTATATTCAGCCTCTGTACAAAAATGGCACCTCTTTTACGGTGAGAAATGTCACATGCTAACCTTTGTCCTACAGTTCAAAGGACTTGTTTAATATATTATTGGTTTAGAGAGAGGAAGGGGGAGAGAGAGAAACATCAATTGGCTGCCTCCTACACACCCCCTATGAGATGGAACCTGAAACCTGGGCATGTGTTCTGACCGGGAATCGGCCAGTGACCTTTCAGTACATGGGACAATACCCAACCAACAGAGCCACACTGGCCATGGCGAGGGCTTGTTGTAAAGTCACAATCATTAAGCTGGCCCAGAGAAACCAAGGCACCAAAGCTGCTGGACTGGGATGTTTTCCCCATTTCCTTACCCAGCTTTGGCACAATATTCTTGACCATGAATGCTTCCCAGGAGCCAGGGGTGAAGACATCTTTCCAGGGCTGGAGGATGAGCTTGGCAGAGGAGTCGCTGGGATGCCACTTCTGCAGGGCGTTGGACAGCTTGCTGCGGATGGGGGAATACAGAGGCTCCAGGCGCGCCTGCATGAGGGGAAGCCACGGGTGGATCCAAGAGTGGATGGGGACAGTGTCCGTCAGTGGGTTCCAGTTTTCCACCTGTAGGAGTGGGAGAAAAGCGGTTCACGCAGCCTACGGGGCAGTCAGATGACGCCATGTGATTAATGGTGAGGAAGCCAGCCCCACGTGCTCTCTTGGCCAAGGTCCAGTCCTTGGTATGTGTGTGGGGGGCATGGTCTGTTCTATGGAGGGACACATTAGGTACAGACAGCCACCCGAGGTACTTGGCAGGCATTTTACACTACATTTCCTCCAAACAGAGACACTGACTCACAAACACTCCCATGCAATTTTATTACATTCAAGAAATGGCAGTTTTAATTTTAAGAAACCAAGAAAATGAATTCCATCTTAATGGGAGCTTTGCGGAGACAAGAGCGGATAAAACAGCTGAAGTTAACAGGACAATAGCTGCGCTGACACATTTTGTTAATTGTAGACGTTTTAGCAGCACTGAGATGAAAAGAAAGAACACAGGAGCTCTTTCCCAGGCTCCGAGCCCTACCTCCTTCTGCAGCTTGGGGAAGATGAGCTGGTCCAGTATGTTATCTAAGACCCACACGGGGATGATGTGCACCCAGCTATCCAAGAAGTCCACCATCGGCTCACAGTTCCTTGGTTGCCATTGGTTGACAATATTTCGAACAAAAGGCATCCAGACTTCCCATATCAGCCTATGGGAAGGAAAAAGACAGGGCGGGCTGGCTAACTGCACCGACTGGGTTCACAGGATGTGAAGGACACCAGCACCCACTTCTCTAGAAGAAGGAAAAAGGCAGCAGCAATGAAGTGCCATCAGTCCAGGCCCCACACTGGCCAGACCTGTGCCTGCCTCTTCCCTGCTTTCCCACCCACCCTTGGGACCTTACTCTTGGCAGTATCTGCCTGTTGGCAGGGATGCTGCGGGGTCCCATAGGCTCATGGCCCCCCCACAACGGTCCCTCTCAAGGTGTCGTGTGCTCTTCCACCCAGAGCTCTGCATAGCTGACACCCCTCACCCTTTGGGTTACAGACTGTCACCCTGAGACCTGTGCCTCAAACCTGCCCCACAGAGAGGTATACGCCTTTGTTCTCCTCTACTACTGTGCCCAGTGTGCACCCCAGGGTCACCTGTCGACTCATTCACTGTCTGCCTTTTCCAGTTACTGTAGGAACTGCATGCTGTCTGCTTTACTCCCAGGGTAAGCCTAGCACACACGTGATCCTCAGTAGACAGACACGTGTAGGGTGAACGAATGAATGAGCGCTGAATGCCCAGAGCCATGCGCCCGTGCCCCAGGAGGTAACAGCAGGAGTGCTTGGCCCCTGCCGCACTGAGTACCTGTGAAACGCATCTGCCGAGAGGTCCTGCCCCCCGTGGGACAGGAGCTGGTCATTCTCCAGGAGGCTTTTCCATTTGGAGATGATCTCGGTGCCGTAAGTGCAGTCCTGAGGAGAAACACACAGCGGCTGAGGCAGCGGTCAGCGCCCTCCTCGGGCCCTAGGCAGTCTTGCAGCCAAGGCACGCCTCAAAGCAGAGGTGGAGAGCCTCATTTCCCCGACGACTCACTTTGAGGGGATCCCACTCCTTGAAGTACTCCTTCATGAGCGGGTAGACAATGGCCACGGCAAGGTCCACGCGGTCAGACATCCGGTACTCCTCGTAGTACTTGTCCTGCAGGGTTTCGAAGATGTGGGCGCACTCGTCCAGGGTGAGGGGATGGCTGCAGTGGGGCTGCATGCGTCGCTCGCACTCCTCCACCATCTCCAGGACTTTGCTGAGGTTGGAGATGACCCGCTCCTCGTGCTCCAGGACCTCTGACATCTTCTCCAGCTCGTGGGACAGGTTGACCACCATGTCCCGCTCGTACTGCAGCTGCCGGTCGTTCTGGATGATCTCCTGCTCCGTGAGGTCGATGAGCAGCTGCAGGTTGTGCTCCAGCTCCGGCAGCGCGAAGCCCGGGGCCTTGGCCTCTTTGCCGGGTGGTGGCAGCTGCTGTGACTGCAGTGGCAGCCCGTCATCGGGGATGTTGTGCTTGTGGCTGATCTGGCTGTAGCTGTAGTAGACCTTCTGCTCCCGGCCGGTCATGTCTATCACCTTGGAGAATGGCACAGGGGAAGGTTACCACTCACCACTGTGCCCTATGAAACAGCCCGAACGCCGGGAAGACACGACGGGAGTGGAAACGTCTAAAACCACACTAGGGGCAGTGGGCAGAGCTGCACTAGGCTAAAGGAGAGGCTGAGTCCCCTTGGACAAAGCAGATGGAGAAGACGTTTTAGGAAAATTGATGAAATTTGAATAGACTGTTGAGAAGGAAATCTATTTTCATGGAAAAGTAAAAGATGTTCTGATCAAAGTAAGTAATAAAGTATATACAATCAAAATAACATTTTCGTAAAAAAATGGGCATATTTAGGCAAAGATCTGAAAGGATGTACATCAGAATGTTCAAAATATGGGAAGGAAGAAAAATATTTTTTATATTTTTGCCTTTATTTCCTAACTGTCTAAAATGTACTACACTGCTCTGTAATGAAAAGTTTTTTCATCTTAAAACAAAATGAAACATACAAAAACTCCAGTTTGGCCAAAGGCCTCCTAGGAAATGAGCTAATTCCAACATTTCAAGGAAACAGGAAAATCGGAATATGAACTACACCAAAACCAAATGAGTTACCAATGCTTTAGAGTGTGGTCTGAGGACCATCTGCATTAGACTCACCCGGGGAATGAATACGGAGTCCTTGGGCCCAGTCTCACCTTGCTATGGGCTCAAAATCTCTGGCTGGGCCCCAGATATCTGCTGCACAACGCCTGACAGTTACTCGAGACAGTTCTGTGACGTGCACACTGTCCTACACCGGACTGCAAAACACTGTCACCGCTGTCCTTTGGCTACTTGGTGAGTCAAGGAAAACCTGAGACTATGCAAGTTACTATGAAACTGTAATCTCGTCCTAAACAAGAAAACAGTTAACGCTGCTGTGCCCTGGGGACTGGTCAGAGTGAGTGAGTACACCCTTTCCAGTATTTAAGAGCCTTAAACACCATCCTGTTCTTTAGCCTGGTGACAGTACTTCTAAGAATCTATCCTTAAAAAAATGAACCAAAGACAAGACTTGATATACAAATGAGTCTGTCAAAAAGCCAAACCACACCAAGCCAGAAAGAAGTTCAAGATCCAGCAATAAAGGGGACCCAGGCATAGTACAGCTGCTCTCGGGATGCGCACGCATTAAAGACGATGGCCACACTGACTTTCTAACAAGTCACTGGCTGTAAGCTTCAGAAGGAAGGGCACATTGTCTACTTACCACTCTGGGGCCTTGAAGAGTGCCGGGCACACGGCAGGAACCAGATAACTTACTGAAGGGTGAGTGCAAACAAGCTATCAGGTAAGAAAAGCAGGACAAAAAAAGCCTGGAGAGAAGCCCCAAAGGGACCTTAGAAGATGCCCGGTGGCTGCCTCTGGGCTGTGGGATTACTGCTGTGTTCTAGTGCCCATCCTGGACCCGGTGTCCAAAGACCCACATACCTTGACCTGAGAAAGCTCCTTCTGGGGAGCGGTGAGCTTCTTGCTAATCCTGCCCTTGGCCTTCAACTCTTCCACTGTCTTGTAAGAGTATTTGGGCTTCTTCTTGCTTCCGCTGGGGTCCTTCCTCCACTGGCTCATCTCCTTCTGAAACTCCTGAATGAGAGGGGTAATCTGTCACATAAGCAAGCCCACTTTTTACAGTAGGTGGGGCCACTAAAACCATGAACAGACATTCACTACCGCTATCTGAGATTTTCACACGGTCATGCTAAGGATTGTCTGTGTGTGAGACACTGAAACCTCCATACCCACTCCCCCTCTTACTAATAATGAGGTTCAGCAGGCAGGTAAACCCACTGGAAAGAGAAACACAAAGACAAAGGCAACACTTCCTAAGCATCTCCTATGTCAGGCACTATACTAGTTTCAAGTTTATCTCATGAAAACTTAGTTTCAAAGCAAAGAGATCTTTTGCAAGCAGGGTTTGCAGAACTTTTCTGTAGCAAGATCTAGAGTAAAGGAAAGAACTTAGTCTTAGGGTAGTGGAGTCCAGCCCAAAGATTTAACATTGTAACTTTTTTTCCTCCAAAAAAAAATCTGGACTTCTACTTTGGGCAATTAGAAAATCAGGCAATACTGCGCCCACATTCTATATGGCAATAACCATGTAGAGTTGAATAGAAACTACCCCTTTAGATGGGCTGTGCCCTTGCCTCTCTGCCCCAGGCCCCACTGCACCTTGTGGCTTCACACCTGGCTCACTTTCCTCACCATGTTGCATGCCTGGCACCTGTTCACTCCAAGTCTGAGCCCCTGGCTCAGTACTCAACTCCGCATTATCAAATGTCTCCTTCCTCAGTGAAAGGAGAGGGTCAGTGACAAGAACAGTAACCACACGTGTCTCTGCAGCCTCCTGCTTTCCCCCATAATGCAAACGGGAAAAGACATTAGCCCAGGCTGGTGCGGCTCAGTTGGCTGGGGGTCATCCCGTGCACTGAAAGGTTGCTGGTTGGACTCCCCATCAGGACACATGCCTGGGTTTCAGGCTCAATTCCTTAGAGAGTGTGCAGGAGGCAGCTGATAGATGTTTCTTTCTCAGGTGGTTGTTTCTCTCCCTTCCTCTCAAAATATCAACAAAAGTAACATATCAATCAAGCAAGTGGCCCCTTCTGACACTGGAGCAAAGTGATCCACAGCTGCCAGCAGCTGGCTCCCTGCTGCACGTGGGATGAGACCTTGGTGCCTAAAATGACCTTGTGGGCTGGGCGGTGTGGCCACCTGTCTCGGCGCACTCCCTTCCCCGCTTGGTGTGCTACCATTCAGCCACACGTCTCCTACTCTCCTCACTGGAAAGCTCAGCTGCTGTGTCCTCTGGTCTCAAGTCTCCCTATGCCTGATGCCTTCTCTTCTGCCAGGTGTTAACTAAATGTTTTCTTCCTAAGAGATCTTCCTGACCACTGTATTTATTATAAGTATGTTAACCCTCCTCCCCACCACACACCCCCAATCCTACTTTCTACCTTGGCAATTCGTGGCCCTTGCTGCTCTTTCTAGCCCCACCGTAGTTGACTGTTTACTGAGTGACTGTCCACCTACCCTCCAGCATAGTGCCTGGCATATAACCTGTGCAATAACCACCTGCAATGATAATGAATAAACGAACGAATGAACAAAAATGGCACAGACACCACCCACCCCCGCCTCCTGATTTCCAGGTACCTCTTCTGCCTCTTCTTCGGAGTCAACCACAGGGAAGTCCTGCAGGGACTGAGTGGTCCGTTCTGAGCCATAAGCTCCCACAGCACCTTTTCCTTTTCTCTGTTTGGCTTCAATTGGGGTAATGATACCTGACAAATTTCAGCAAAAGAAAAAAAAGAGAGGCCTCAGGTCACAGCAGTTCTTGTATTTAAATAAGCCACTTAGTGAAATCACCCTTGCTTGGACCTTACACACAGTCACACATGACCAGGCAGGAAGGAGAACTCGTCTCTGCCCATGAACACTGTGCACGGCCTGTGTGATCTGAACCTGCTGAGCATTTATGCTGCCACAGAACAGTCTGCTGACATGAGGTTATTGATGTCCTACAGACACATTTCCATTTCCACTTGGATTCATTTTTCAGTACATGAGAGAAAAAGAGAGTAATTCATTTATAACAGGAAACTCTATGCTCATTTGAAAACCTTTAATGTGGAAAGTGCAGTAATTCAGCTAATGTATAGATTCCAACTAAAGTAGGTCAAACTGTATTTAAGACTCTTTTACATTAATACCAAATGTACTTGATTTGTTTCATAACATGCTTAAGCCTTGGACATAACTGTTCTTATAGAGGAGTTTATAAACAAGACCGCTCCGTTTCAATACACCGAACTTCCCAGCACCTCCCACTTCGTCAGTACTGCCGACCTCTCAGTTAGAACATTCCCCGCTCTCCTTCCTGGTCACCGTTTCCATCTTCACTTCATGGACTTTTTCATAAGCTAATGTCTTCACACCTCACCTGGATTTAACTGACAATTATTTAGGGAGTGGAATGTGACCACTACCGACGACCCAGGTGTGACTGCTCCTGGCAGTAGCTCTGGGAAGAAGGCGCCTGCGAGGTCTGAAGGACGGGCTGGGGGAGACAGGCCAGGAGGAGACAGTGCTCCTCTGAAGACAGAGGTAACTAACGCAGCATTTGCTCAGCCAGTTTATAGCTACATGTCTCTTGCTATTTAAAAAGCTACACACAGTTTTATTGATATTCCTGAAGGAAAAATGGCTGTTTTTGAAAAAGGAAACTCTTATAAGCAGGGACTGCTAACTCTCATGCTTTGGGGGTGTTGGGGGTGCGGTGGAGACTGCTCCCAGGAAAAGGCCATGTGCACTGTCCCGGGGCAGCTATGATTCAGCTGAACCTATTACTGCCAGGCAAATCTAGACTTTCAGGAGAGAGTGTCTGACTTTTAAATATGGGCAACAAATCCAATTTTTTCAGAAGCACTGGACAGGCCAAAAAGAAGCCTGTCTTCAGCCTGTGAGCCTGCAGCCTGTTTCAGACCCTAACCCTTCTCCTCCTGCAGAAACAAGTATTTTACTTCAGGGTCACTTAGGGGCACAACTTGTCTTGCGCTGGACCAGGCTGAGGAGTTGAAGTGCTTTCAAAGGAGAAAAACAGACACTCTCCTTTCCTCCGCCTTGCCTCCCTCACGCAAGACAACGAGGGCGAAGGTGCCTTACCCTGTGCGTTCTTCCCGAGGCCCCTTCCAGGGACATAGCCCATCTTCTGCAGAAGCTTCTGTCCAATTCCTTTTGTGTGTCTTTCCCAGCTGCCAAAATCCATGAACGACTTGGCTCCTCCTGCAAAACCTTTCTGGCTGGGTTTGAAATTACCACCCTGCAAAGAAACATCAAAGCTTAATTGATGGAAAAAGGAAAAGAAGAAAAATCTAAGCAATCAAGCTTGGTTGACGGGAAAATGGCCTGATGGTCAGAGCACTATGCGATGCCCTACAGACCAAATATGCATCTGTGATGTGTGTTAGGAAAGACAAGAGACTGCACTGTACACTTCACTCCTGAAAGCAACCAGCCACCACAAGGAAACACCCACACTGACTCCACCTGAGCCCCCACTCGCTAGATGTCTGGGCTGCAATGACCTTCCAAGGAGATTACTAAGGTCACAGTACTTCGATAAAGACGCTACCGTTTTTAACTTCTTTGGTCCAAAATCCTTAGCAGGAAATTCATCCTGCTTAACAGGTTTCTCTTCATCGTCAGAATCTTCCAGCTCCACCTCCTCTGCTGCCCCTTTCTTGAGCCCCGCACTGATGAAATTGACTGGCGCAGAGTAGTCGCGGGCCCTGCAGGCAAACACAATGCCCCATGGGCTAGTCCCAAGACTCTTCTGCAGCCATCCCTTGTAGAAACTTTGCTGGCCAGAGAGAACTCATTAGAGTGGACCCCATGGGATCCGTTTTAAAACAGCAACACATTTACTTATATCAAAAGGGTCCCAGATCTGGCTTCCTGTTATCACATTTAACATTTTTACCTGATGCATTCAAGTCAGTCTATCACTGGAGAGCTATCAATATCAGTGTAGAGTTCATTAAAAATTCAAAAAATGATGTGCTAATCCAACTTTCCTTTTACATTGTCTAAAGTGCCAAGCATGGTACACTACACTTACTTTAAAAAGATTTGTTTTAAACATTATTTCGAATATAAAATCAAACAGAAATTCTGATAGATAAAAATTATAAATAAATAAACATTAAAAGACATTATATGGTCTGGCCGGTGTGGCTCAGTGGTTGAGCGTCGACCCATGTACCAAGAAGTCGCTGGTTCGACTCCCAGTCAGGACACATGCCCAGGTTGTGGGCTTGAGCCCTAGTGTGGGGCATGCAGGAGGCGGCCAATTGATGTTCTCATCAATGTTTCTGTCTCTCTCTCCTTTTTACTTTCTCTCTCTAAAAATCAATAAAGGAGAAAAAAAATTAATAAAAATAGCTAAAAAAAAAAGACATTATATGAACAGAAAGTATGTTAACAATTATATATTAATTATGTAATTAACAATATCAAACTTTCATGTTCATTAAATTTATTGCATATGAAAACTAAAATACCTAAGAAATTAATTCTTGAGACGAAAAGTATAAATTTTAACTGACTGCCTCAAAAACAGTACTTAAAATAAGCCATTAACCACAGTTCCTCTTTTGTATAAACAGAAGCCAATCCCTTTGTATTATGTGCTTAAGGGAACAGAGAAGAGGTTCCAATGAAAAACCCTGGGAATATTGCAAAATAAAGGGATGCTTTATAAAAAGACTGACCCAGAAATTAAACATCCCAATGGCAGCAATAAAATTGCGAGAATTCTTTCCTAGAAGATGCAACAGAACTAGAGCCCCATCTCTAGAGTCATATTGGCCCAGATTCTCAGCCCAGCCGGGTGGCCTTTGGCTGCAGTTTCTTAATCTGTAAAAGGGAATGATGATAACGGTAACTTTCTCATAAGGGAAATGAGACCAGGCACGTGAAAAACCCTGAACAGTAAACAGTCAATAGATGTTGGCTGCTATTATGAGTATGCAGTTCCTGACCCCTATCTACGTATCATCCACTTTTACATTTCCTTGCAGATGAGAAGAGGCTGAACTACTTTCTTCTCTCAGGCACAATCTCAATGGGCTGGAGCCTACAGGCTATGGATGGTGTGGAGGAGGAGACAAACCCAACCTACTACACCCTCTGGTTGAACAAGCTGCAGCCCCCACAACGACTTAACACCGAGGAGATTTTCAACCTCAATCCTCACCTCCCTATCACCATCCTAGCCTGGGCCTCCATCACCCTCTACAGGGACCGCTGCCTCAGCCTCCTCACAGAGCTCCCTGTCCACAGTGGCTCCCTGCTGGCTCAGCACATAAGCAAAAAGGTCTTCTCCAAATATCACACTGCCTCATGTCACATCCTCTCTAACAGAGCCACAGGCCCCTTCTCGAACTACCCTCCACTCCCTCTCTTCACTCCAGCCCACAAAACCATGCGTATCCTTGCAGATACCCTGCTGCCTCCCATCAAGGGCCCGTGCATGCTCGTGCCTTTCCCACCACCCTAGTTACCTTCTATTTTCATATCAGCTCAAGGCTTGCTTCTCTAAAGAAATCTCCCCTGACCTCTCACAATAAATCGGGTCCTAAACCAGTTACAAACTTCTTTGTGAGCTGTTGATTAATGCGTCTCCATCCACTAGGGTCTGCACTCTGGGCAAGAACTGGGTCTCTAGCACAAGGCCCTCCATAATTGCCTACATAATAAACACGGATGATTAAATCAGTGAAAGGACAGCACTCCAGCTCAAACAGAAAACTAGGCCTCCCTAGCTGATGTCATAGCTAAGGGACTCAGTGCGGCTAGGAGAGAAGTATATTTAGTGGGGTATCTCCCCAAATTGCACCGTCTACCCCAACCCCTTCCATAAAGCACAAGGAAGAAGCCCCATGCCAGCCAGTACCGTTTGCCTCCAAAGCTGGGCCTCTCTTCATCCGAGTCCCGCTCTGCCCACACTCCGTAGGTGGCCTCTTCCTTGGTCTGCCAATGCCGCTGGCGGTTGGGGTTGAACTCATTCTGCAGATCCCAGTCAGTGATCTCAAAGTTCTCTCTCTCATCCTCGTCATCATCCATGTGGCCATCCCCATCCCGGTACAAGTGGGACAGTGACATGGCCAGTCACTAAAGGAACACAAAAAAAACAAACAAACACGTGGGCACAGTCTGTGATAAGTTTTGAGAGCATCAAGAGAAGACTTCCTTGTAAGTTCCTATTCCTTCCTAACTTCAGAATGTCCTGCAAACTTAAAGTCCATTTATCATTGTTACCATCTAAACTAGCAGACATTAAAAATACATTTTGGAAAACAATCAGTACTGAAACAAGTGGAATAAAAGACTCGTCCCAAAGTCCGTGATTCTTAAGCACGTATTTCCTGGTCCTAATCAGTGTCATAAAGCATCCCTCACACAAAGCACACAAAAATAACTACTTTATTCTATAAATGACTGCCTCAGAAACTGTGTGGACATCATTCCAGACTCCACGTTTTGTTTTTGTTTTATTTCTTCTATCGTTGAGAAAAGAGTGACATCTGGACCCTTGGGCGTCCCAGGAAGTGATTTCTTTGATGCTTTCTGAAACACATCACTTGTTGAGACCTTCAGACTCAGTTTTCCTCCCCAAACGCGAACCAACCTCTTCCCATCAGCTGGAAGGTGGCTGTGATGAAGGACGCGACCCTGACAGTCAAACCTCTGTGGGCGGGCGCCAAGTTGGCTCTGGGTAGCTGGGCGGTGAGACTCGGCTGTCTCAAACACACTCACCGGTAAGGAAAACGAGGCTCCCAGGCGAGCAGCTGCCCCAAGCTCCGCTGCTGGCAAACCTGGGGGCCGGGTGGGCTTGCAGCTAAGGCTCGGCGTCTCCCTCCCCTGCAGTCCGGGCTTCGCGGTTCAGGCTCGGTTCCAAGCCGACCCAGGCCCCTCTCCCGGCCTCCGCGACCAGCCCGAGCACTCGCACCCGCTCCCCGCGTGGCCGAGTCCCCGTCCCTGCCACCGTCCGGCCTGGCTCACCTCGTCCGGGTTCCTAGGCTCAAACACAGAGTCCCCCTCCGTGCAAGACGTGCGCCGTGCTGGGAGTCGGAACCCGGATGTGCCAGGACCCGCGCGCCGGAAATGACGTCGCTCGGTAGCGGAAATGGCGCGCTGGTTGCCATGGCAGCAGCGGAAGGTTTGAGCGGCTCCGGCTTCGGAAAGGAGACGGGGTTGCCAGGGCCCGGCGTGGCTCGGGACGTGCGGCGTGCTCTCCGCGCCGGGCCGCCTGCCTGCCGCGCCCGCTCCGTGGCGACGCCCGGCCTTGTGGTGGACGGTGTGGACGTCGCCGATCCTTCTCGGGGGGCCCCTTTGCCAGCCAGAAAGTCTGAATCCGTGCAATGGGGATAGAGGCGGTCCCTAGGATAGTTGTGACGATGGTGTGAGCCCTCGGGGGCCGGGGACGCGGCGTTCCTATGGGAATAATGAAGGTCAGGACTGAACCCTGTGTCTTTGCGGTCTCGGCAATAAGCATCGCGTGGGCACAGCCCATAGAGGTAGGACTTTGAGAGAATGGAGGAATAAACGAGCAAACTCGAAAGGTCCCACCTATTCCCTCCGGGGAATTTTTCCCTTCTCCTTCTTTCCAACAGGTTGGTAAATCAATTTCATTCACTCCCTGATCGAATTAAAACGTTCCGAGCGACGGCCTACACTGTGCTATGTTCGAGGATACAGTGAACAAAATCAGCCCTGCCAGGGAATCCCTCACTAGCTGTGGACTCTGTAGGCACCCAGGCCCTGGGGTTTCCATCTCAGCTTGCAACTTGCCGGCTGTGGACCTTGCACATGTCATCACCTCTCTCTGAGCCTCGGTTTTCTCTTCTGAAAAATGGTTGAAAATCCAACGAGAGAAAATATGGAAGCGATTAAAACCGTGCCCAGTCCACAGTAGGTGCTTGGGAAGCATTAGCTGTAGATGTTTGCATATGTTCCCTCTTTCTCCTCCCCATGACAGAAAGATCCAAGGGGCAAATGTGGTGGTGAACAAAGGTCACTGATTCAAAAGACTTGGGTCCAACCTCCCATGGTTGTTATTAATTATAGAAAACCTACAAGAATTCAATTAAATGCCGGCTTCTTGGGAATGGGGACTGTGATTTAATAGTCTCTGTATCACCAGTGACATGTAGTGTCACGGTGTCTGACGCAAACTGTGTACTCAAAAAAGAAACCAGAAAGTGAGGTTTCAGTAGAGGAGCGTGGGGGTGGGAGGTGGAGGAGGGAGTCCAACAGACCCAAAGGTCCACTAAGGAGCAGAGTGAGGGAAACGAGATGAGATAAGCATTTTGAGTCTGAGCCTGAAAATGTATATGCATCTGTTTACAGCCCGAAGTCAAAACAGTAAACTCAGCGTGGCTTCTCTGAAGCTGTGTCTGTAGCTTTCTACTAGGCTTTATGGAGGTGCAGTTACTTTGATCAGGAGGGACCCATGGATTTGCTTCACCGAATGGACCCCACTATGTGGCTTCTGGAAAAGAGAGCTTTGTGGATTATTGTGGCTTCTTTAAGAAGGCAGGCTCTGGCCTTGGCTGGTTTGGCTTAACGGTTAGAGCGTTGGCCCGAGGACCAAAGAGTCTTGGGTTTGATTCCTGTCAAGGGCACGTACCTCAGTTGTGGTTCAGTCCCAGCCCTGGTCGGGGTCATTCAGGAGGCAACCAATCTCTCTCTCTCTTCCCGACTCTATCTGAAGATAAATGGAAAAGTATCCTTGGGGGAAGATTTTTTAAATAATAATAATAATGCAGGCTCTGATGAGGTGAGCCAAGCGTGTACCCTTAAGAATGGGACAAATCGCAATCACATACCCCATGGTAGGACGCTTAGAGAAGATTGCTGCATCATTCCTGTGATATTCCTGCCCAAAATGCATACCCTGCACCACATCACGAGGATACAGCAGACAACCCAAACAAAGGGCGCTCTACAAAACAACTAGCCTGTGACCTTCCAAAGGGCCACGGTCGTGAAAGTCAAAGACCCTGGAACCGTTCCATACTGCAGGAGACCAAAGAAACACGGCAATCAAATGCAGCACATGCTTCTGAACTGGAACTTCTTCCTATAAAGGAAGTTGTTGGGACAACTGGCAAAATTCAAATACAGTCTGAGGTTTCCATGGTAGTGATGTGTCTATATTCATTTCCTGATTTTGATGATTGTTTTGCAGTTACATTGGAGAATGTGTTTGTTGGAAATAAAGTATTGGGGGAGTATTAGGGCATTAAGCAGGCAACTTACTTTCAAATGATTGAGAGAAAAATCTATTTTCTCTATGAATTTAGAATTTTTTTTAAAAATGGAGGTTCTGGAGTAAAACTTCAAGGATTCCAATCTCCATTTTTCTGCTTCCTAGGTTTGGAACCTGGGCAGGTAGCTTCACCTCCCTGTACCTGTTTTCTCACCTGTAAAATGAAGATAATGGCAGCACTGCTTTAAAAGGGTTGTTTTCAGGACACAAGGGGGGAGGGACTGCTTAACGCATGTTAAAGCCCCTGGAACGGTAACGTGCTTCCTACATGGTTGTAGCTATTTTCATTTCAGAGATCCAATCTCATATCTTCGCACAGAAGGCCTCTCAGCCTTGAAGGTCAGTTGTTTTCCAGGATTTCTGGGCTTAAGAGGTTTCGATTCCGGATCTCATATCCATCCTGGTCTCTAGTCACCGCCCAGAGAAACCCTTGCCTTGGGACTCAAGGACATCCAGGCCCGTGTTTAGATTCCCAATGAGGTACTCACATATGTAGCCTTCCCAGAAGGGGTTGCCAAGCAACAAGGCTCCTCTGCAGGAGCCTGGCAGGGCCTTAGGACACTCATCAGTCCGTCCCTCCCTTTTCACAGATGAGGCGATGGAGGAGGCCGCACCACAAGGAACGTGCCCAGGGCCACACAGCAACTTTAAGGACAGAGCCAGTTCTAGAACCCAGGAGTTCAGGTTTCCAGGTCAGTGCTTCCCCCGCTATTCCAGGCGTGGGGTGGAGCTAATACTTCTAGCGTAGATTCCTATCTGTTCGGGGTCACAAGACAAACCCCCTGCATAAGCCTTCTCTCCAATGCCTCAACCCTCCGAGGTCATTTCTGTTACTACCCTTTTAGGCAGCCTGTACCATGTTGCAGTCTCCGTATTGCCTTCAAAAGATTTTTGGAGAAAATCCTTGCTCAGTTACAACTTGAAATAGGTTGATACCATAGAAACACTTCGCAAGTGGCATTTCAAAGCTGAGATATTTAAAGTCTAGCACAAGTACCTTTTTCTAGGACAGTGACATTACACAGTTGCACATGGCTTATTCTTAATTTTGAATCTTGTCACAAATATATATATCGTGTCCTGAATTGAATACCCAGAGCAGCTGGATTAGCAAATTTGCTTTCCCTTTAAATGTTTCTTACAGATGGTTTCTACTCGTTTGAGAACTTGTGAATACTCCATCCTTATATAGAAAGCTGGGACATGTTCTGCAGGCCTGAGGCATTATCTGTAAAGCAAGCATCTTCCCAAGCACACAGGTGAGATGAGGAACCCCAGCCTTCATCATCCATCCATCCATCCATCCATTTGTTCATTAAGTCACTCATGAACAAATATTTAGTGAGCTCCTATGTATCTTTTATTGCAGTGTCAACAATTACCTTCAAGCGGAGTGGCTGGAAACAAAAGTAAACATTGTGTCAATTTCTTTGGTAGGAATTCAAGAGTGACTCAGCTGGCTTGTTCTGATTTGTGTCTCCCTTGGGGTTGCAGTCAAGATGTCAGCTGGGACTGCAGTCATTGGTGAGCTTGACTGGAGCTGGAGAATCTGATTCTAAGGTGATTCACTCAATGGCCAGTTCAACTTGAACTTCAGACAGACAACGAATAAGATTTGAGCACGTCCCATGCAATATTATGTAATACTTAAAAAGTCACTGTTTTATCTGAAATTCAAGTTGAGCCATCCATGTTGTATTAATCTGGAACCCTATCCTTATTCATTGTGGAAAGGGACATCATACAAAAGGGCATGACTACCAGGAGATGAGGACCACTGGGGTCCCCTTGGCAGCTGGCTCCCACAACCCTTCATATGCTGGGCATGGCGTATGGATCAACAGTGAGCAGTGAAAAACGATGGTTCCCATTCTCAGTTTACAGTCTAGCAGGACCAACGTGAATCAAATCACCAGGCAAATACATGCAGAACCTCGACTCTGCTAATGTGCTTCAGGAAAAGTCGCTGGAGCTTGGGACAGGTACGTGGTCCTCATCGGAACAGCCATTTTTATGTTTTGTAGATTGAGCTTTTATACATGACTCTCTGTGTGTGTGTGTGTGTGTGTGTGTAAGAGGTGGTGTATGGAAGGTTCTGCCAATAAAAGAAAACAAAATCCTGAAAATACACACCAATAAATACATGCAAGAAATGGTGAAAACGGAATAAGGTCTGTGGCGGTGTCCACAGCACTGTACTGTCGATTTCCTGGTTTTGATACTGACCACAGTTACATAAGGTGTCAGCACTGGGGAAACCGGGAGAAAAGGACTCTTTGTACTGCTTTGTCAACTTCATATCAGTCTACAGTTGGCTCAAAAGAAAAAGTTAACCAACAACCCATTAAAAATAAAAAAAAAACCGGTTACCCCAGAAACAAGGTTAGATGAGACTAGCCCAGACCGTGGAAGGGCTGAGTTGGAGTAGGGCCACTTGTTCAGGCCCAGTGGGTGGAGCTCGGGCTTCCACCTGACGGAGCGAATCTCCGCGCGTATCATCCTGACGAGTGTTTGCTTAGAACAGAGGGTGGACGGAGAGATGTCCTCCGTCTAGGCCTGCCTTTGGGGCTTGGGGAGACCGGGAGGAGTTCCATCAGTGGGAAGAACCATCCCTGTCCCAAGGTGAAGGCTAGGGTTTTGGATAACCTCGCTTTGGGGGGGCCTGGAATCACTATCACTTTAATTGTAAAGGAAAGATATGTCCTTATTTTGCACCCTAATTGAAGAAAGGGCAACATTTGATAAAGTCATGTTTAATTGAAGAAAAGGAACATTTGATGAATTCATAGGTTGACGACCTGCGGGTAAAATTGACCAATTGTTTTTTATGACTGTGGCCGGTTCTGCTTCCCAGAGAGGGCGCAGCAGCCGGCACCGCTCAGGCTCCTCTGCTTGGGGTCTCGCCATGCCACATCAGGGGGTCCATCTCTGCGCCCTTGAACGTGGGGGAGCCCTAGGACTGCTCTGACAAACTAAGTGTGACCCTGGGCCAGTTCCAGGCATGTCCCTTGACTGACTGGCAGTGGTGCTGCCTCCGGCCTCTGCCGACACTTGCTCCGGGGAGAAGCCAGCTGCCATACCCGAAGCCTGGCGATCTTGAGGCTGCCATGTTCTGAGGAAGCCCAAGCTGGCTGTGTGCAGAGCCGACATGATCCAGATGCCCGGTAAACACCTCGAAGGCTCCACCTGTCCCGACCCAGACACCAGACACGTGAATGAAGAAGCCTTCGGTGACAGAAGTCCCAGCCGTCCTCTGGCTGTGAGAACCACCCTGCTCACTGCAGTTGACCCCTAGAGCTGAGAGATGTCAGTCAGTTGTGTTAGGTCACTATGTTTTGGGCTGGTTGGTTTTGCAGCAAAAATGAGTGGAACAGTGAACAAGGCCGGATGTCCTCCGCTCCCGTGAGTGCCGACCATGAGGTTCCTGTGCTCAGAACTCCATCAGCTGCCCATCCGACTGCAGTCTCGAGTCAGGGCAACAAGAATCATTCCCACTGTGGGCTCAGCACATCCCGGCGCCACTGCCCTCGTCACCCGTCAGCCGCTACTACACCCAGGAAGTTCCACTTCCCCATTTCACAGATGAAGCAAGGAAGCCACTCAGTTGATAAACTGGCCTAACTCCAAAACTCCATGCCCCGAACCACAGAGTCACTTCCTTCCCAAGGCTTCACTGTCACTCCCTCTAATGACGCAAAACTGCTGAGCACAGACGACCTCTGAGCACCTGGGGGCAGAGCAGTAAAAGGTTAACTCAGCAGGCTGAGAGTTCAAACCCCACAACATGCGTCAAAGAAAGGGCTGGCCCTTGGCCAGCTCTGGGAGATCACCCCTAAGCTCTTGGAATATTCTAGTAAGAGCATCTTTGAATACCTGGGACCCCAGGCCACACCAGGCCAGACAGTCTATGCTAACAAGGTGACTTATGATGGGGAACTTGGGTCATCCTGGAGACTTAAGTAACTAAGGTGACTAAGGCAACACTGAATTCATGTCCCACAGCATTGCTGGGACAAGGCTGCGTGTCCAGAAGACCCCCCTAAGAGAGGACAACCAGAGCTCAGGACTGGTCTCTGCCCGATGGGCCTTTACTGATTTTAATCTGTATCCTTTCTCTCTAATAAACCATAGACGAGTCTACTGGGTTTTCTGGGTTCTGTGAGCCCTTCTAGCAAATCACCGAAGCGGAGGGTGCCCGTGGGAACCGCAGGCCCAGGAGTGCAGCACGCTCTGCAGGGACCCACTTCGCAGGGGCCCCTCTCCCGCCTGTGCTCGCGTCGTCCTCCCGACGGAATACGAAATGCAGTGTCTGCTCCCTCTGTAAAGTCAGGCACGGACAGATGCGTTCTGTTCACTTTAATCAAATAATATATATTTTTTCTTTGTCAAATTAAGAACTGAGGAGGAATTAAAGAAAGCCTCATATATTAAATTTTTAAATAGATTCTTTGAATTCAAAAATAAGGGTCAACAGGAGAGGCACAGGTCGTGGGCCCTGTCCCAGCAAACAAAGCCACCAAGGCGGTCCCGCAAAGGAAGGAGGGTGACAATCCACTTAAAAAAAAGTTCTCGAGGGGAAACATAGAAAATCCTTAAGTTTCAAAAGCCGGACTATGTCCACACTCTTCCTGCTCTATCCCAGAGTGTCCGAACATAGTGTTTCTTTAGTTTTCACGGATTCAGGCTTTGCAAACATATGCAAATGCATTCCTCGTTAGCAGTCCCGTTTTGGCAATTAATAGCAAGCAATATGCTTGGATTAGAGGTCCGATTTCCACTCGAATGCAGTTTCTTCCCTTCTTGGCAACGGAGCCACTTGCAGAGATCTGGAAGTCAGGGAGAAAGCCATGTCAAGCCCAGAGTCACGGTTCTGAAATAGATCTTTTACATTTGTATGTGTGACTGCAGAGCGAGTGGGCTCCGCGCATTCGCATACGGTATGAGGTTACCTCTCGGCAACCCAGATGGCCAGAGAGGACTTCAGTTACGTTTCTTGGGTTCTCCCTCACATCTCAACCTGCACCCCCTGACCTCAAAGATACATGTGTCATGTTTATTAAGAGCAAGTGGTAATGACTATTTGGAACAAGGGAAGGATTCGCCTTGATTCGAGGCCAATCCCATACCAGCAAGTAGCTAACACACCCTGAATACGGTGTAATACGGTGTCTTGTTTAAACAGTCAAGCGAAGGGATATACCTGTTTTCTGTCAGGGAGAATAAATGTGCAGAAACAGAGCAGGGGGAAGAGAGGAAGACAGAAACACGGAGAAAACCTGTTTTCCACGTGAGCGTTCTTTTCTCGGGTTAAACAGAACTCGGGGATCTCAGCACAATGCCAGGTGGGAACCCGGGTAAATGACAGGGGCTAGGTGTCTCCAGCCTTGCAGGCCAGTGCAAAGTGGATTTTTTTTTTAATGAAAAAATATGGTGATTATTTTAAAATAAGATAAGGAGACTGAAAATAGAGTCTGGGCTAGAAATTCGTTGTTTAAAAGACCTGGGGAGAACCCATGCAAATCTGTTCTTAAGTCCCTCGGCCTCCTTGAGCCCGATCCGAGAGGCGGGGACAGGAGGACGTGAGCTCACTCACTGGGTCCTCAGCTCCACTGCCCACATCCACAGCCAGGGCCCAGCGCCCCCGACCCCGTCTCACAGCCGCCCCTGGAGGGGGACGCTGCCGAAGGAACCCCTTTCTCCAGATGTGGAAAATGGAGGCCGAGATGCGTGAAAACCTGAAGTGAGTTCATAAATCTTCGCCTTCAGTTCAAACCCAAGTTTGGAACCGTTCCACCACTGTTCCAAAACATGAAGGGTAACTATACCCTTAAAATCGCTTGTTCAAAGCAAACTCTGGGGGAGATGACTTTGGGGGGGAATTCTGCCACTTGGTGACCGTCTGCCTCAGGCAAGTCAAAGCCCTTCTCTGGGCTGTGGTTTCCTCTCCTGTAAAATGGGATGATGGCGTCCCCTGCCTCCCAGGGATGCTGAGGGTTAAATCAGTAATGGGGACCACTTGGCCCAGTGCTGCAGGGTTATTCTTAGACCAGAACTGCTTGTGGCTATTACTAGAACAGTCACTGCTCTGGCCAACCTGCTGCTGTGCTTAGAAGGTGGACTGGCAGACAGCATTCTATGAGAAAATGGTTCTAGAATCCCCCCCACCCCCGCCACTGGTCCTTAGTGCACCCTCCCTCGTGCCAGACAAACCTTTCTCTGGCTGGCTCAGCACTGATCCCTGCCCCCACCTCTGTCCAGAGCTAGGAAACTAAGCCTTGATTCTATAAATAGCTCCCCAGCCTGTCACCATGGAAACCTCCCAGAGGGCTGGGTCAGCCCACCTTGGGGGACACTCCTCCCCAGGGAGGCTCTGGAAGGACAAGCTTTTCAGAAAAGGGGCTGCTGGGCTCAGAAGTGTGGGAGCCCCCAGGAAGTCCGAAAGCCTACCTGGAAATCACGAGCTTCCTAAGTGGGAGGAGGTGCTGTTCTGGTTCACCTGGAGGAAGACAACACACAGAGGGGGTCAGGGCCAGGCGAGGTGCCAGGGGCTCACCGTCCTGAGGTTCGCCTCGGCATCAGTCAGACACACCTACTATGTGCTGGGGACATGTGAACCTGACAGGCCCAGTCCTGCGCTCAGACACACACAGGCCGCTGATGTCAACTCCAGGAACCGCTGGGCTGAGTCACAGAGGGTGTTCGGGCAGGCCACTACACGGGTGACCTGCAGGCTGCAGTGCAATGGAAAACAAACACCTGATCTCCGTGCTGGGCTCCTGAGCACAGCTCCTAAAACCCTGGGGATCTCCAAGCATCCTCCGTGTGCTGATGAGATGGCTGTGGCTGGGGGACCCGAGAGCTTCAGGATGGGGACTGGTTGCCAGAAAGACCAAGGCATGATTAGAGGGGTGGAACTTTCAGCTCCACACCCCCCAACATTTGGGGAGGGGAGAGGGGATGGAAATCGAGTTAACAATGGCCACGGGCTGAATCAATCAAGGCTACTTCATGAAACCTCCATAGAAATCCCTAAATGACAGGTTCAGAGAGCTTCCGCGTCGGTGGACACATGGAGGTGCTGTCAGGGTGGGGCACCCAGAGAGGGCACGGGAGCTCCGCCCCTCCCCCACACCCTGTCCTGTGCATGCTTCCAGCTGGCTGTTCCCAAATTGTGTCCTTTATAATAAACTGATAATCTAGGAAGTAAAGTATCTTCCTGGCTCCTGTGAGTTGCTCTAGAGAATTATTAATCCTCAGGAGTGGTGGGTCGTGAGAAACCCCCAATGTGTAGTCGTCCGGGCCCCCACCGCGGCTGGCGTCTGAAGTGGGCAGTCTGACGGATCGGTCCTTCACCTGCGGGGTCTGATGCTATCTCTGGGAGTCAGTGTCAGACTGAGCTGAGTCATTCAATACCCAGCTGGTGTCCAGAGAATCAGAGGACTGGTTGTCAGTGTTTGAAAACACCCGTGAGCAAAGATGAAAAGGAGCCCAGATCAGGGGAGAAGTGTTCCCAACGGAGGGCACAGCACCCCTGGCAGGGTGGGTGTGTGGAGCCTAGGGAGAAGGGTTACACTTCTGTATTGGTTGCCATTCTAATGTGTGAGCTGCTTCGTTTTGTCGGCTTAATGTTTTTCCAGTTTTTTTGCTTTCATGGTGGACTATTTTTTGGATGGCTGTAAGATTCTGTAGAATGATCACGCCACCACTTGCTGAACTGTCGCCTTATGGTCATTTCCACTTTCGCAATATCTTGAATGAAGTCATGTGCACAGAGGGGGCGGGGGAGGGGGAAGGGGGGAAAGCCCGTGCAGGGCGGCTGTCCTGAGGCGGGGCGTGCTCGCGATGAGAGCACATGACATTCCTTATGGAGCAAAACACAGCCCGGGCCAGCTGGACGTCCTGAACGTGCCTGCTCTGCAAACTGGTCCAACTCCTTTGTGAAACAGTTTGGGCCTTGCAGTTTAAGAGTTTTAAAATGATCTAGACCCTTCCACCCACTGATTCCACTCCTTAAAAATGTATTATTCTAAGGGAGTGATTCAGTAGAGCCACACCCCCACCCCTTGCCCCACAGAAGAGGCAAAAATCAGGGTGACATCATCCTGGTCAGTTCCAAAGATCGCAAATGACCTTAGGGCAACAGTTAAGTAATTGGTGGCCCATAAAATTAATGCTTCCCAGCGCGGTCTGGGTAGCCACCCAAAGCGGCACACGGGAAACCCGCGCGACAGACGTTCAGAAAGCAGGCCAAGCGGCTGGAATGCTGGGATCAGCACGGACGCAAACGCGCACAGCAGGCTACGCGAGGCAGCGCGAGCAGGAGTCCCGGCCACCCGCTGCCGCCCGTGGTTCTTGTTACATCACCTGTCTGGTTAAAACAGGTAAGAAGTGAGCGCTGACTAATTCTGGAACCGTTCCTCGCAGTGGCAAGAGGTGGGCCTGGTTCCCACCACGGGAGTGTGGACCCCTCCCCGAAGAAGGGAGATGGGCACCAAAGCTGTGTCCCCAGGGCAGGCACAGGGCGGCTGCCCTTGATTTGTCATATTAAGTAAAACACACAAATGGAAACTGCTAATTTCAGCACCACTGCTGCACTTACAAGGGACCACTGTCCTGCCGGTCAAGGGGTGGTTCCTGACATGACCACGGACGCCCAGGGCCCAAGGACATCCGGGGGCGGAGCGCATGCGTGTCTACGTTTGCACAGACACCGCATCACCTGACCCTTGCGGTTCTCACGTTTTGGCAGACTGATATAAATTTAGCTCTGGGTCGTGCCTGGGAACTGCTGCTTTAAATAAAACCAGATTTGAGGTTAAAGACAGCAAGTTGCCACCAGGTCCCTCCAACTGCTTTCGAGCTCGGAGACGAGGTGACGGGAGGAGCTCACCCAGAAAGGTGGCAGAGACCTGGCCCCAGTGGGTCAGACACTCAGGGAGCCTCTGGCCCGCCCCTCACCCCTGCCCAATTTTCTGACGGGGAAACTGTCACCCATAGTGGAGAAGTGAAGTGTCCAAAGGCATACAGCTAGTGGCACACACAGACAAACAATTCGGAATCCTCCTTGGGGTTTCTAACCTGAAAATATCCTTTCAGATTGGCTGGTGTTTTATAGTCCCCTTTCAAGACCTAGGAAAGAGAAAATAAATATCACTCTCAGAGAAATGATCAAAACACAAAATTTAGTCTAGTACCTCCACATCTATCCACCCTCTCCCCCATCCATCCACCCATCCCCTTATCCATCCATCCACCCACCCATCCCCTTATCCATCCATCCATCCATCCATCTCCTTATCCATCCATCCATCCATCCATCCATCCCCTTATCCATCCATCCATCCATCCATCCATCTCCTTATCCATCCATCCATCCATCCATCCATCCATCCATCCATCTCCTTATCCATCCATCCACCCATCCCCTTATCCATCCATCCATCCATCCATCCATCCATCCATCCATCTCCTTATCCATCCATCCACCCATCCCCTTATCCATCCATCCATCCATCCATCCATCCATCCATCCATCCATCTCCTTATCCATCCATCCATCCATCTCCTTATCCATCCATCCATCCATCTCCTTATCCATCCATCCACCCATCCCCTTATCCATCCATCCATCCATCCATCCATCTCCTTATCCATCCATCCATCCATCCATCCATCCATCCATCCATCTCCTTATCCATCCATCCATCCATCTCCTTATCCATCCATCTCCTTATCCATCCATCCATCTCCTTATCCATCCATCCATCCATCCATCCATCCATCTCCTTATCCATCCATCCATCCATCCCCTTATCCATCCATCCATCTCCTTATCCATCCATCCATCCATCCATCCATCCATCCATCCATTCTCCTTATCCATCCATCCATCCACCCATCCCCTTATCCATCCATCCATCCATCCATCCATCCATCTCCTTATCCATCCATCCATCCATCTCCTTATCCACCCATCCATCCACCCATCCCCTTATCCATCCATCCATCCATCCATCCATCCATCCATCCATCCATCCATCCATCTCCTTATCCATCCACCCAACAAATAAGTATTGACCTCTTCTTGCTGCAGGCATTACTCTGAGCTCTGGGTGACAACACTAACCAGACCGTTACATTCCTGTTCTCCTAGAGCTTCCATTCTAGGGGGGAGCCAAATGATCCACAAGTAACAATAAACACAAATAAAGAACATATCAAAACATGGGAAACACTACAAAGAAAGCCAAGCAAGGGATGTGGTCAGGAGTAACCGGGGGGCTTCTTTGGGTGGTGGAAACAGGCGGCCTCTGAGCTGAGACCTCGGTGATGAAGTCAGAGCTACGCTCCGAGGAAGAGCCTTCCAGGAGAGGGCACCGCGAGGGCAAGGCCCCGAGTGCGGACCAGGCCTCCCAACATCTGTCGATGTAAGTTACAGTGCGGACCAGCACTATCCAACAGAATATGATGTGAATCAACAATGTAGTTTTAAATTTTTCTGGGAGCCACATTTTTTTAAATAATTTTTTTCTTTTATTGATTTTAGAGAGAAAGGAAGTGAGAGGGAGAGAGAGACAGAAACTTCAACAAGAGAGATCATTGATCGGCCACCTCCCGCATGGCCCCCACTGGGGATCAGGCCACAGCCTGGGCATGTGCCCTGACCAGGAATCGAACTGTAGACCTCTCAGTGCATAGGTCGACACTCAACCACTGAGCCACACCAGCCAGGTAGGAGCCACATTTTTAAAAAGTGAATGAGTTAAAGTTAATTCTAGTAACATCTTTTATTTAACTTGATATATCAAAAATATTAATAGAACATGCAATCACTATAAAAATGACTAATGAGCCCTGGCCGGTTTTGCTCAGTGGTTAGAGCAACAGCCTGCGGTCCAGAGAAACCCGGGTTCGGTTCCCGCTAAGGGCACATACCTCGGTTGCAGTTTGTCCCCGGCCCTGGTTAGCCATGCGGGTGGCAGCCACTCGATGTGTCCCTTTTACGTCGATGTTTCTCTCTCTCTCTCTGTTCCTCTCTCTCCCTCCCACTCTATCTGAACAAAAAATGGAAAACTGTCCTCAGGAGAGGATAAAAAAATAAAAATAAAAATGACTAATGAGAAACTGTACAGACTTTTTTTTTTTTTTTTTTTTTATCCTCACCCGAGGATATTTTTCCATTTTTTGTACAGATAGAGTGGGAGGGAGAGAGAGGAAGGGAGAGAGAGAGAGAAACATCGATGTGAAAGGGACACATCGAGTGGCTGCCACCCGCATGACCAACCAGGGCCGGGGACAAACTGCAACCGAAGTATGTGCCCTTAGCGGGAACCGAACCCGGGTCTCTCCAGACCGCAGGCCGATGCTCTGACCGCTGAGCCAAACTGGCCAGGGCTGTACAGACTTTTTTGTCCTAGAACTTTAAAATCCAGTGTGCGTCACATCTCAATGGCCATAGGATGGTAGGTATAGACAATTTCATTAACACTGGGGTCCTCTGAATCACTGAGTTTACTGCACCCCAGGATCCATTACAGAAACACAGAGTGTCTACAGTATACAAAGACACACACACACGGCTTTCAACAAGGCAATGTAACTGCAGTAATATCAAAACCACTAAACAACTGTCTGGCACCTTCCAAGACTGTGGAACCCCCAGGGAGGAGACCTCTTTGGACTAAAACTGGAACATCTTCCATTTTAAACCCACACAGGGCGGCAAAGAGCTGCTTGTAGCCATCAGTGTGCGTTGGAACTTTTTACACAACAAAGTCAGGCCTTGTTCCGAGAGCTTCTGACCCCACACTCGGGCAAACGGGGGCCTCCACCTTGTAGGTGACTTCAAAGGAGCTGCTCCTGAGCCCGTGGCTGAGAGCGTGGGGTGCGGAGAGCCCAGACTGGTGGTGCCGGGGTCCTCATCCGGCCCCCACTGCTGCTTCTGAGAAGCACCCGGGGGCTGGATTTCAAGATTTCTTCTTCTTCTTAATCCAGTTAATTATTTTATTGTGAAATACAGTCTATGTACAGAAAAGTACATAAAACTCATAAATACAGTTTAAAGAATAGTAACTATTATTAAAAAGATAATAATAGCCTGGCTGGTGTGGCTCAGTGGTTGAGCGTCAACCCATGCACCAAGAGGTCGCCGGTTCGATTCCCGGTCAGGGCACATGTCCAGGTCGTGGGCCTGACCCCAGTGGGGGCATGCAGGAGGCGGCTAATAGATGTTCTCTCTCATCAGTGTTTCTATCTCTCTCCCTCTCCCTTCCTCTCTCTCTAAAACCAACAAAGAAAAAAAATAAAATAAAAAGATAATAATAAACTCATAAATAACAACTAACTTTTATAATAAAAATAAACCACACCCAGGTCATAAACATCCATATTGCCAGCGAGGTCTGGGTACATTGGATCTTGAGACTTTCCACAAATAGATGTTTGCAAAATCCACCAGTGGCGTGGGAAAGAGGCAGCAGAGACCCACGGTGGGGGGGGGGGGCGTACACCGCAGTCACAGGGCAGCACCCCGACACCCAGTGTTCGTGTTAAAAACGGAGCTTGCGCATCTGGGAGGGAGAGGTGTCGAAGCCTCGTTAGCACCAAATGGGTCTTCCTCCTGGAGTCAACTGAGCGATTAAAGGAGACTCAAGAGAGGAATGACTTTCTCCCTTAGCAAAGCAACGTAAGAACTGTTCACCTTCTAAAACCAGCCCGTGTTCAAAATGCTGCTCCTGCTCAGAGTAAGACCCTCCTGGGGGCAGCAGGGTCTTCCTCGGGCCTGGGTCCCATTTCAAAGGTTTTCATTCACTGAGTGCCTCGAAGGAAGTCAGAACACAACACCCGAAGCAAACCAGAAGCGGTGACAGCAACACGTAAGGAAGACCGTGAACTTGTGAACTCTTCTTTCATCCAGAATTCGCTTTTTATGCTTTCAAAACATCTTGTCAAAGTCGTTTTCCTAGACCACCTTAACTAAGGAGAACTTTAAACTGTCCTTAACTCATACTTGTGTGAGAAATTGACATTAAAACCTAATGGGGGGCCCAGCCAGTGTGGCTCAGTGGTTGAACCAAGAGGTCGCCAGTTCAATTCCTGGTCAGGGCACATGCCCCGGTTGCGGGCGGATCCCCAGTGGGGGGGCGTGCAGGAGGCCGCCGGTCGATGTTCTCTCTCATCGATGTTTCTATCTCTCTCTTCCTCTCTAAAACCAATAAAGAAAAATAATTAAAAAAAACAAAACAAAACGTATGGAGGCAATAAAGGAACCAATAGTTTATTTATGCCCAGCCTCAACAAAGACTCGAAGTAATTTATAAACAGAAAACGAGCCAGGGAAATAGGTGGGAAGGGTAAATAAGAGTAGAGAAATAAAGTGAACTTCGTGCACAGACGGCCTTCAGGCTAGTTGCCAGAGCCAGACGGCTGGCTTGGAGCTTCCCTGTGGCCCACGCAAACAGGGTAATAGAAGCAGTCACGATCACCATGGCCATGGCTCGGGGACCAGGGATGTCCCCCAGAGAGCTGGGCTTGCCCCCAACAGGAGCACGCCTCCAGCGCACTGCACTCACCCGGTGCGTGTTGTTGATGACGATGGGGTCAGGGTTGCCGTAGTTGGGAGGGTTTGCATAGGGGTCATAGCCGAGCCGAGCCAGCATGGGGGCGATCTGGGCCATGTCCCTCACCACGTCCCCAGGGATGTGACCGGTCCACTTGGAGAGTGCTTCCAGGTTCACAGGCTTGATGACCTGGTCTGTGGATCGCTCGATCCTGGAGAGAGAAGACAGGCTGGAGGGTGCCGGGCAGACCAGGCGGTGCCTGGGCGGGCTCTCTGCTCACTCACTCTGGGGCGGTGGGAAAGACTGGAGGACCTGGCGCCCAGCCAGCTCTGCCTCCAACCACTGTGAGACTGTGGGTGAGTCACTCGGCCTCGTCACACCTCCTGTGCACAGTGAGCGTAGCAGCACGTGACGGGAAGTCGGAAGGAAGTACTAGGCAGTGACGCTTCAAGAATGTGCTTCAAGACTGCTTCCTTGATGCCTCTGGCTTTTTAAAAATAACTTTATTTTTGTGACTGAGATGGATAGTTTGTTCTCAGGAAATACTTATGAGACACCAATGGTCACCACTCCCAGTCCATCAGCTCCCTACAGAGACCCAGCCTTGGCGTTCTGGAGCTCATCCTTCCAATGCTGCTTCTGTGCTTTAAATAATAGACTGCTAAGAGCTGACTCAGGAGCCAGGCTGTCTGGGTTCGAATGCCAGCTGTACCGACACCAGCTGTGTGACCGTGGTAGAGTTACTGCACCTCTCTGAGCCTGTTTTCTCATGTATAAGTGGGAATAATGACAGCACCCACCTCACGGGCTGTTCTGGGAGTAAATGAGTTAATAATAGAAGAGTCTATGGTACATTGTAAGATCTCAATAAGAATTAGCTTTCTCCCCCCCCCCCCCCAAAAAAACCTATGGTTTTGCCTGTAGTTTCTAAAACAAAATTCTATGCTATAGGTATTGGTAAATTTTGTTTTCTATTCATCACATCCTTTTTTCTGGCTGTGTAACATTCCTTCATAGCTCATTTTTCCATTCCCCTGAAGATGGATGTTTCAGCTGTTTTCAACTTATTGCTAAAACAGTGGGACCACCCCCGCCTCACACGTGCGTCCTTCCTCACCCACTTCGGGCCTCCCAGCCCACTGAATCACAAAGGTCCGACCGGTATCGTTCTGATGCCTCGCGGGATGGAGGGTGCAGAACTCCCAGGATCAAGGGCCTAATTCTAAGACTTCCACCCCAACTGAGAGATAGCTTGGGGGGAAAGAGAAGAAACAAAAAGATGTAGCAAAGGGAAGACAGGGCCAGAAGGACAGGGAGGGAACAAGGATGTGGACAGGTGGGAAGTGTGGATTTGGAGTCTGCAGACTGGATTCCAATCTCAGCTCTGGCCAATGTGTCCAAATGTGTGGGCTATGCCACCCTTGTATCTCTAGGACAGAAATAACAGGCACATCTCAGGACACAACTAGGAGCAACGCTGGACATGAGGCAATAAAACTAGAAATAACCTGTGTCCAAAAATAGGGGATGGTAATAGGATACAGTGATCCATCCACGTAATGGAATAGTACGCAACCATCCAAAATGACACTGCAGAGTGCTGGGGCCACGGGCAAGTGGTCCCAAACACCTGGTGGAAAGGGTTCCAGGGAAACATGTTCGGTAGAACTCTGGTTTTGCCAAGATCCCCTGACAAAGGACCAGCAAGCCATATACCAAAATCCGGGTCGCGGGATTACAGGCTTTGTCTCTTGTTTTATGTGTTTTTTTAATTCCCTACAATGAAGATGTGATCCTTTGGTAATCTGATGTTTTGTCATGAGACTTCCAGCTCCAGCTGGCCAGGGTTAGGCCCCCAGCTCTGCTCTGGGCTCAGGAGCTCTTGGGTGGAGCCTGGCAGGACCTGGCCATGAAACAAACAGGCAGGTGGGTCCCGGGAGGACCACCCTTCCCTGGGTTCTCCAGGCTGCTCCGCCCGATCGGGATGGAGACAGGGAGGTGGCTCACCCTCTTCTGCACTGTTCGAGTGCTCTGGGTCTCAGGAGAGGGGCGGCCTCCCAAAGGAGGAAGGTAGAAAGCAAGGGACAGGAGGGGTCCCGGATTTAGGGACCTTGAGAGCACACACTCTGGAGTCCAGCAGACCTGCGCTCAAATCCCAGCACCACACTTTGCTAGCTGTGTGGCTTTATGCCGGGAACTTCTCCTCTCTGAGATCCAGTTTCTTCACCTGTAAAAATGAGATGAGGGAAGTTCCTATGTCTTCAAGTTGCTATGGCGATTAAAGGACTAATGTCTTTTGGGGGCTTAACTCAGTGCTTGCCAGATAGCAGGCACTCATTAACGGTAGCGATGGTGAGGATGATGAGTATTCCAATATAAGCAGCATCAAGCCCTGGCCAGTTTGGCTCAGCAGTTGGAGTATTGGCCTGCGGACCAGAGAGTCCCGGGTTCGGTTCCCACTAGGGGCACATACCAAGAAATAAATGAATAAAAGCAGCATCAACGCTAACAATGACAACAATAAGAGTGGCCCTTAACATGCATTACCCTATTTGACACCCACAGGTATCTCTCTCTAAGGTAGACAGATTATAGCCCCATGTTACAGATGAGGAAACGGAGGCACAGAGAAGTTGAGTCACTTGTTCAAGGTCACACAGCTACGAAGTAGAGGAGCTGGGATTCAAATCAAACACAGCCTGGTTCCAGAATCTGTGTTCTGAACCTTGACCCACTACGGCCTTGCTACCAAGCGTATTTAAAGTTTGATGATTCTGTCAGAGAGAAGAGTGACTGGCCCACTCCTTTTGAATAATGAAGCTGAGCCTCAGAGAGGCACAGTGACTTGCCCAAGGCCACACAGCTCAGAGGCACGGAGCCCATCTTTCCACCGAGTGCCTCCACCTGCAGGACCAGGGATCTGGGCAGACCGTCAGGGGGTCCACTCACCTGGACAGGGAGACACCACCAGGCTTGCCAATGAGGTCCTCATGGTGCAGAACGGTGTCGCTCCAGGCGATGCCGAGGAAGTCGAGTATGAGCTTGAGGGAGCGCCTGGGGTGCAGCACCAGCTGCTCGTAGTACACGGGCAGGCACTTGTCCTTGCCCACCTCCATACACTGGGCGTACATCACCTCGATGGCCTTGTTCCACTTGGTGAGGCAGTCGCGGTAGCTGCTGAGGTCAAAGCCTGCGATGGTCACCTTGCGCGTGATCATGGAGTGCACGGAGGCCCGGCCGTCCCGCACCATCAGCAGGAACTTGGAGTTGGGGAACAGGCGCGACAGGTAGACCGAGGACTTGAGCGTGAAGGGGTCCTTGTTGCAGAGCACGCGGGCCGGCTCGCCGTGCTTGGCGATCACCTCCAGGATGAAGGCCTGCATGGCGGCGTCCAGCACCTCGTCCGTCACGCCGGCCTCATCCAGCCGCAGCTTCTCCCGGCCGGACTTGGACCAGGCCTGGCGCATGGCCAGCACGCGGGGGATGATGCGGGTCTCCTCGCCACAGCGCACCTCGGGGTGGGCGTCCAGCATGGCACGCATCAGCGTGGTGCCACTGCGAGGGACGCCGCCCACGAAGATAAGCGGCATGGCCTTGCCGTAGCGGTACTCCACGTGGTCCGTGCCCACCATCACCAGGTCCTCCTGCTCCGGCTGCATGGCACGCCGGGGGCTCCCCCGCACCGCCCGGCACTCCAGCACCTGCTGCCCCAGCTGGAACAGCAGGACCAGGGCCAGGGCGCAGAAGGCTACCAGCAGCACCCTCCGCACCGACAGGCGCATGCTGGGCCTGGGGTGGGGGGCCTGCTTTAGAGACAGGTTGTCGGGAGGGCCGCTGGGCTCACATCTGGGGAGAGAGGGATACACGAGGTCAGAGAGGCCGGAGAACTGCGGGCCCTTTGCCACATGTGCCCCCGTGACAGCAGCGTGACGGGGCTGAAAGGCACCGAAGAGCACTGGCTCACCGAGCTGGGCACTTCAGCCTTCTCAGCTCGTAAGTTCTTCTACCACCTAGGGGTAGGTGCTGCCATCACCCCCAGGACCTCTGTAGCCTGACGGCCTGGGTTCAAATCCCTTCTCGCCACCTCCTACTGTGGGACCTTGCCAAGTTCCTTAACATTCAAAGCTTCAGTTTTCTTATCTGATCAGTGGAGGAAGTAATAATTATTTTTAAACTGACGATCAAAATGTGGGAAACAGTAATGAGCTGGAACGCCAGAGCCCAGCACACACCGTTCCACAACCAGGGGGTTTGCCTGTCTTGTTCATGGCTGTCTCCCGGCCTCCAGCACAGCGCCTGGCACCTAGCAGGTGCTCAGTAAACATTCATGGACTGTACCTTGGTTGAACGCGCGGGGCCCGGCACGGACTAAGTGCTATGACACAATCACTGTGGAGAGAGGAGGAAACTGAGGCACGGAGAGGCTGCTCACAGGCGCCCCGCTGAGCAGCAGCCTAGCTGGGGCCAAAGACTCAGACCCAGGCCAGCCAAACCCCACATTTTCTCTGACCACACTGTCTCTGTAAGAGATGCTTTTCAGGGAGAGAAGGTACAGGCTGGCCTGGCCTGGGCTGCTTCCAGAATCCCCACCCGTTCAGGCTTCATTCACGCACTGCTTATGAAACAGGAAAAGGTGCCAGACACCACATTCAGGGCTGGGGACAGGAGAGCAGATGAGACAGCTAGGCTCTGGCCTCCAGGAGCTTATGTCCTAGCAGGGGATGCAAAAGGTACACAAGCTATAGCCAGACTGTGATTACGGCTTGCAAAGAAATGAGCCCAACACTGTGTGAGGGATCAACCAAGGGATGGAGGAGGGAGGTCAGGCAGGGGAGGCTTCTCGGAGGTGACATCCAAGCCAAGACCTGGATGAAAAGAAGCTGGCCATGTGCAGATGTGCAGAAAGGGTGCCCCAGGAAGAGGACACAGAGAGTGCAAAGGCTCCCCCGAGATGGGAGAGGTGTGGGGTGTTCAAGAACCTGGAAGGAGGGTGCTGGGGCAAAGAGGTGGAAGGGGAAAGATGGAGAGCAGCTGCCAGGAAGGTCCTCGGGACGGGGAAAGAGTGGACTTACTCTAAGGCAGCCCTTGGAAAGAGGGCCTGCAGGAGAGAATGGGGCGAGGAGGTCAGACTGTGGGGGTGACGTGGGAATGGGGGGTAAAGGCATGACTCAGAACATGAATGACTACACTGACCCTGTGCCCCCACCCCTCCTGGGCATTGCCAGTTAAGACGACTGGACTTCAGTGGCAATTCTTCCGAGAGGGAATTGTTTGAAAAACAGGGCCCACCCAATCCAGCCACCCCCTTCTCTGGTCACCTCGAATGACAGATCTGCCCTCCTCCCCTGTTTACCCTCAAGGCCCTTCAATTTTGCAACCGATGCCAATACAGAAGATGCAGACGGACTCAGACACTGGACATTCAGCCAGCCTCCGTCCACACCAGCCCTTCTCCGCCTTGCCCCTGCTGTGCTTCTTGGACTTCATTTCCTCTCCCATCTCTGTCCACAAAGTTAGGGCTTGGGGTCTCTGGGCATTCAAGGAGTCAGGCAAACCTAGGTTCAAATCCCAGCTCTGTGTGGCTGTGTGAGCTTGGGCAACAGACTTTACTTCTCTGAGCCTCATCTATAAAATGGGTCTAAGAGTATCAACCTCGAAGATGAATCATGAACACTAAATGGCCCCCTAAGAACTTGAGAATGTGCCAGGGACACAGGACGCACTGGAAAGAATGTTAGCAATTTCTACCATGGCAACTGGTTATTCGTTTATTGTAACATTTAATACGTACCTACTGTGTGCCAGGAATTCGGCTATGGAGCTAAGTAAGAGACACAGCCTCAGCCCCCAAGTCCACGCACACCATGGACCCACTTGGGTTGGGAGGTTCTACTGAGTAGGCAGAGGAAGGCTCTGCAAGAGGCAGCTCTCGTGCCGAGTTCCGGACAGGAGGCAGGGACAGAGGAGACGGAAGAGTGCTCCTAGCAAAGGGAAGAGCCGGTGCAGAGAAACAGGCAGGAAGAAGCCGCATGACTGGGGCTGCCAGCCGCGTGGGGAGCGGCGCAGGGTCTGGAGGGAAGGGATGGGGAGGCAGCATCCCTCATCAAACATCAGGTCCGACCACAGCCACCAGAGGACCAATCCACCCGTAAGGGCCCTTCGCTCCACGGCAAGTGGACAATAAACACCAAAGCCAGGGGAACACACAGTCCCGGGCCCGGGGTCCAAACCGCTGAGAGGCCCTGGCATTTCCTGGCCATGTGGCTTCGGGAGAGTCACTTCCTCCACCCAAGCCACAGTTTCCTCTGCTGCAAGGGGTGGGCCCACTGACCTCAAAGGTGCGGGGAGGGCTCTAGGAGTGACTGACAGCGCAGAGATGAGTCACCTCTGGGGTACCGGCCTCCAGCATCAGAGAATAGCAGGGAAGCTGAATTCAGGGTCTGGCATGGGGAATCTAATTCCAGGGCTACTTTCAGGGAGGGAGGGAGGGACCCTGGACAGGACAAAAAGCCACTCAGAAGTCCCCCCGAGGGGCCGCTCAGCTTCTTCGGGCGCTCACTGGAATTCTCCACTTACACCTGAGACTAGAGTGCTGCAGATTCTTGTTATTTCAGTGGCAATACCCCTGGGAACTGTCAATCACACTTTAGCTTGAATTAGCATGATCACCTTTCCTTCCTGACACTTAGTGGGGAGTGAGAGAGTGGAGTTTTGCAGGAACAGATGGCAATGGGGGGGGGGGGGGAGGGCAGAGAAAGGGAGAAAAGGGAATAATCTGGGAAAGTCCTTTCCAGAAAGTAAAGGTACAATGTGCACGTTACTGTGTGCGCACGCGGTGTACAGAGCAGGCCCCTCATCCTCGGGGGATACGTTTCAAGACCCCCCAGGGGATGCCTAAAACCGCGGATAGTACCAACCCCTACATACAGCGTGTCTTCTCCTATACGCACATGCCCGTGACAGTTTAAGCGACTTCGCACGTCGGGGCCGTTATTCAGTAACACAGTCTCCGTGAGCACAAGTGCTGCGACACCGCCCGTGACCAGGCAGCCGAGACACGGCTGACGGGCGGGGCGTGCCAGCGTGGACAGGCGGGACGGGATGATTCACGTCCCAAGTGGGACTGCGAGCGATTGCGTCACGCTACTCAGAGCAGTGCACTCTTAAAACTTACGATCTGTTAATTTCTGGAACTTTCCATTTATTATTTTCAGACCTCAGTTGACTACAGATAACTCAAATCACGAGAGGGTCTCCCTTTTCTCTACCTGGCTGTTCAAACGTCACCGTGGACTGCGGAGGGCCACCCTCCTCTCAGGCTTCGTGGGTTAGAAGTGATGTGGACGCTGAAGGGTAGGGAAACCCCGAGGAGCGATAGACAGAATGAGAACAACGTTATCCGCTCACCTGGCTGCTTAATACTGATCATTCATTTGGCAACAGTGCTTCACAACGAAGCACCCGAGTTTTGGGTTTTTTGTGGGGTTTCTTTGGTACATGCCCCTAGCGGGAACCGAACCCGGGACTCTCTAGTCTGCAGGTCGACACTCAACCGCTAAGCCAAACTGGCCAGGGCTCGAGTTTTGGGTTTTTACCTTTATTGGGCATGTACTGTGCTGAAGCTCTTTCCATGTGTCATCTAACAGGGTCCCCTCTAACCTCTAGGCTGGAATGCCTCACCCCAGCTGCTCAGACAGGAAAGCAACCCCAGGTCCTGCAGCCAGAGGGGCCAGGCTGGGGCTGAGCTCTTCACTGACCTTGGACAGGCCCCAGCGAGAGACCCATCTCTGGTGCCAGAGGAAAACAGCTCAAAGCAGGCGGGTCAGACAGGAGCAGAAGACAGCAAGGACCTGGAGGGTGGTTGGAGAAGCAAAAGCAGGGTGACTTGGCAGACGGCAACCCACAAAGCAGAAGGCAGCTTCCTGGGCACCGAGAGCCACTCCAGGAGGGGCCAGTGGGCACAGCCACCACCCCACTGGACTTGGTCAAGGGAGGTGACTCGGCATCCTGGCAGTGAGGAGGGTGGGGAAGAGCCTCAGACTTGGAGCCCCACAGCTCCCGGTTCAAATCCTGCTTCTGCCACTTGCCAGTTGGTGACTGGACAAGGGACCTCACCGTTCAGGACCCCCATTCTCTCCTCCAATAATAAGAGAGATCACACAGCCCTTCTCAGGGACCGCCAGGAGCCTCAGGGAAGCTGTGCGCACACCAAAAGCACGAGCTCTGGGAAAATGGGGCACAGGGTTTGTCGCCTGGCCACCGCCTGGGGGGTTTGCTGAGCCACCCGATAATGCATGCTGAGGGTGTAGGGGCGACTGTGCCTAGGACTGTCTCAGCAGGAGCCGGGACTCTGGGGGACATGGAGCTGCACCTACCTCCCCTGGGCACTCTCATCCCTGGACTCCAGCCCTGGTGACCGCTCGCCAAGGCTGTCTGCTCGCTGATCCCTGCAGAGCAGAGAAGATGCTGCATTAGGGGTGGGTGCCATGGAGACGGGGTGGGGCCCCTCAGGAGCCGAGGGGGTGTCGGGCTCCCCAAGGGCACCCAGCAGCGACTTGGGGGAAAGTACCCTGGGGAACAAGGTGCAGTGCAGGGGGAGACCATCTCAGCCCAAAATGTCACAGCTCAGGTCTGAACTCTCCCGTCCTACAGGGAGTGAACTGGCTCCGCTCAGGCAGAGGGGTGTGAGCTGAGAATCTGAGCTAAGGCACTGCTGCCTTAGGGAGCCCCTGGGTCTCTGCCAACCCATTTTATTGATAGGGCAACTGAGGCCCACGGAGGGAAATCAGTTCACAGAATCCCACGCTCAGTCTGAGGCTCAGCTTGCCCCTCTGGGTCCCATTCCAGGACGCAGCGGGCTAGCAAAGACGCTCTGGGCTGGACGGCTCCCCCTCTGTAAAACGGGCTGTTGGGCTGGTTCAGTAAGATACCAGCAAGTACTCAGAAATCTTGGCTAGTGTTTTATTGGCGCCTCGATGGAAATAAACTGGGTGTAGGCTGCTGCCGTATTTCTGTCCTCGCTCCTTTCCTATTCCCTGAATCCTCGCTTCTATCCAGTTTTCTTCAGTCCCTGAAATGCCAGCCCAATTAGTACATCCACCCGAATGGTGAAAGGTCCCCAGGTGTAACCACAGCAACCCGCCCCCGCCGCCACGCTACAGAACACACAGGCCTGGCCCTCCTGGGGCATGGGTGGCCACAACGGGAGGCGGCCTCCGGGGACAGGAGAACAATTGGGGGCAGGGTGCTGGAAGCCCTTTAGGAGGGAGGCGGCGGGAGGCGGCGAGATGGCTCGGCCCAGCCCTCGCTCTCTGGCAGCCCTCGAAATGCCAGAGAGGCCGCCCCCACGGCCTGAAGGGCCCTTGCAGGGCTGAAGGACAGGGCCTTCCGTCACTGAGGGCCCGTGTCCAAGGGGAAGCATGACCCACTCATACGCATTTGCATCTTAAAGGAAGGACAGTTAAAGAAAATGTCAAACTCCGCTGCTGCTCTGCGCTGGCCCCATGTGAAGTGTCCAGTCCATGGCCAGGGGCGACGGGACGGGGCAGCGCCGAACTAGAACAGGGTCGTATCCCACCCTGGGCCTGTCTTTGGATGGCCTCAGAGCTAAAAGTGGCTTTTACTTTTTTTTTTTTTTTTTTAGGGAAAGAAAAAGAGAGGAGGGGGAAGGGAGGGGGGAGGGGAGGGAAGAAAGAGAAGCAGCGACAGAAACTCCATGTGCTGAGCAAAACCTGAAATATTTACTATCTGGACATTCATAGAAAGTCTGTGGACCCCTGGCCCAGCACTGCCCCGTCACTCACACAAACTTCTGTTGGACAGCGCTGGCTTAGAAGCAAATGACAGGCCTGAGGAGAGGGTCAATGAGCCCTTTCTTTTTTTTTTTTATTAATCCTCACCCGAGGACATTTTTGCATGTATCTTCAGATAGAGCGGGAGGGAGAGAGGGAGGAAGAGAGAGAGAGAGAGAAACATCGATGTGAGAGAGACATATCCACTGGCTGCCACCCACACGACCTCAACCGGGGCCGGGGACAAACTGCAACCGAGGAACGCGCCCTTAGCGGGAACCGAACCCGGGGCTCTCGGGCCCCTCTCTTTCATAAAGGAGAAACGTTAGCATTCATTATGCTCCACAGCATATCTGGCACCAGGCCATGGACTTTCCTGCCTTGTTTTATCCTCACAATAAACAAGTGGGTGGCGTGGGTGAGAGCCCTGATGTTCTGATCTGCGGGTGACGGATGCCCACGAGCATGCCCCGTGAGCCAGGCTTTGCCAAAAAGCAAATGCCAAAGCAACCGAACTAACCAGCAAATATAAACCACAGGCGAAAACACAGAAAGACAAGGAGGAAATAGACTCAAAACGCCACCAGGGGTGGTGTTCCGGTGGCAGGTGATATTTTTCTCCTAAAAACAAACTTTCATAATGTTTTCATATTGTCTTTCTACATAATAATGAAGTGACTGGTATTTTTAAAAATTACAGTAGGGGGCCAGACTGCTTGGGCTCAAATCCCAGCTCCACCGGCTACTGGCTATGGGACCTGAGCAAGCCACTTACCTGCTCTGAGCCTCAGTTTCCTCATCTGTAAAATGAGGGTGACAGCAATGCTCGCTGGCACCTGGGCCCTTGAAATGTGGCCACTGTGGGGGAGCTAGCCCCATAGAACCGCTGGGAGGTGGAAATAAGTTAGAACGTGCTGGAACAGAGCCTGGCACGGCAAGTGATCTTTACATGCTGGTTTCATTTTCTAATTTCATCCTCTGTGGAAACTTTTTTGAATCCTCACCTGAGGATATGTTTTAATTGATTGTACAGGGAGAGGAAGGGAAAGAGAGAGATTTCAATGTGAGAGAGAAACATCAGTCAGCTGCCTCCTGCACAGGAGCCTGCTACCCGGGCATGCGCCCTGACCAGAACCGGAACCAGTGGCCTTTCGGTGCACGGGACAGCGCCCAACCCACTGAGCCGCCCAGCCAGGGCCGCAGAAACTTCTAAGGCGGGGACAGGCGAGGAGAGAGCTCAGAGCTGGAGTGGTGAGAAGCCCCACCAGGAGCACAAGGAGAAGCCAGCTTCCATGTCTGGCTCTGTCCCCAAGCTGATCCCTGTGGAATGCTGTCACACAATGGTGCAGCCGCAGAGGATGGGAGGGGCTTCACTCGCTCTTTCCACGGACCCCTGGGCTGCCCTGGAAGGGAGGGGAGAAGGAGAGGGCTGGTCAGTCTTCAAGATCCCTTCAGACGCAGATCCGTTCACCCCGCAAATGCTGAGCGCCGGCCAGGTGCCAGGCACTGACGAAGATGCTGGGACGCGAGAGCAGCAAAGGCCGCTGCCCTCCTGGGGCGGACGTTCTCGTGGGGAGCACAACACCCAGCATGTGAGGCTGTAGCGACATCTGTGACAGATGTTCAGGGGGACATGCCCAGGGTGGGAGGGGGGGCCACGCCACAGGAGGTCACAGAACGAGGTGACGTTTATACTGACACCACACTGATTTGGGTTCAAACTCTTTGAACTTTCCACCTCTGCATGATTTCTCCAAGCTCAGCAGGTTCAGAGGTTTCCAAGCAGGGAAGGGGGCAGGAGCACACGCCACCAGTCACTGCACTTACAGAGGGGCCCTGGGGGGTGCCTGGTGCCCATCTACCCAAGCTCCGCTATCGGTCCTGCAGGCCCCGCCCCGGCCAGCTCCCAAACATTCCATCGCCATGGCCACCGCCTACCCTGCTGAGCCCCCTGGCCTCACTGTCCCAAGCCCCAACCCCCAGGTGCAGAGCTGGGGCGACCAGGGCTCTCTCTGGCAGGGTCAGAGGCCTCCGGCCCACGCTGGAGGGCAGCCAGCGGAGAAAAGCCGCCGGATTCCGCAGGGACAGGAAGAGGGAAGCAGTGCCCGGGTCTGGGCGTGGCTGGAGCAGAAGGGAGTGAGCAGTGGGTCAGGGGGGAGAAGACCGCTGGCTCCTGGCCTTGCGCTCTGGGTGCCGCACCGAGGACTGACCATACGTCATTCAATTCTGTCCTCACGCACCTCCCAACCACCCCATTTCACCCTCCCTCATCAACCACCGTTTGCTGGGCTCGGAGAGGTGGGGTCACCTGCCCAAGGCCGCACAGCTGGTGAGCAGGGGCGTCTTTCTCCCCATCTCTCTCCATAGCCCAGAGCCAGGCTCTCTCTTTCCCGACTTTGCATTTTTTACCTAAAACGATTAAAGCAGGACCACCCCACCCCATGCTGCCCACCTCCCCCTCGGGGGCCCAGTGCAGCACAAGCTGGGGGTGGGAGGTGAGGAGGCCAGGGGTCCCATTCCGGCTCCCCCACGCAGAGGCTGGGTATCCTGGGTTCCTCTGGGGAGGCTCTCCAAGCCTCAGTGTTCTCATCTGAGAAACGGGAATAACACCTGGAGGAAGGAGGCGGGAGGAACTCCAGAAGTCCCATTAGGCCTGGCACAGTCAACATGCAAAACTGTCACCACTGAATATTCTGATCCCTGTCATCACAGCACAGGGACAGAGACTGGAAGGGACTCACGGTCGGAGAAACGAGTGGCCTGGTGAGGTAGGTAGACACATGACCTGTGCATGGAGCCAGAAAGCCCAAAGCCCATAACGCTGACCCTGTGGCCAGCGGGCTCTGCTGCAGGACTCCACTCTGCCTCTGCAGCATGACAATAGTCCCGGGCAACACACGCAGGAATGCGGGTGGCTGCGTCCCAGCAAGACTTGCAAAACCAGCTGGCTTTGTACCGCGGACGGGGTTTGCCAACACCATCCAGTGCTGGCAGAAGTTGGACCAGCCCACGAAATGCAAACACAGCGAGTTTCTGAAAACACCGGACACTTTGGTTCTGGGCCTTATCTCAGAAGGGCAAGTAGAAGGACGCCTGGCCAGCTTTGGGGGTGAGAGAAAGATGGACAACTCGGGAAAACAAGCAATCGGTTTAAACGGAAAGCACGGGCATGCACACGGACTCCTCCAGCACGCGGTCTGCCATGGAGACCGAAGGAAAGGACTTGGGCCCTGGCCGGTTTGGCTCAGCGGTTAGAGCGTCGGCCTGCGGTCCAGAGAAACCCGGGTTCGGTTCCTGCTAAGGGCGCATAACTCGGTTGGTTTGTCCCCGGCCCTGGTTGATCGTGCGGGTGGCAGCCACTCAATGTGTCCCTTCACGTCGATGTTTCTCTCTCTCTCTCTCTCTTCCTCTCTCCCCCTCCCATTCTATCTGAACAAAAAATGGAAAAATATCCTCAGGTGAGGATAAAAAAAAAAAGGAAAGGACTTGGGTGCACCTGGCACTTACACCTGGCACTTACACGTTTTGTCGCCAACCACCACCCTGTGGGGAGGCTCATAACAATGATGATTATTAGTCATTTGACAGAAGGGGAAGCTGAAGCCCAAAGACCACAGGACTATGGGAAGTGTGTACCCTGAGGTCACACAGCTGGG